CTGTAGCTCGACATGTAGACCCTACCAATGGCGGGCCTGTAGCTCGACATGTAGACCACAGGCGGGCCTGTAGCTCGACATGTAGACCACACCAATGGCAGGCCTGTAGCTCGACATGTAGACCACAGGCGGGCCTGTAGCTCGACATGTAGACCACAGGCGGGCCTGTAGCTCGACATGTAGACCACAGGCGGGCCTGTAGCTCGACATGTAGACCCCACCAATGGCGGGCCTGTAGCTCGACATGTAGACCACACCAATGGCAGGCCTGTAGCTCGACATGTAGACCACAGGCGGGCCTGTAGCTCGACATGTAGACCACAGGCGGGCCTGTAGCTCGACATGTAGACCACAGGCGGGCCTGTAGCTCGACATGTAGACCCCACCAATGGCGGGCCTGTAGCTCGAAATGTAGGGCCCACCAATGGCGGGCCTGTAGCTCGACATGTAGACCCTACCAATGGCGGGCCTGTAGCTCGACATGTAGACCACACCAATGGCAGGCCTGTAGCTCGACATGTAGACCACAGGCGGGCCTGTAGCTCGACATGTAGACCACAGGCGGGCCTGTAGCTCGACATGTAGACCACAGGCGGGCCTGTAGCTCGACATGTAGACCCCACCAATGGCGGGCCTGTAGCTCGAAATGTAGGGCCCACCAATGGCGGGCCTGTAGCTCGACATGTAGACCCCACCAATGGCGGGCCTGTAGCTCGAAATGTAGGGCCCACCAATGGCGGGCCTGTAGCTCGACATGTAGACCCTACCAATGGCGGGCCTGTAGCTCGACATGTAGACCACACCAATGGCGGGCCTGTAGCTCGACATGTAGACCACAGGCGGGCCTGTAGCTCGACATGTAGACCACAGGCGGGCCTGTAGCTCGACATGTAGACCACAGGCGGGCCTGTAGCTCGACATGTAGACCCCACCAATGGCGGGCCTGTAGCTCGACATGTAGACCCCACCAATGGCGGGCCTGTAGCTCGACATGTAGACCACAGGCGGGCCTGTAGCTCGACATGTAGACCCCACCAATGGCGGGCCTGTAGCTCGACATGTAGACCCTACCAATGGCGGGCCTGTAGCTCGACATGTAGACCCTACCAATGGCGGGCCTGTAGCTCGACATGTAGACCCCACCAATGGCGGGCCTGTAGCTCGACATGTAGACCACAGGCGGGCCTGTAGCTCGACATGTAGACCCCACCAATGGCGGGCCTGTAGCTCGACATGTAGACCACACCAATGGCGGGCCTGTAGCTCGACATGTAGACCCCACCAATGGCGGGCCTGTAGCTCGACATGTAGACCACAGGCGGGCCTGTAGCTCGACATGTAGACCACAGGCGGGCCTGTAGCTCGACATGTAGACCCCACCAATGGCGGGCCTGTAGCTCGACATGTAGGGCCCACCAATGGCGGGCCTGTAGCTCAACATGTAGACCACAGGCGGGCCTGTAGCTCGACATGTAGACCACAGGCGGGCCTGTAGCTCGACATGTAGACCACAGGCGGGCCTGTAGCTCGACATGTAGACCACAGGCAGGCCTGTAGCTCGACATGTAGACCACAGGCGGGCCTGTAGCTCGACATGTAGACCCCACCAATGGCGGGCCTGTAGCTCGACATGTAGACCACACTAATGGCGGGCCTGTAGCTCGACATGTAGGGCCCACCAATGGCGGACCTGTAGCTCGACATGTAGACCTCAGGCGGGCCTGTAGCTCGACATGTAGACCCCACCAATGGCGGGCCTGTAGCTCGACATGTAGACCACAGGCGGGCCTGTAGCTCGACATGTAGACCACAGGCGGGCCTGTAGCTCGACATGTTGACCCCACCAATGGCGGGCCTGTAGCTCGACATGTAGACCACAGGCGGGCCTGTAGCTCGACATGTAGACCACAGGCGGGCCTGTAGCTCGACATGTAGACCACACCAATGGCGGGCCTGTAGCTCGACATGTAGACCACAGGCGGGCCTGTAGCTCGACATGTAGACCACAGGCGGGCCTGTAGCTCGACATGTAGACCACAGGCGGGCCTGTAGCTCGACATGTTGACCCCACCAATGGCGGGCCTGTAGCTCGACATGTAGACCACAGGCGGGCCTGTAGCTCGACATGTAGACCACAGGCGGGCCTGTAGCTCGACATGTAGACCCCACCAATGGCGGGCCTGTAGCTCGACATGTAGGGCCCACCAATGGCGGGCCAAGGGGTTTAGCAAGGACAGTTTAGTCCATTCTAACGTAGCGGGATGGGCTTTGTATGGAAATTAGTCAATAAAGTGGTCAGCCTTGGGCATATCACACAGCACTAGACCGAACCAGCGGGTGACCGGCCGACTATCAGGTGACTATCCGGAGATCGGCCGGCTATTAGGAGACCGGTCAATTATCGGAGACCGGCCTACCAAAGTTCCCTCTAAGGAGAAAAAGCTAGTGTGCAACGTGCATTTCGTGTGTCCTGTGTTCTGAACGTCTTATGCAAAAATATATGTATTTTATAAAATGACTGCGCGGCAGGTTCAAAACTACTGCGCGGCCGCGCAACCGCGCAGCTTAGAGGGAACATTACGGCTCACTATCAGCATACCAGGCGACTGTTACGAGACAGGACTACTATCAGGAGACCTTTTATACTATAAGAAGACCGGTCGACTTTCAGGAGACTGGCCGACTGGCAGGTGACCGGCCGTCTATTAAGAGACCGGTCGACTATCAGGAGAGCGGCTGACTATCAGGAGACCGGGCTACTATCAAGAGACTGGCCGACTGGTAGGTGAGAGGCCGTCTATTAAGAGACCGGTCGACTATCAGGAGAGCGGCTCTTAGGAGACCGGCCAACTATCCAGACACCGGCCGGCCTGTTTAACGTGAAGATCGAGGCCAGTGCTGACAGGCTGACAGTGAGACCACGTCTTCTCATCAGGCAGAGTCAAGCAATAAGTTGTTGGTTTTTCAAGTACGCGCCGCCTACCTGCCATGTGAGAAATGGTCTTCTCATCTGACCCCCAACCCCCTCGTCACAAAATTTCGGACCCCCCTCCCCCCTTGTGAGTGTGACGTCATTTATGGACGACCCCTAAAAACCACATCCCATAGTCACATATCTAAGAGTATGAAAGCCCCCCCCCCCCCCGGTTAAATAGTGACTGGAACAGATGCAATTTACTCCACTTGTTGAGTAGTTGCCGAATGTTTCTAATTCTAATCGATTTACAGTTTATAGCTTATAGTAGCTTATACTTCATCTCACAAACACCTGTAGCCTCTAGCAACGCTACATTTTTATGTCCTTAAGTACCGGCGCCACCAAATCTTATACACAAATAACTTTATTATATGGTACAGCCTACTTAAAAATTGTATAGGCATACCAAGGGTCCGGTACGTAAAGTGTTTTGCTCACATAATTGTGTAGGTTTGTAAACAGCCATAACATGGGCAGAGGTATGCGCACGCGTTGCTACTGACATTTTTCTCCAGTCGGTACGGCTACGCTGCATACATTAACTGCGTCACGAGGGGTTTCGTATTTTCTCACTGCACGCGACGGTTCTAAAATTACAAGTTCAAACTCTGCGCTGTTAAAAATAAATAACAATTAAAGCATTTGCTTTTGTTTAATTCGTTTGATTGTACAGAATATACTTGTTAATGCAAATTTTATGACAGGCGTAATGATTTTGTATGCTAATGGAAACACTTTAACGTTTCGTTTATATTGTCAGTCAGTACATTATTCTTCTTCTTCTTAGTCCTCTTTGCTCCTTATGGAGCATAGGGCCTCCACCATTTCCTTCCATTTCTTCCTATCCTCGGCTATTAATTTTGACATCTCCCAAGACATCCCTATTGGCTTCAGTTCTTCAAGAAGACTCCGCCTCCAGGTCTGTCTTGGGCGCCCTCTCTTCCGCTTTCCCTGGGGGTTCCACTCAAGCGCTTGGCGTGTAACATTTGTGTGAGCCTTTCGCAGTGTGTGACCCACCCAGCGCCACTTCCTCCTTCTTATTTGTACACCTATAGGCTCCTGCCTAGCTTTCCTCCATAGTTCCAAGTTCGGCACTTTGTCCTGCCATCTCAGTTTCAGTATCTGTCTAAGGCATCTATTCATGAAGGTCTGTATCTTTGCTGTGCTTGCCTTGGAGACTCTCCATGTCTCTGCTCCATACAGCAGAACTGCCTTGACATTAGAGTTAAATATCCTAATTTTTGTGGTAATGGAGATGGCCGAACTTTTCCATATGGGTCGCAGGACTGTGAAAGCGAGTACATTATTACATGCTTATTTATCAAAGCGTTACGGATTGTAAACTGTCAATAATAGTGTCTATTCAACAAAATGGTTACATTTGTAAAATATAGTTCTAGGTCTTGTATTAGAGCTCAAAATCACTATTGCGAATTAGGGCACTGTTCCAGAATAGAAACAAATAATTAAATATATAATCCTCGTCTGTCGTTTCGCCCTTGATGCACAATGGCAATAATAAGGCGAAAAAGCTCTTAAACTCACTTTGAGGTTAAGAGTTTAGTGACGATGTGTGACAAAGGGCTAGTGTTAAAAATTTTTTTGCAAAATTAAAATTAGGGTTGTTCTATTTGGGGGTGATTCTACCTTTGCGTCATCCTTTTCTTGGATGGGGGGGGGGGAGTATTTGTGACAATATGAAGGAAACAAGTAATAATATTGCTGATAAATTTAAGAAACGTAATGTTATTTATAGACGACCCCTGCAAACCAGAGATAAAATTAAAATGAATGACTAATGACAGACTGGCTTCAACAGCTGTAGCGTAATTTATACTAGGTACTATATAAACTAATAAGTATAATATTTTCTAAAGAAATGCTTTATTTTTTTCATTTTTACTATTCAAACATTTTCCAGATGCTATTTCGCACAATGCTAGAACCATCGTTTCAATACAAGATAGAGGTCAGGTCACGATTCATCAGCCTCGTTGTGGATGAGTCACTAATTCTGCGCCGGAGTATCAAGGTTAAAGTTAACACGGAAATAGTCTATAGGATTGTGGGACGGGGAAGTGAGTGAAATGCATACTGAGGAACTGTGAAAAGACGATGGAACCGGTCGATTATGTTATACACGGACTATGCATAGTATTGTTTGTAGGATTTTGTGTTAATTTTATGATTCACATTCTGTCCATCGTATATGGGTAAGTATGATAATAACAACGAATAAACTCTTTTAAAAATGTGTACATTTATGAACTCAAGAATCCACTTTTTACCAAAGTAATGCCAAATATTTAAAATACCCTCCCCCTCACCCCCACTCGCGTTTTAAAATTCCTGTTGGATCTTAGTTATAGTGAATGTCTTATATTCTTAAGTAGATTTAACTGGTGTTTGGTAAAGCCTGCTCCCCAATAATAATATTGTCAAATACTGTCAAATAGCATAGGGCATAGGGCCTAATTAGTTCTAGAGTATTCTAGAAGATATTTTTAGGCTAGCTAGGTTTAACAGTAACACTAACAGTAGTCAATTATTATTAGTAGGCTATCTATCTAGATCTAGATCTATCAATAGTTCAATAGTAATAGTAATAGTACTGTAATAGCAACCAACACTCAACAATTTGAATTTATTTTGACTCTTTTTACTTTTACTTTAGCTTGTAGGCCTGGCTTGTAAACAGTAGTAATACAGTATTTTACTCATTTAGGCTAGAGATTTAAATTATTAGATCTCTAGATCAATTCAATTCAAATTGTAATCTGAAAAGATGGTCGGCCATAAGTTGTGTGTAATAACTGAGTAGGCCTAGGCCCTAATATTAGGCTAATAAGTAATATCTAACTAAATTATGTAAGTAGAAATCTAGGCCCTAACCTAAGCCTAAATTAAACTTGTTTTGTTACTAGATCTAGAGCTACTTACTACTACTTAGTACATAGCTATTTCTATACTATAATTATATAATAATACGTTTTCAAAAGGCTGATTCTAGCCCGAAAAAGATGAGCATAGCTCTACAATCACCTGGTTTTCTTGTCATCTACCTGTTCCCTGTTTAGGCCTATGTTTTGTCTTAATGGGACAGGGATTAACACGATAAATACTTTTAAATAGGCTATTAAAATATATTTTAAATAATATTTTACACTTATAGACTAGAACTTAGTATACTATAGGCCTACTTTATACTGTAAACCCTCAACCCCTGACGACTAAAAGAGTAATTGATCCCATTGCGCAACTGTAGAAGAATAGAGTCCATTATGCCGCTATTATCATTATTTAATTTAATTTGAGCCAATTGCGCAGATATTTAGGTCACTGCATTTTACATCTTTTGGCATAGTCACTTCGAAAAATAAAAACCATTAGGCCTAGTCAAATAAAATAAGCTCACGCATCACTTTTAATAACAGATGCTGTCTTTATATTTGCTAATTATAATTGATTGGTTTCATCAAATTGCTAAATTTTGAATTCATCTTCCTCTTTAAAAAAAAACAATGTCCAGAATTTATGGAGGTTCATTATTGTAGCATTTTCTGTCAAGATTGTAAGCTTTTCAAAAATATTTTTGAGTGATTATTAAAGTCTCTGAGAGTTTGTCTATAGAACTAAAGTTTTTAACTTTTTAAAACAGAAAATGGAAACTATCAAGGAAGTTGACAAGTACAGTACCAGAGGAACTCCCAGGCATTTCTATCATCAAACCATTAGTGGGAGTTGACCCCAATCTTTTTGATAATTTAGAAACTTATTTCAATTTAAAATATCCTCAGGTATGAATTTGAATGTTAAACTGTTGCATTTATAATTTATTAGAAATAGGCCTACCTATGTAACTAAAAACTTTTTAGAAATATTTATATTTAAAATTTTAGTTTATAGAACTAATTTATTACTTTTGCTTATTAAAACATTTGCTTAAATTATTTCAGTTTGAAATACTTTTTTGCATCCAAGATGAGTTAGATTCTGTCATCATGATTGCTCAAAGTCTAATTCTGAAATATCCTAAAGTAGATGCCAAAATATTTATTGGTAAGCTTATTGAAATACTCAAAATTTTTGTTGTAGAAGAGTGGGGTTGTTAAGAACTTGTAACCAAGATCATTTTAGCTAAACTATGGTACTGTTTATTATAACCAAAGTATTTTTTATTGGTGAACAGAAAAGAATGACATGGCAGGTACAAGTGATTCAAAACATTTTACCGTTTATTCTGTTGCAGTTTGCTGTTTAATTTTTTTTATATTGTTTTTTTTTCTTTTAATAATTTACTGCAGCCAGATTCTGTTATTAAATCATTAGTTAAATGTATAAGCCCTTTACTTTTATTATGTGCATTTCTTTGTTACCATTAGAAAATTATTTTTCATCAAAGGCTAAAGAATAAGTGAAAAAATATTTAAAGAAGAAAATTCTGTTTCAATAAAAAAAATGCTATGTTCGAAATTTAATGTCGCACAGTTTTACTGCAATTAAAAATATGGTGAGAGTCAATTTTAGTCAACCAGTGTGGATTAACTTTAATTCATCACTTAATTAGATGATTTGGTGGTACCACATATGTTAACCATGTTCAAAATTTTACAATGCACCTAAAATGTATCCTTGTTCTTCAGGAAAGAAAAATGTTGGTGTAAATCCCAAAATAAACAACATGATAAGAGGTTATGAAGCAGCCAAATATGATCTGTTCTTGATTTCAGACAGCAGTATAAAAAGTAAGTTAGTAGTTAGTGTCCAATACTTCAGTTTTTACTAGTGTAAAATTTGTAAACATTTCTTAAAAACATTGAAATATACTTTTAACAGTGAAAGAAGACACCTTAATGGATATGGCATTACATATGACAGAGAATGTAGGGCTGGTTCAACAAATGCCATTTGTATGTGACAGACCTGGTTTTGTGTCTCATTTAGAAAAGGTAAAAAAAAATTTTGTACATTTGTCTCTAAGTTATGTTGCTTGCAAATAAAAACTTGCTACAGTTACCATCAAAAAGATTTATTAATATACTTAACCATTTTTCACAGATTTTTTTTGGAACACATCATGGAAAAATGTACTTAACAGCAAATTTTTTGGGCATCAACTGTGCATCTGGCATGTCCACACTTTTTAGAAAAGACATCATAGAAGAAGCTGGTGGACTTGCTCACTTTGGGAAATACCTTGCTGAAGATTACATGCTGGCACAAGCAGTTATAGATCGGTCAGTTACCATTATGACTTGTTTTTGTATATTCTTCTCTTAGCATACAGGTTTGGGAAAATTAAAGTGTGATGAGGTGCTAACCTGATAGTTACTAGTTTGGACCATAACCTCCTGACCATCCACTGGATGTGATGAACGGGGGGGGGGGGGGGAGGGGGTGGTGGTCTGGCGCCGGATAACATGGTTGGGAGAAACACTTGATTGCTCAATTTGGATTGTTAGGTTAGGTTAGGTTTACCTGTGGCCCCTCCTGGGACCCCTCCTGGGACATACGCAGCTGACTGGATTGTTATTTATCATTAATTTCAATGTTGGATTTTACATTTGTTTTGATCTTTTAAGTCTCACAATTACCTCAGTAGCTTTTGATTTCAATAGTAAAATAATATTTGAGATGTTATAACATTTTTAACATGAAAATATTTTCTATTTAAATTGTAGAGGATTTAAAGTCTTGTTGTGCAGTCAAACAGCTTTGCAGAACTCAGGATACACATCCCTTAGCTTGTTTCATGACAGGCTCATTAGGTAAAATACCTTGGTACTTAAAGAAATAGTCCATCTTTTATTGGTTTAAAATTCTTTTTTCTAAGACTCAATATTTCACCAAAACTCATGTTTGGTGTAGTCACGCATATTGTCATTGCTTTGTTATAGTGTACATTACTCAATATCTTATTTTTTCAGGTGGACAAAGTTGAGGAATGCAACTGTTGTGACTACCATGTTTTTTGAACCCATTTATCAGTGTCTTGTGCAAGGCCTCATCATTGCCTTTGTTACTGAGTTCCTGTTCTCTTGGTCGCCCCTTGTCTTCTTCATGGTCCATGTCCTAGTCTGGTTCCTTCTAGACTACATATTACTGTCCATCATCCAGGTCAGTTTTCCAGACTTGGTACTGTTAACTCTAGATTTTATCACACAATATTTCATTAGATTTTCTAGGCTTGATACTGTTAACTCTAGATTTTATCTCACAATATTTCATTAGATTTTCCAGGCTCGGTACTGTTAACTCTAGATTTTATCACACAATATTTCATTAGATTTTAAAAACTTGTTTGTCTTCTATATTTTCAGCAAGGTCCTTTGCCCTTTTCTAAATTTGAATTCCTTGTTGGATGGATACTCAATGAAATATCTTATCCAATTTTAATTTGTCGTGCGCACTGGGATCCAATCATAACTTGGCGATCAAGGCGATACAAAATTAGATGGGGAGGAATTACTACAGAGGTGACATCAGCACCACCTGTAAAGTTGAATGAGAAAACATGAGAGCGTCCAGTTACTAGAGATATTCATGTGATAGTTTGTTTTCATCAAGTACTCACTAGTAGTAAAATATTTACAGAGTTCTGCAATTTTTTGACAACAATGGATTAGAACTGGAAAATCGTAAGAATAGTTAGTTTTACTTAAGCATACTATTAGGCAAAGCTTGGATGTACTCACAATAAAAATGAGAAGTATATATTTCTTGTAATGTGATACAGTTGACATTTATTTCAACACTGATTTTCAAAAATTTTAATTCCTAAACAATTAAAATGCAAATGTTTTTGGGCACAACTGATAAACTCAGCACAAATGAAATGCTCACTCTCCTTTTCCCAGTAGTTTTAAGATGATATTGTTGCTGTTTTGCTGATGGTCAGTACTTAGCCAACACTTGACACTGCTTTAAATGATTGTGTTAATTGTGACATGATTTTTGTTCACTCAGTTGGTTGCATTGAGCTCAAACTGTTTTGCTATTAAGTTATACTATTTTTAATTTGTTACTGAAATTACACACATTTATTATTCCCTTTGTTCTTTTTCAAGACAAATCAAGAATAAGGTTAATGCAATATAACATTGTGCAGTGATTTTTTTTTAGATTAATTTGACAAGTAATTTTTTAAAATTTAAGGCATATATTTCAGATGACTGTATTTCTATACATAATAATGTTTACACTAAATGTGTAGTCAGTCCACTTGCAAAACCTGCTAAGTCACTTCTGACTGACTTTAAAGAAATCAACTTTAAAACTTTTTTTCTTGTTAACTAACCTTATGATTTTTATATTTTAATTTTACTGTTAAGAAATTTATTTTATATTATACTTTTTAGAACAAAAATTAGTATATTGCTTTAATTGCTACTTATTTAAGAAGGCTATAAGAATAACACATTTTTTTCAAAAAGTGTACTTAGCAGGTTTTGAAAAAGTACTCCTCAAATACTGGTTGTAATGTCTAAACATGTTGTATTTTGAAAATATTTTTTACTAGGTCTAGACAGAACTTGAGAAATATCTTTCCATGAAGTTAGAACAAAAAAGTGTTTTCTACAGGTTTGACATTCCGTACTCAGAGATGTGCCAATTTCATATTACACCATTATTGGAGATTGGCTATTTATTTGATCACATGAGTCACAGAAGTTGTTGTGTAATCTAGTCAATACTGTGGTGATATTTAGGGGTATAATTTATTTTTTGAATACATTGCCTGCTACAAACCTTAGGTTATACACCATTTACACACTACAAGTCATAATACCAAAGCTACTTGCTTGTGTATTTCTGTGCTTCCAATTTCTTTGTATGCTTTACATTTGTGTTTTCTTTTATCCCACAACGAAAATTTCTTCAAACTATTGCATTTCACCTCATTGTGAAGCAAAGATTTACCCTAGGAAAATATGTGGAACTTTGTAACTATTTTAACCTAGCACGCCAAATGAGCCACTGTTATCATTGCCATGGCTAAGTTGTTGAAACTACCACCCAAAGCTGTCTACTGATATATTCTCATATTTTCTGGATGTTCTTACTGGATTCAACGTTCATACATCTCTCTCTAATATTTGCTTGAATCAATACTCATATGTACGAAATATTTCACCATCTTTAAACCTGCTGCCTGGGTCGTCCAGGTTTTGGGTATTCTACCACTTGAGTACATCTGTAAAGATATGCACGCATGATTCTCTCCCCTGTACAAATGGACCATGTATATTATGTAATATAACCTAATGCTGTGCTCTATCAAAGACCTCCCCACCTTGTATGCCCCCTGTGTAAGTAGATCCAGGGTGCTCCAGCCAGCTGGTGTGCATGATGTGGCCGCGGATGGCCACTGAATTCTGCTGTGTAAACAACTGATGCTTGAATGGATTCATTAGGCTATGACGTTACTTTACACATTGTTTCACTAAGATTTGACACTGAAGGATAGGTATAACACCAGTCTTGAATGTCATTTCTTTCTAGTCTAAAACCAACAGATTTCACCAGTTAACATTGGCTCAAATCTCAAGAATACTTCTGACACGGGTCAAGTTTTTTTGGGAAGGAGCATCCTGGCAATATTGAGTCTGCATGTTCTATAGTTTTCAAATTTTAATTTTAAATGCATTTTATAAAACTCTAACCAAATGAAAATATTTGGTTAAAGAAATATTTTAAAAGTGTGTGAGTTGTTTAGTTGTGATTGTAGTGGTGGGTCATTTTTGTATGTATATTTGTAAATGATTTGACTCCATGTCATCAGTCCTATTTATACCATTCATTTTACAACTTCTAGTCAAGCTCCAGTCCGCCCGATGTATAGAAAAATAGAAATATTTTTTCATGACCCAACACATCCCTGTTACATTTTCAAATCTTGCCATATACTCATTACAAAGATGTTCAGATTTTTCTCAGTTAATTGTATACCAAGCCCAGGGGTTTATATATGTGACAGGCTAAGATATACTCAAAATAGATTAATTTGTAATTTTTTTAAAAGAAAAATAAACTCAAACATGCCTAGTTCATTTTTCAGGGGCAATCAAGAAATGATGTAGTGCTATTTCTTGATTTTTCTTTCTAAAAATGTTTATCTGTTGTGGATATGATTATTGGTGTGTCATTTAAAAAACCTAATGAGATTATAACAAACTTGATGTGTATATACTACTTTTCTTGAATGAATTTTTCAACCGACATCTCATCCATCTGTAATGTTTTATTCATTTCAAACACCTGATAGTCTAATGAGCTAATCAAAGATATTCCCATCTCCCTGACTTTAAGGTTAACTTAAAAACAACAGTGTTCATTTATTTGCCTTAGAAAATGACCAGTGGCACAATTATGAACATTCCCATCCCTATGACAGTGTTGAGTAGTGGCAGGTTTAAAAAATAAACTACTTGAAGTATATCACTTGCAATACTCCTTGTGACAGTGTTGAGTAGTGGCAGGTTTAAAAATAAACTACTTGAAGTATATCACTTGCAATACTCCTTGTTCTGGTTGTTTATTAGTTTTCATGTCGGCATTTGTTCGTCCTTTTTTTTTCAAATATTTATTTGCATGCTACTTAAGTTGACTATTTTTGTTTGTCTGTATGAAGCCTTTTAAACAGAAAATCCATTTTAATAAGATTGTTGGCACACTTTGAAATGATTTCTTGTACCAAGCATTTTGTTAATTTGAGGTGGAATTGTTTTTGTTTTGCTAAGGCTGAAGGACAGCTAATAGTAGTTTATATTTAAAATCAGATGTTTTTTTTTTCTTAATTTTTTTATAAGATGTACATTGATGTATTCAATATGATTCTTTGTGTTAACTTTCTACTGTATTTAATGAAACCAAAGATTTTTTATCTTTGCAACATTTTAAGTGGAGCTTTATAATTTTATTAGTCAGAATTTGTGTATTTTGCTAGAGTGGTTTTAGGGCCAAAGCATCTATTTTAATGAGTGATATTAATCTTTTGAGGTGGTATTGTTTTAAGAAGTTTAAACAGCTTTATTGAATGTACATCAAAAGCTGAATTAAACAGTTATATAGTAAGCCGTGTGGAATTTTAAATGTCAATAAAATCGTTTTTATAACTGCAACAGAACAATAAAAAATTTGAGTTCAAGATTTGATGGAAATTTTAAACCACATCATCCAAATTTAAATTTAGTATCAAAGCTTGCTCAAACAAATTTCCATAGTGCAGGAAGTTTATCAAGGCAAACTTTCACTTGGCTGCGGCTTTTATCACAGTAATTCAAGTCTTTCAAAAAGCTTTTTAAAATCCAAACATTGAAAGTATTATGATTTTTATTTTAGTAGAATGTATCCATCAGCCGCTACCTCTGGATAGAATTGATTACATACTTGATGTAATTCTGTAAGCTTCTTTGGGTGGGCTCTTTTTTTTTGTAGTTGTCTTTTTGTCAGCCATTCTCTTGCCAATCTTAACCCCCTACTTTTAATCTGTTGCGATCCAAACACTCCCAGCTGCAGACATTGGTGAAATAGATCAAATAATTTTATAAATATAAAAAAGGGGACAGAAATGTGAGGCATGCTAAATGTAATTTCTCCACAACTCATATATTATAGATCTGATGGTTTCAACTACAAAATTTAGATGCAATAATGTAATTGTAAATTGGTCTACAGCATTAGACACATTTTGCTATAAATCCAAAGTTTTTGTAATAAGAATTTTGAATTAGATTATGTTAAGTTTGTGAACTTATTCTGCTTGCCATGGGTCTTCCTACTTTGTTCTAGATTGCATCTCTCATGTTACATCCTTCATTTTGTAATAAACGTACATGATACTGCGTTTTGGTGTTTTCTTTAGACTTTTAAAAAAAATTTGTTTTATATATCTTTGATGTGCCTTGTGTCTTTAAAAAGTATGCAAAGTAATAAAATATTTTAAACCCTAATATCTGATCACATTTGAAGCAGGGAAACTACTCATAGAAAAAAACACCAAATTACAGATACGTTCAGAGTAAGTCAAGCATGTTGCACTGGTGGTGTTTTATGTTCAAAAATTAACTACAAACATGAAATAAGTGACAATCTTTTACTCAGTGACATTCATGTAATACAGCAATTCTTATACATCTGATTCATGCCAACATTAACTACATTCTTTTTTTATTTAAACTGTTCAGTTGAATGTTCATTGAATTTCTGTAAGAGCTCTTCTGGTCTAAAGACACCAAATTCTGTGATTATGCCCCCTGTAATGAGCTGAGCTGGGGTAACATCAAATGCTGGGTTCCAACAGTTGATACCTGATGGACATAATACAACATTACATAAATATGATCATTTTGTATGTTAAGTTTAACGTAATGTCTGACTGATCAATTGGGTGGTGCACACAACACAAATTAAAAACACACCACGTATCCTTATAATGTTATTAAAAACTTGCTTCACCCCTGTAATCCTATATTACAAATTTCTATAAACCTAAATTACATGTTTCTATCAACCTATATTACAAGTTTTAAGCAAATTATAATACAAGTTTCTGGAAAGTTTGAAATTTAGCACAAATTAGCATAATGAAAAGCTTTAATTACACATCAGCCCTGCAAGACTTTAGAATTAGAAAACTAGCATAAAAATTAGCTAAACGCCTAGGGAATTTCATAAACTACCTGGTAAATTGAAAAAAAAATTGAGTAAAAAATGTGAATTTAATTGAGAATGTCCAGAATGTTTTTTTCAATATGTTTAAATGCTAAAAGAGCACAAAAATACAGTTAAAAAGTTACAGTAGGTAGGTGTGGGGTATGTGTGGTTAGCTTACCTGCAGCAGCCACTCGGATGCCTTTTATACAGGTGAGTTCTTCAGGTGGGCGGACTTCTATCTGAATATCATCTCCAGCCTTCAAGTTGGAATCAAAAGTTGTCTGGGGACAGGCCACATAAAATGGCACTTGATGATACTTGGCCAGGACTGCTAGTTGATAGGTACCAATTTTGTTTGCTGTGTCACCATTGGCAACCACGCGATCTGCACCAACAATAACAGCATGAATTTTTTTCTCTGCCATGAGTGCAGCCACCATATTGTCACAGATTAATGAGGCGTTCATTTTTTCATGAACCAGCTCGTACGCTGTCAGCCTAGCACCTTGAAGGTAAGGTCTCGTTTCTGTGCAATAAGCATGCTCAAGCTTGCTTTGCTCATGAAGCTTACGTATCACACCTGTTGCGACAAAAAGCTTTCCATAAATATTTAAGTAAATATATTTATATAATAAATTTCATATTTAGTAGATGGAAAGTATACTAGCAATACAAAAGAAAAAAATTACGACTATAATTATTAAAACAAAAATGATGGTAAATATAAGCAAAATATACAAATTGCAAGTTGAATTCCATAAATTGTTTGCAAATTTTTAATCAAAATCAAGCAGAATGACAAAGTAAGTAATGGTAAAACAAAATAGAATATACCCAATGCTGTGCCATAGCCAGCAGTTAAAAACCAAACCTACCCAATGCCATAGCCAGCAGTTAAAAACCAAACCTACCCAATGCAGTGCCATAGCCAGCAGTTGCCAGTGACCCTGTGTTACAGTGGGTCAGCACGTTGACAGGCTGGTTGTCATTCTTTTGTAAAATAAATTCAGCCCCAAAATGTCCAATGCTTTGATTTACCTTGATATCATACTGCAGCATGTCTTCAAACTCTTTGATGACTCTGAAAGTAACCAGATTAGTGGGCGGATCAAATTTTGTTCAACAGCTGCATCAATAAAGCTAAACTTTCAAAAAGATATTAACTTCACTTGTATTCTAGTAAAATATTATAGTTTTAAAGCCTGAATTTATCTAAACAAATAAAATCATAATTTAAAATGATGCCATTTTTTAAAATTTCAATTAATGTTTCAAATAAATGCTAATGAATTTGTGCCACTCTGATTTTTCTGACCATGGAGAAAAATTTTATTTTACAATATCTGAAGAGTTACCTGAGCTTGATTTCTTCTGTTGTATACTTCTGATCACTGACTAGCCGTGCGACCAAGGATTTGCCCTTGACTGCGGCGTCACTAATGTTGACAGCTGTTGGGCGCGCTGAGACCAGGTAGTCCAACTGTTCCTCCACAAAACTTCTCAGATCTTCAGGAGAGGAGAATTCCTTGTCATGGAGCTCAACAGCTAAGCTCAGACAACCAACTATTGCAATAGCTGGAGCTCCTCTTACCTTAATCAGTACAAAAACACAAATCTCAATAGATCTGATATTTGCCAAATACATTTTTTTTGTGTAAAATAAACGCTTTCAGAACTTTTAATTGAGCATTCACTATATTAAATTAACATTACAAAACTTTGAAAAAAAACAACTAAACAGTGAAGCTAACCTTGTCAGGCTAACTTTGTAGGAATCTTAACAAAAAGAGAGGTCAACTTAATTGCCTATTAAATACCTGCATCAGTTTGATTGCCTTCCAGCCATCTTGAGTGTTTTTAATTGAAATATATTCCGTTACATCTGGCAGTAGTAACTGATCTAAAATCTCCAGCCTACCAGACTGATAGCGAATAGCTTCAAGAGTCATCTTTTAGATTACAAAGATGAATTTTCTGATGAGATTTAAAAAGAGATTTCCATTCAATCACATTTGAATTTAAATGTTAACCAGTAAGTAAAAATTTAATCAAGAAAGGAGTGATTTATATATTATTATTCTATTACTGCAGTTACTAAGTTATTTTTAATGCCAGTTGCGATGTAAAAAATAAAATTGGGATTATCAAAAGAGATATGCGGTCAAAGGGATATAATAAGGATAATATGTATGTTTATTTTGGTACACCTAGAGTTATCACCCTTTATTAACAATTATGTATTTTTTCTTCCTCTTTTTATATTTTTACCCCATAGAAATATAATTTTAACATTATTTCATTTTTTACCACTCACAGAGCATTTTAAAATATTCATATTTTCTAAAATAGTATTATAAAAATTCTAGTTCTAAATATTGTAACAATTTCACTTTTTTCTGAAATTGAATAATAATTTATTTTTAAATATGGAGGGTATTGAGGGAAAATGCAGTATGTACACTTTTTAGGTCAAAACGATGTACATTTATACTGATACTGTCAATAATACAAGCTACAAGAACACGCATGTACAATGTCAGAAACGTCAAATGCAAATATTTTATGAGTGTTTAAACATAATATTTTGCACTATTTTAATATTGAAATGAGATTTATAAACTCATTTTTCATGAGATTATGTTTTTTTGGACATACTGCGTTTGCCTTCTATACCCTCAATATATAAATTGGTTTTAAGGATAAACATCCTCAAAACATAAAAAAGAAACATTTGTACTTTCCACAGACAAACAGTGGTTGTAAAAAAAAAACTGACAGTACAAAATTTTTGTAAAGTGCTTTAAAAAAAACCTCACCAAACTTCACAGTCTCAGCCTCATAGTTTCCAATACTTCATTGAATATTGTGCCAACCTTAATTTAACCGCACTAAAATTTACCCATTCTCAAAACTCAGAAATAGGCAGCTTAACTTTGCCTCATATTTGGCATAAAATGTAAATGTAATATGAGTTTTAATCAGCTCTCTGCAAATGGGATTCAGGGTATATACCACTGTTACAGAAACAGAAGAGCCTTTTGATCTACAGAGTGTCAGTTTTAAAAAATTAGTTGCTGCAACAATTCAAACTATTTGTTAAGATTGAGAAAATACTATAGGAAAAAAAAAAACTTACTCCTACAATGTTGAGGGTTCAACTTTGAATCAACTTGTGTATAATGAACCTTTTTATGAGCCTTTTGGAAACATCTGAAATAAAAGTAAAATTCAATTTTAGATAATAACCAGCTTGAAAACCCTGTAGTAAAAATCAGTGCTTTGAGTCCCACTTGCTAGATTTTACCTAGTTATTTTTTCTTATTTCAACTGGAAGTTACTGTTAACAGATTAGTGAATAAAGTATAACAAAAATTAGCGGTTGACAAAACCAACTATTTTTTTATTGATTTATTTTCTATTATAGAGGGCTTATAATAGACTAGACTATGCTAAAGGTTTACACAATACATGTGTAATAAAATTCAATGAGTTATGGTAAATAGCCTAAACTGTGTGGACACCTTGAAAATGTTAAATTATTGTTAAATATGCATACAGCTGTTGCAGATGAATGTGAATGTGAACACACCCCAACTGACTTTTTTTAATGCCATCAAAAGATCTAGATTAAAATTTAGAAATGCATTTTATTTTCATTAGCTGTTGGCCAAGCAATTTTGATCTGTTTGTGTTTATATATATATATATATATATATATATATATATATATATATATATATATATATATATATATATATATATATATATATATATATATATATATATATATATATATATATATATATATAATATAATATAATTTAATGTATGCATTATCTGCACTTTTATAATATTTGTTATTTAGTAACTAATAGTAACTATATTATTATAAGCCTTAGCCTACAACACTGATAAGTAGAATGTGTAATTGTGTATTGTGGTCTGGGTGAGCCAATGCTCGATTGATGAGATTAATATTATAATAATATTATTAATAGATAGAATTGGTAGGCCTAATGAATTAACATTAATTATGCATATTAATAATAAATTATAGGCCTATTACATATTACGACCCGACCCGTGGCGTATCATGCCGCTATTTAGTTGTTTTATTTTCTACATTTCAGTAATTCATAATTTGTGAATTCGACAGTACCAATGCTGCCACTGAAAATATTTGCTTTAAAACACTATCAGTAGGTCGGTCGTTAAGGATGATACCCCCCCCCCCCACCCTCCTTTCCCCCAACCTTATCTGCCCCTAATAGGCATCACTTAACCCGGCTCTATGATTGTATACATTTAGCGTGAACCACAGCTCACCAAACCATGTGGGGGTGGGGGTGGTAGGGTGCGCTTACAGCTTGGTGTTTTCTATGGTCTCCAAGAAGAGAATTATATATATAGTCTAGGCCTAAATAAATTGAACTAAATTCATAGACAGCTGTTAGGACCAGTGGCGTAGCGAGGTCTGGTGTCACCCGGTGCGGCACTTAATGGCGCAGCAATCCTTCCCGGGGATAAACTTTCAATTTTTTATTTGCACCCCCCCCCCCCCCCCAAACTTTCAATTTGCACCTCTTAAAACACTATTTAACACTCAAATTAATCACTTAATTAAGTGGAATTATCATTTTTCTATATATATATTTTGCCTTGGTGTCACCCCCCTAAATGGTGTCACCTGGTGCGGTCCACACACCCCCCCTACACCTCTGGTTAGGACATTTATTATTGTTAGATTTCTCACTGTGCTAGACTACTAAAAATAGCATTTTAAAAAGTAGGACCCCTACAGTACAGTGACTAGATCTACTCATTCATGACACTAAATCAGTCACTCAGCTGACTCTACATGTCACTATATGAGTATATAGTATATTCACATTGCAATTGTATGGGTGCTGTATATTGTATAGTATAGTAATATAGTATAATGTATTACAACCAGAGGCGTAGCGAGGGCGGGGCGTGCGGACCGAACCGGGTGACACCATTTATTGGGGGTGACACCAAGGCAAAAAATAGCAAAATATATAGAGAAAAACTTGAGGGGGGGGGGTGCAAATCGAAAGTACGAGGGGGGGAGGGGGGTGCAAATTTAAAATTTGAGGGGGGGGGGTGCAAATCGAAAGTTCGAGGGTGGGGTGCACGTCGAAAGTTTGACCCCGGGAAGGGTCGCTATGCCTCTGGGGGGGGGGGGGGGGGGTGACACCATTAAGTGCCGCACCGGGTGACGCCCGACCTCGCTACGCCACTGATTACAACGTCATGGATGTTACATTTGACAAATCTGACAAATATAAGTTAATTAGTTAATATCTGTTACAATAACTAGAATCTAGTTTACGTGTGACTTCACTGACTAGTGTTATAATCTGTTGTCTAGATTCTAGAGTAGAGTGACATTATTCTCTAGTATCAGTAATTCTGTATAATAACGTTAATAATATTAATAATTATAGGCTAATACTAATAATAAGCAGTCATTTTCTTGAGCTGCATGTGACACTTAAACTTTGACCCATGCCCTGATGACTCAAAGACGATTTTAGGCCTACAATGTAACAAACATAGATTGCCTTCTCTAAGCCAAGGCAATCATACTTTTAGAAATATTTACCCTTACACATACATCTAGACTAGACTGTTATAATCTAGATATCTAGATCTATCTAGATCTAGATAGAAGAGTGCTGTGTGACTGCACTGCGTGGGATAGACATTAGATAATACTTAATAATAGATATTTTATTTCGTTTATGGTTCTAGGAAGAAAACGAATTGTTGTTTTTAAATATTTAACCATAGAACCAATCATTTTGTGTTATTATTCTAGTGTGTCAAAGGTCTTCATCTAATCTAGACCTGGTGTGTTGTCAGCTGAGTGTGTACATTGTCCATCGTCGCAGAAGTTTAGGTCCAACCACTGATAAAGTGATATCAGTTGTGTTACTTTATCTAGATCTAGATTCTCTAGTAACTTAATGCCTTCAGTGTCACATATACAAGCAGCCTTTTAATTTTATTTCGAATCGTTTAAGTAGTGTCTCAGTATTCAGTAAACTCAAATTAATTTAAAGAAAATAGGCTCTTTGTGACTTAGCCTAGCTACTAGCTAGGCCTAATATTCAATTATTATTTATTACTAGATATCTAATTAATACGCGGGTCCAATTAATACACCCCAATAGCCCACTAACTAGTAATAGTAGTAGTACTAGATCTAATATTTAATATGTGGACAGTAACAGTGTCAGTTATGTCTGTTATGACAATATACTTCAGTTTTTTTGGTATTGTGCTACTTTTTTCCTTGGTTGAATCATCATATTCACAACAGGTAAGCCTACTACTAATTACTACTTATAATCATAATGAATGTATGTGCTTTTAACTTTTAGATAGATCATAGAAAATAGAAAACTATCTAGATCTCGATTTGTAATATTAAAAAAAACAAATTTTGTAGACCTATGACGACACCATATGCCAAAGGCATGATATAGGCTATAGGTATAGGCATATACTATGATACAAGATCACCTATAAATTTTACTTTAAAACGTGAAGTTCCCTTTACAGAAAATTTTATAGGGCAATGTTTATTAATGTTTATCTCCCTTTCACTTTCACCTAACGCCTAGTTCAGTTAGGGTGGACCTAGGGACGTCATGCAGACTGAGATCTGTCTAGTAGTTGAGTGCTCAATTGTTGATATTAATATTTCAAGTTGACACTTTGTATCCCTAGCAGAATGACGCCTGGCGTGGCCTCAACCAATTAGTGGGCTTGTAGCATTGAGTAAGATATAAACTAAAAACAATGATACAAAACAAAAAATGTGGTTATCCATTAAGGCATCCACAAAAGTATATTTGGGGTCTTCCATGAAGGCATCCACAACAGTATATTTGGGGTAATCCAATTAAGGCATCCACAAATAATTTGAATATGAACCTCCCCCTGTCCATACATGTGGTCTGTGACCCAACCAAGTGCAAATTCTAAACACATTTTTTTTTTTAAAAACAAGATTCCATCACTCTGCAACACAGATTGCAAAGTAGATATTAACACAACTGAAACATACAAAGTTTGCCATGAATTCCATCTGACTATGGAGCACAGGTGTTGCATCAACAGAACCCAAGCAAACCAGCTTGATGTTGTTGGGTAAAGTATTGGTTTGTTTCTATTTTAGCCAAGCAATTAGAGTACAACCACATGCAATTTATTATAGTCCTTGTTTCATTTTGTGTTAAACTATAATATATTGACTGTAATCTGTGATATCAATAATTGTTGGCAATTTTACTTTAGCATTGATCTGCGAGAGTGTAGCATCACACAGGAGATGATTGCCTCTGGTTTAAAAGATATTCACACTTTACAATACATGTGAGTAGTTTTAAATAATCACAGTATATGTTTGTGCACATCATTTTAACAAAAATTTATTTTATGTAATTTCTATGATGCAAAGTTTGACTGGGTAAAGGGGGATCATGTGATTCCTTGATGGATGTAGCTTGAATAAAACAATTGTTACATTTTTGTTGCAGCTCATTGGAGGGAAACAACATCAGTGCATTAGCTAACACAGACTTTCAAAACAACCCATCAATTCTTTATCTGTGAGTTATCTAGAAATTAAAATTGTTTATGAAATAACCAATTCAGGTAATAAATTATATTTGGAATAGGTTCTTGGGTTAAAATAATACATTGAAAATATATCTAAATACTTACTTCCATTCATTGAAATACAGAGAGTGACATGAAATATTTAAAAAAAAAACACAAACAAGATAAAAGGATTATTAGATATCTGCTCCTTTAAACAAGTATTTTGTTAATATGCATCATAACTTTTTGTCAAAGGAACTCCTTGTGATATTTACAAAAGTGTATGAATGCATAACTAACCAAGGGGAATAACTCAAGATATGAGCTCAAGGGGGGGGGGGGGGGGCTGATATTTACATTTTTTAAAGGCGTAAACCTCTGGATTGATCTTAACCTACCAAAATTTGATTGCAATCTGAGGAATGGTATGACAGACATACAACATACTTTCATTTAAATATATAGAGAGACTTTAAGTTAAAACATAATAACTTTTATGACACTACATTTTGTTACAATTATTCTGTTTAAAATCTAAGCATTCAGTTCACTCCGCACCAGCTAAAATATTCTAATGTTGTTTTTTAATCCCACAATTCAGTTCACTTCCCAGCAGCTAAAATATTCTAATGTTTTTTAATCCCACAATTCAGTTCACTTCCCAGCAGCTAAAATATTCTAATGTTGTTTTTTAATCCCACAATTCAGTTCACTTCCCAGCAGCTAAAATATTCTAATGTTGTTTTTTAATCCCACAATTCAGTTCACTTCCCAGCAGCTAAAATATTCTAATGTTGTTTTTTAATCCCACAATTCAGTTCACTTCCCAGCAGCTAAAATATTCTAATATTGTTTTTTAATCCCACAATTCAGTTCACTTCCCAGCAGCTAAAATATTCTAATGTTGTTTTTTAATCCCACAATTCAGTTCACTTCCCAGCAGCTAAAATATTCTAATATTGTTTTTTAATCCCACAATTCAGTTCACTTCCCAGCATCTAAAATATTCTAATATTGTTTTTTAATCCCACAATTCAGTTCACTTCCCAGCATCTTAGAGTGTCCTGGGGGTAAAGTTGCCTGGGAGTCAGTTAACCTAACAGATAAGGGCAGGCTGTGTCTGACAGAACTCAACCCGTGTCAGTATGAAAATGGTAGGTTGGCAAACCTGTGTCAGTATGAAAATGGTAGGTTGGCAAACCTGTGTCAGTATGAAAATGGTAGGTTGGCAAACACTGCTCAGTATGAAAATGGTAGGTTGGCAAACCTGTGTCAGTGTGAAAATCGTAGGTTGGCAAACCCGTGTCAGTGTGAAAATGGTAGGTTGGCAAACACTGCTCAGTATGAAAATGGTAGGTTGGCAAACACTACTCAGTATAAAAATGGTAGGTTGGCAAACACTGCTCAGTATAAAAATGGTAGGTTGGCAAACACTGCTCAGTATAAAAATGGTAGGTTGGCAAACACTATTCAGTATAAAAATAGTAGGTTGGCAAACACTACTCAGTATGAAAATGGTAGGTTGGCAAACACTGCTCAGTATGAAAATGGTAGGTTGGCAAACACTACTCAGTATAAAAATGGTAGGTTGGCAAACACTGCTCAGTATGAAAATAGTAGGTTGGCAAACACTGCTCAGTATAAAAATGGTAGGTTGGCAAACACTACTCAGTATGAAAATAGTAGGTTGGCAAACACTGCTCAGTATGAAAATGGTAGGTTGGCAAACACTGCTCAGTACTCATTACATTAGAAATAGGAAATCTAATCAGATTTCAATTGGTGTTATACATGTTCTGGAACATCTTTTAACGAGTTTGATTATTTTAATATTTCAGTGTCCTGTCCAGTCAACTCCCACTGTGAGCATTATGGGATTGATTTGTTTGAATGTTTATGTGATGAAGGCTACTATGGTTATAAATGCATGAATCAGGTAACACTAATATTTTGTTGTACTGGCTGTTTCCATTTATCATTTAATTCAACAACTCCATTGTGATACTGTATACTGGTATTTTTTTCTTTCATCTTGCCTATGATACTTGTGTCCCTTCCACAAGACAGTTCACTTTGTCTCAGTTCCTCGTTCAGTTGTGGTCAGTCTGCCTGGCCTGAGATCATTGTGTAGATAGCAACTAGTGTCCAGCCACATAAAAAAGTGTGTAGATAGCAACTAGTGTCCAGCCACATGAAAAAGTGTGTAGATAGCAACTAGTGTCCAGCCACATAAAAAAGTGTGTATATAGCAACTAGTGTCTGGCCACACATTAAAAAAGTGTGTAGATAGCAACTAGTGTCCAACCACACATGAAAAAGTGTAGATAGCAACAAATGTCCAGCCAAACATAAAAAAGTGTTTAGATAGCAACAGTTAATTTGACAACTTTTTCTATTTGCAGGGAACATTTCCAGCTGTACCATTTGCCATTGGCCTGTCAGTCTCTACTTTTGTTTTGTGTATTTTCCTGTGGGTCACCCAGCGCAGATACGTCATTAGCAAGGCCAGTGACAAGAAGAAATAAACTGCAGTAGAGGCTGTTACTGTTAACTTTTAATGAGAAGTTACAGAAGTATTTTAAGACTCTCTTGGTAGTATTGATCTGAAATAGGGGGCTTCCTTGAGGATGGTATGAGCAGGGAATGAGAGGATGGTATGAGCAGGGAATGAGAGGATGGTATGAGCAGGGAATGATGGTTTGAATCAGAGGATGGTATGAGCTGGGAATAATTTTAAATGAGTGGATGATATTGGCTTGGAATGGTGGTATGAATAATGTTTAAATGCTTTTAACTGGATGACCTGTATCTTTGACCTAATGTTTAACATCCCACTATCTACTGAAGTTTTCATTTGGTTTATACAGTAACATGTATATACATTTCATGTGTGGATTTGCTTTTATTGATAAACATAACACATTTTCAAAAAAAAATTATCACCAATAAAAACATTCCGTTGTAATTTAGTGTTTCTAATTGAATGAAGTGTGTTGATTCCCCACAAAAATTATGCTTATTCCCCTTTAGTAATTGGTATTGTAAGCCGAGGTTAATTGGGGGCTGATCACCTCCACAATGGTGCTTCATGTAAATCTTTCTGGAGTGTGGTCAAATATTGTATCATCTGTTGCTAAATCCAATAGCTGAAGTGTGGTCAAATATTGTATCATCTATTGCTAAGTCCAATAGCTGAAGTGTGGTCAAATATTGTATCATCTATCTATTGCTAAATCCAATAGATGAAGTGTGGTCAAATATTGTATCATCTATCTATTGCTAAATCCAATAGATGAAGTGGGTCAAATATTGTATCATCTATTGATAAATCCAAAAGCTGAAGTGTGGTCAAATATTGTATCATCTGTTGCTAAATCCAATAGCTGAAGTGTGGTCAAATATTGTATCATCTATTGCTAAATCCAATAGCTGAAGTGTGGTCAAATATTGTATCATCTATTGATAAATCCAGTAGCTGAAGTGTGGTCAAATATTGTATCATCTATTGATAAATCCAATAGCTGAAGTGTGGTCAAATATTGTATCATCTATTGATAAATCCAGTAGCTGAAGTGTGGTCAAATATTGTATCATCTATTGATAAATCCAATAGCTGAAGTGTGGTCAAATATTGTATCATCTATTGATAAATCCAGTAGCTGAAGTGTGGTCAAATATTGTATCATCTATTGATAAATCCAATAGCTGAAGTGTGGTCAAATATTGTATCATCTATTGATAAATCCAGTAGCTGAAGTGTGGTCAAATATTGTATCATCTATTGATAAATCCAATAGCTGAAGTGTGGTCAAATATTGTATCATCTATTGATAAATCCAATAGCTGAAGTGTGGTCAAATATTGTATCATCTATTGATAAATCCAGTAGCTGAAGTGTGGTCAAATATTGTATCATCTATTGATAAATCCAATAGCTGAAGTGTGGTCAAATATTGTATCATCTATTGATAAATCCAATAGCTGAAGTGTGGTCAAATATTGTATCATCTGTTGCTAAATCCAATAGATGAAGTGTGGTCAAATATTGTATCATCTATTGATAAATCCAATAGCTGAAGTGTGGTCAAATATTGTATCATCTGTTGCTAAATCCAATAGATGAAGTGTGGTCAAATATTGTATCATCTGTTGCTAAATCCAATAGCTGAAGTGTGGTCAAATATTGTATCATCTATTGCTAAATCCAATAGCTGAAGTGTGGTCAAATATTGTATCATCTATTGATAAATCCAATAGCTGAAGTGTGGTCAAATATTGTATCATCTATTGATAAATCCAGTAGCTGAAGTGTGGTCAAATATTGTATCTATTGATAAATCCAATAGCTGAAGTGTGGTCAAATATTGTATCATCTATTGATAAATCCAATAGCTGAAGTGTGGTCAAATATTGTATCATCTATTGATAAATCCAGTAGCTGAAGTGTGGTCAAATATTGTATCATCTATTGATAAATCCAATAGCTGAAGTGTGGTCAAATATTGTATCATCTATTGATAAATCCAATAGCTGAAGTGTGGTCAAATATTGTATCATCTATTGATAAATCCAATAGCTGAAGTGTGGTCAAATATTGTATCATCTATTGATAAATCCAATAGCTGAAGTGTGGTCAAATATTGTATCATCTATTGATAAATCCAGTAGCTGAAGTGTGGTCAAATATTGTATCATCTATTGATAAATCCAATAGCTGAAGTGTGGTCAAATATTGTATCATCTATTGATAAATCCAATAGCTGAAGTGTGGTCAAATATTGTATCATCTGTTGCTAAATCCAATAGATGAAGTGTGGTCAAATATTGTATCATCTATTGATAAATCCAATAGCTGAAGTGTGGTCAAATATTGTATCATCTGTTGCTAAATCCAATAGATGAAGTGTGGTCAAATATTGTATCATCTATTGCTAAATCCAATAGGTGAAGTGTGGTCAAATATTGTATCATCTATTGCTAAATCCAATAGCTGAAGTGTGGTCAAATATTGTATCATCTGTTGCTAAATCCAATAGATGAAGTGTGGTCAAATATTGTATCATCTATTGCTAAATCCAATAGCTGAAGTGTGGTCAAATATTGTATCATCTATTGATAAATCCAATAGATGAAGTGTGGTCAAATATTGTATCATCTATTGCTAAATCCAATAGCTGAAGTGTGGTCAAATATTGTATCATCTGTTGCTAAATCCAATAGATGAAGTGTGGTCAAATATTGTATCATCTATTGCTAAATCCAATAGATGAAGTGTGGTCAAATATTGTATCATCTATTGCTAAATCCAATAGCTGAATTGTGGTCAAATATTGTATCATCTATTGCTAAATCCAATAGCTGAAGTGTGGTCAAATATTGTATCATCTATTGATAAATCCAATAGCTGAAGTGTGGTCAAATATTGTATCATCTATTGATAAATCCAGTAGCTGAAGTGTGGTCAAATATTGTATCATCTGTTGCTAAATCCAATAGATGAAGTGTGGTCAAATATTGTATCATCTATTGATAAATCCAATAGCTGAAGTGTGGTCAAATATTGTATCATCTATTGATAAATCCAATAGCTGAAGTGTGGTCAAATATTGTATCATCTATTGATAAATCCAGTAGCTGAAGTGTGGTCAAATATTGTATCATCTATTGATAAATCCAATAGCTGAAGTGTGGTCAAATATTGTATCATCTATTGATAAATCCAATAGCTGAAGTGTGGTCAAATATTGTATCATCTATTGATAAATCCAATAGCTGAAGTGTGGTCAAATATTGTATCATCTATTGATAAATCCAATAGCTGAAGTGTGGTCAAATATTGTATCATCTATTGATAAATCCAGTAGCTGAAGTGTGGTCAAATATTGTATCATCTATTGATAAATCCAATAGCTGAAGTGTGGTCAAATATTGTATCATCTATTGATAAATCCAATAGCTGAAGTGTGGTCAAATATTGTATCATCTGTTGCTAAATCCAATAGATGAAGTGTGGTCAAATATTGTATCATCTATTGATAAATCCAATAGCTGAAGTGTGGTCAAATATTGTATCATCTGTTGCTAAATCCAATAGATGAAGTGTGGTCAAATATTGTATCATCTATTGCTAAATCCAATAGGTGAAGTGTGGTAAAATATTGTATCATCTATTGCTAAATCCAATAGCTGAAGTGTGGTCAAATATTGTATCATCTGTTGCTAAATCCAATAGATGAAGTGTGGTCAAATATTGTATCATCTATTGCTAAATCCAATAGCTGAAGTGTGGTCAAATATTGTATCATCTATTGATAAATCCAATAGATGAAGTGTGGTCAAATATTGTTATTCCTATTGTTGTCCGTACCAACTACTGCCTACTCTGTGATCAGAAAAAATAGAATTAACTGTGTGTATGAAATATCAAGCTCTGCTGGTCAAAAAACTTTGTAAGCATAAAGTTGAAAATGGTTTTGATGTTTGTTTTGTAACTCTGACAATATCTATAAATAGCTTGTTTTCTTAGGTGCACTATCCCTTGTTAAGAAACAGCTGTTTACCTGCTCTTTGAACTTAATTATCTAAGTCATAAAGGGCAAACTGTCATAAGAAAAGTATAGAATACCAGACATTACACATGGAGTAGAATGGATCCAAAAACAAATGGTTTAATGTTTGAACCAAATACAAAATAAGTGCATGTAACACAACAATTTTGTATAAATATTTATTTTTTTATAATGTGGATGGACATTTTAAACACACATGGGGAAAATACTTTATGTAGGCTGAGTGGTAAGAAACAATCCAACAAAGATGTTGTAATAATTTTAAACGAGACGACCAACGTATTTAGCTTTAGGATACTTTCCTAGGAGCTCCGGCCACTGGACAAAAAAACTATCGGCCAAGTGATATAACAGCTTGCCTGACAAGGAGAGTGAAGTCACTCGACAAAAGCTTTCAACATACACAATCACAGTACTCTGTAGCCGCAGACACTGAGGAACAGAATCATTGTGGGTTTACATGAGCACATTCATTGTTCAAATATTTTCTTGTTGCAATATTTTATTAACTATACCATTTTTACTAAATTTGTCTACTACTTAGTGGGTGAAAAGCATTTTTTTTACCATTAAAAAAGATTTTTTAAATAAGTTCTGATAATGATTTAAGATTTAGTTGTGTGAGAAGTTATGTTCTGATATTTTGGTTAAATTTTCATGTGGGTATCAAGGAGCACATACTGGGGCTGATGGAATGATACATCTAATTCATCAACTGATACTTGTATGTTATTGGTTTTTTGGATGGAGTTGGAGACAGTTTCAAACCACATATTAGATTCTGATTTCAGATCACAATACATATATTGCTGATTACATATCAGATTACATATATTGCTGATTACAGATCACATTACATATATTGCTGGGTATTATCTTTCTCCATTTTTATATTAAAAACACATTTAGTTGAGTAAATTCGTGATCTCTAGCTTTGTGTACTGCTCTTTTTACTATAACTATAACCTGATGGTCCTTAATTTTATTAGACCATAATTGTTTGACCCTAAATTGTGGTCAGTAAAAAATGTTTGGTTGTCTACCCTGATTTGATGGTCCTATGACTAACTCAGTGGAGGGACTTGTGCCTATTCTTACCTTTAAAACCATGCCAGCTAAACAAACTGGTATGCAAGTACCAGGACCATTGCAGAGAATCTGAGGGAAAAATTGAGATAAGAAATCAGATAACTTTCAGTCACCAGTAACACAAAAGATATTTAGATAGCAGATCTTTGTTAGGTCACAAACACACAAATCTACTGCTGAAGGAATGTTCAGATTAATCATAGAGAACAAGTTACCAATGTGAACTCTGACCTACATCTTAACACAGTTACACTCTCTAAGATAAGGTTTGAATTTGAAAGGAGAAGAAAAGAAAGAAAGGGAAAAAAGCACATTTTTAAGATGCATGTTTTTTTTGTGGGTCCACTTAAAACAGAACTAGCAAGCAACTGATGGTGTGGCTAAGTGGGGTTGCTTGTGTCTAGCAGTTCTTGCTTCTGTTGATCAATAAGTGGGGGGTGGGGGGAGAGACCAACATGACGGTGTAACAAGACAGGTCACATGAAGTGTAAGGAAAAATGAAGTAACGTTTGAGACCTGTCCCTTTGTTCTACATCACCTCTATAGCTGATCAGCAATAGTTCTCAGATAGAGATTTGAGACCAAAGAACAAGAGAAAGTCAAGTTACATCAACTGTGTATTACAACAGAACGTGTTGCGCTAAGATAACGAAAGCTCTGATTAATTAGGGAACTCAGAGGTCAACTACGTTTTAATCAAGATAATTAATCTGACATCAAACCAACTATATAGAATTATAATATGCTACTACTCACTTTCCCCACATGTAAACCTACACATATTCCCCCACTCACATACATTGTATACATGTAATGAGATGAGTGACTTACAATCTCTGGTCGCAGTTTAAAAACTAGAGGAAAGCAAAAAATGATGGCCCGTAGTGTGGTAATGACGCTGGTCAGGTACGACTGTTTCACTTCACGGCTTCGAGGAATGTAAAACACTTTGTACTGTGGAAAACAAAGGGAATGTAAAATACTTTGTACCATTAAAAAACAAAATGAACGTAAAATACTTTGTACCATTAAAAAAACAAAAGGAATGTAAAACACTATGTGCTGTGAAAGACTAAGTCAATTTAACAAAATAAAGATAGTCTCTGTAAGCTGTATTAAATTAGGTTTCCATAGAAACGTGATGCACACAATTGTAATCTGAGTAAATGAGCAGCCTGTGAAAGGCGAACAGCTGTCAGTTTGCTGTGATCTTACCCTCCATTAAATAAACTACAGAGAATATTGTTGTGGACCTAACTAGCCACCTGACACCAGTGTTACATTAGATTAGTTACAGCACATTGACTGCGGGGAGTGTAGCACTCAATGAAACTCTCAATGGCTTTTTGTCACAGTGATGGGGAACAGCTGGTCTAACTTGTTTGAAAGGAGGAAGTGAGATGAACAAAGATGACTGAGGAAAAAACTCCAACGCAATTTGATCAAAATAAAAAAGTCGAAATTTTAAAAAATTTAAGTAGCCAATACAAGTTTTTTTCACTGTATTCAGTGTGGTTAATCAGAGCTAACAAACTGTGTTATAGTCTAGAGTCTAAAGGATATTACTCCTCTACTTCATTAGAAGGTACTTAGCTGCTAACACTGGATGTGTTAGGGTGTTTTCGGTAATTAATGAATTTAAAAAAAAATAGAAAGTCAATATTATACAGACAAAAAGAGAAAAGATGGGCAAATGCCTCAATAAATCAAGAAATGTTCTGTTTAGATTTAGATACATACTTCAGGCAACTTTGGGAGGGGGGGGGGGCATTCCCCTCCCGCATGAAATAAAAAAAATATACAATTTTTTATAGAAAATACATACTTTTTCCAAAGCCCCCCCCCCCCCCCCCCCCCCGCCCAACAGAGAAAAAAGTCTGAAAGAAATACTGACATCTTTGTTTACAGTTAAGCCAGCAGTAAAAAAAATTCTTATACAATATAACTCTTACAATGGTGAAACCATCAAACAGCAAAATGTAACTAAGCTACACAACTCAGCAGTATCAGAGGTTGTAAAGTATAGACAGTATGTAGGTAACCAGTCTGTCTATCTGTGTTTATCTCTACACAGTTAGCTATGCTGACTATCTAAAGCTTCGATGTAATAGGTAGAAAGTAAAAGAAAAAAAATGATTAGATGGTGTAACACAGTCCTGCAACCAGTACACACAAACCAGCAGTACAAAACAGGTCAAATGACAGCAGAGCCACAGATTGTCTGTCCCACAAGTTTTGGTAAGTCCAGCTCATTGCTGCTCTCATGTGTATCACAACTTGTTGAGTATAACTAAACAACCCCGGGCTGTTTGGTGATTTCAATCTTAGAACAATCTCAACATTTGACATACAGTACATACATAATTCTCAAATAGACCACTAGGTCAACGCTGGGTTAAAGATAAGTGATATAACAAACTTTAATTAAAGATTAATTGGAAAATAGGAGCAAGCAGTTATAATTGTTTTTTTTTTAGTTAAAGCTGTTGGTTTACTTTGTAATTTTTCTTATTATTCATATAAAAAAAATAAACTCTCTTATGTATTTCAAATTGTTAACGATGCAATAAAAATGAAACCTTTTTTTAAGCAATTTAATTCTCATATGATTTTAGTGCTCATGTGGTCTATGTGTGAATATAACAAGGATGTGTCAGTACTGAAATGGTCTTTGTGTGAATGTAAACAAGGATGTGTCAGTACTGAAATGGTCTTTGTGTGAATGTAAACAAGGATATTGTGTCAGTACTGAAATGGTCTTTGTGTGAATGTAAACAAGGATGTGTCAGTACTGAAATGGTCTTTGTGTGAATGTAAACAAGGATATTGTGTCAGTACTGAAATGGTCTTTGTGTGAATGTAAACAAGGATGTGTCAGTACTGAAATGGTCTTTGTGTGAATGTAAACAAGGATATTGTGTCAGTACTGAAATGGTCTTTGTGTGAATGTAAACAAGGATGTTTATAGTCAGTGCCCCAAGTCCTGTTCTCACCCAATACATACCACCACATTTCTTAACACTTTTAATTTTTTTTTTTAAATCTTGAGTTGACAGAATAAGAAGGGGTTGGATCTGCAAATTTTGGCCTGCACATTTTGGTACTAACTGGCCACTCAAAAACCTGCACATTTTGGTACTAACTGGCCACTCACATTTTGGTACTAACTGGCCACTCACATTTTGGTACTAACTGGCCACTCACATTTTGGTACTAACTGGCCACTCACATTTTGGTACTAACTGGCCACTCACATTTTGGTACTAACTGGCCACTCACATTTTGGTACTAACTGGTCACTCACCTTTTGGTACTAACTGGCCACTCACATTTTGGTACTAACTGGCCACTCACATTTTGGTATTGATTGGCCACTCAAAAAACTGACTTTTAGAGCAAGTTACAAATAATTTTACTGAACAAAATAAAAAAAATAGCTTTTACTTATTGTATATAAGCACACTATTTAACAAATGTAGAATGAATGAGAAACCATGCAAATGGCATACTTACATTTTGTTGACCTTTGACATCACTCTTCAGCTTTTCACACTCATCTATTTTTTTCTCACTTATTTGATCTGTGTCTGCTACAATGTAATAGCGTGGACTATAGTGTTCACCTAAGGCTTTAACTAGAGTTAAAATTTCAGTTGTATGGCCACCTAAATTAGAGGAAAAAAAACCCACTGAAAACATTTGTTTTAGTCATTCAAAAAGTTGGGCAGAGCTACATGCGTATTACGTTCATGAATTCAGGTCAGTTTGAACCCCCAGGCAGTTAGCCTTGTTAGCTGTGGTTCACTCTAAATGTTTACAATCGTACAGCCGGGTTTAGTGACCCCTATTAGGGGCAGATAATTTAGTTTGAAACTATTTTAAACTTAGGGGAGGTAACTAAGAGGAGGCTGCTTTCACAGGGGGTGGGGGGTGTAGGGTAGGGGTTGGGGTTGGTGGGGGGGGGGGGGGGGTATCTTCCTTAACGGCCTACTGATAGTGGTTTAAAGCAAATATTTTCAGTGAAAGCGTTGGTACTGTTGAATTCACAAATTATGAATTACTGAAAAGTAGAAAATAAAACAACTAAATAGCGGCGTGTGATACGCCGCGGGTCGGCTCGTTCTTATAAATAGTAGTCCTGACCACCTGTACAGGATACCCTCAAACCTTAGTTGCTAAGGTAGCGCTCATCGGCACACTACTGCCTAGGCACGCCACTCCAATATTTAAAAAAAAACTATACCAGTAATTTTTGCTAGTCGATAGTGTAATCAACTTTCCAAAGTTTATGGAGATTTTTGTAGAATGTTGTACAAAATTCTACATTCTACCCCCACCCCCCTTCCACACACATTATCACAAAATTACAGACCTCCTCTCCCCTATGTCAGTATGTAAGTATGTTACTATAGACTATAACAGAATGTATAGTAACTCTAGATTAGTCTAGATCTAGATCTGTGATCTAGTACTAGATCTAGATCTGTATTATTATCTAGAGTATATATATATTATATAATAATATATTATTTTTTATATTGATTATATATATAGTATATAGTAGGCCCTATATACTATACTACTATTAATAATATTATAATTATATAGGCCTATAGGGCCTACTGTTTACTATAGGCCTACTAACTACTATACAACATACACTATTATACTAATTAATAATTATACATACTTAGTTACAATAGTTTGATTCTAGTACTTACTACTTAGTAGTAGTAGTAATAATTTTATAATATTAGTACTTACTAGATCTACTAACTAGTACTAATAGTAATAAGTACTACTATTAGTAACTAATACACAATTCATGTAATTGTAGGTAATCTATCGTTTTGGGTACGTAAAATCGCCCACGGCTATTAATGTACAAAAACGTTACCTCATTATCAAGGCTGTAATAGAAGTATATTGTGATATGTTTGTGTCAAATATTATAGATAAATGAATAATAAACCTAAATCAATGGCTAAATATATCAATATTGGCCAGAAATTAACTTTAAACAGCAGTGTCTGCAAGCAAGATTTGCTATATAAACAGCAGCCATTTGTAAAATAGAGTGACCTCCGCCTGAATCTCGCGCTATAAGTCTATAAAAATAAAACTAACAGGATGGCTGCTATAGTAAATGAGCATGGTTGCATCTGTTGGAAACATCGTTGGTGTTCATTTATTACTGAAAAGTTTTAATTCAATTGTTTAAAAACAGGTACATAAATGAAATATGGAAACATTTTTGCATTTTCAAAACATAAATCATCCTCAAAATGTGAAATAATTATTAAAATGTAAGGAGTCACCTGTTTTTCACATTACTACTCGCGGGCGATTTTGCGTACCTAAAACGATAGATTACCTAATTGTAATACAATACTAAAGATTGGAAGAAGTAACTAACTTTACTTACTAAACTAGTTACAATAGTATAGTATAGTAGTAGTAGTAATTAATTACTAAGTAATTATAGGAAAATTACCAGAGCCAACAACGACTAGTACGGATGCTGGATCACATTTATTATTATTACGTAGTCGAATTCGTGGCCTTGCATGTACGAAAAAAATTGTAATTAAAAGTGCTATTATTACAACAGTAAAAAAAAATAACATAAGGAGCAACATTGTCAATAATGTAAGGGAGCATACTCTGAGATACAATTTTTTTATTTACCTTTTCGTTTATGAAAAAAGCTATCTGCCAAATTGGCAATAATTGATTTATTTAAAACTAAATGTGTATTAAATATACAGACTTTTAAAATTAGTATGGAATAATAATGTGAAACTAAAATAATTGTATGCATTTTTCGTAAGCGCAACTTATATTTTTTGTATCAAAAAAATTTAAAATAATATTACTAAAAGTTTAATAAACTTGGCCAAATTATCTTGCACAAAAAATCAGGCACGTCAGCGTCAACATAAAAGCTATTGATGATAGCTAATGTAAAGCTGACTTGGATTCATAAAAGGTTTTAGTTATTATAATAATATAATGTTTATAAACACAATTCCTACTATTTGTAGATCTAGATCTAGATTCTATATTTTAAATTGTTTGATTAGATATTTATTATAATACTATGATATAAATGACTAATGAGTACACTGTACTGTACAAGTACAACAGTACTGAGTATCGAGTACATCATTATTCAGTAGACTACTCACTCAGAGCAGATTCAGGCTACTCACTCACTGAGTCACCGACTCAGTCAGTAAATTTTCACTTTTCTAGTAGTTGAGTCTTGGAGGCTAGTGGCTAGGTTTTGCAGACTACATGACTGCCTAATAAGTATTAAGTAATTGTGTCTGATTTCAATCATTTAACTTTAACATTAGGCCTCATGTTCAATGTTATAATAATAGTAATAACTTAAATTTAAATACTTTAATAGTAAAAATAGTTTGATCTAAATTAAAATAATCTCAATCTAGTCTAGGTCTCTTTTAGTAGTCATTAAGTGAGACTATATTTTAAGGTAATATTTCAGTTAAATTGATTCACTTCACTGCCTTTTTTAAATTATTTATGAAATGTTTCATTAAGATGTAATGATTCTATAACGAAGTGACTGCTTAGAATGAGCTTCTGCCCCCAAGCTTCTAGGCTGGCCAGCAGAAGATGTGAAACCCAATGACCTTAATTATATTGATAGCTGCCAAAAACTAACTGTGCTGTGTGGTCGAGCGGTTGCGCTTCCGGCGGATCATCTGGGTTGAGAGTTCAATACCAAGTTAAATAGTATAGTTTTAGGTGACAAGAAAAACTAGGTCACTGTAGCGCTGTTATGTAAACATACGCATGCACATCTTCTGGCTAGAATCTGCCAATTAATAATTACTTTTAATTTTAAATAGCCTAATATATAACTAATTATAATAAGTAGGGCCTATCGTCTATAGGCCTACAATAGCCCTAATTTAATAGCTTATTATGATTTATTAAGCCTAAGGGGTCATGCTTTTTTTTGACGATTCTAACATTGCTTTTTTATAATACAAAAGTGTGACTTCACACCCTCTGAACCCCTCCCCCCTCATCACACACCGTCGCAAAATTATGGACCTACGAGTGTGACATCATTTATGGGCGACCCCCAATTATATTTCTAATTAAACTAATAATAAATATTAGGCCGAATAATGATAGAGTTTCTATTTTCATTAAATTATTTCAGGATTAGCTCCTTTAATAAACTATTAAAATAATAGTAAAATGAAGATACTATTAGAATTTTTTTGGATTAGTAAGTAAAAATCTTCAAATCTTAAAGATAAATGGATGATAATATCATTGGACTTTTTATTATTTTTTGCAGGGCCCACATTAATGACTAGTAAGATAAGACTACTGAACTATTTTATTTTTATTGCAGACAATTTTGTATTTTTGGTAATAAGGCCTATTGCTTATATCTATCCTAGATCTGTATTTATCTGATTGCAAATTAAAATGTTTACCAATTTAGGCCATATTAATAATTATTACTTTGTTTAGATCTTGTAATTAATACTAAATGTAAGCCACATATTAAGTTGTTAATTCCTTGTATGAAAATTTCAGTAGAAAATTATGTGCATGGGAAATTAAAAAAAAAATAGACATTAGCAAAGGAAGACCACATATAAAAATCTAGTATAACAAAAGATATTTCCAGTAAATAGGACCAAATGAAACTATTTCAGTATATATAGCATATAGTTTGTATGTGTATTAATAATCAATATTAAAATGTAATAAGTGTTTAAATAAAGTACTTCAAGTAGCAGCTAATGCAAGGTGATAACAGATTAACTAATAACATAACTACAGCTGACAATAATACAAAACACAAATCCCTACACCTTACTTGTACTTTTAGTCAATAATAGTAAGATTTAAAAAAGATCCTCATTTGGGACTTCCAACCTATAAAAAAAAAAGTAAGCTAATGATCTACATTATTTACATCAAATAGTGAGACACCTGTTATTTTTGCAGTAAACAAATTATACATGTTTCATTTTACAACAATTATGGTGTAATATGACTTTGATTGCTATTTCATTTTCCTTCTTACTTTTAGGATGTTGAATTTTTAATACAGCTGATAAAATGGGTCGTCGACTTGACATCCTGTATTTTGACACAACATACTATCCAGTGGCAGCATTTAGTTGTGCATTTTTCTTATATCTCTACAGGTACTTCATCAAAACTTTTACAATAAAATATTTAAAAATGTCTTTAATTCAATAAAAAAATAAGTACTTTTAACATCCCTCAATCTGCTTAACCTGGCCTATATTATTTTAAAAAATTGTTTTGTAACAGATATGTAAGTCCAAAGCTATCTTCAAAGTATTGTCCCAAGTATAGTCTTCTTTCTGATCAAGAGCAGGTAGATTGGAACAACAGGTAAGTGTTGTCAATACAGTTAGGCTTAAAACTTCTTGTTTTAATTTCTTAAAATAATTGTATTGTTAGCAATGAGACCAGATGATTTTTAAGATTCTTGTATGCTTTAATCCTACAAATGTAAATTATGAAATTTCAGAATAAATTCTACAGTTCACTCTGTAGTTGTCAGTTGTATGTGTGCCTATACAATGCTATATGATGACGAAATTGCAGAAGATCCTATTTGGTATGTATTAGCAAATTTTTCTTGATGGATTCTTCAAGTAATTTGATCAAAATTAGTTTACTTTTGTGTCAAGTATTGTTAATCACTATTCCATTATATGCTCAGTTCACTCATTGTTGATTATATATATATATACATTAAAATGCTTTACTTCCCTTTACAGGTGGGACTCCCCTTTGGTCAGGACAAGTTGTGCTATTGTAGCAGGATATATGACCTCAGGTTTTTATATATTATTGTCCATTTAAAACTAGTTTGTTTTAATTAAACATAATTATTTTTTTTTTTAACCTTATGTGAATTTTAAAAAATTGTAATTAATTATATTTATTTAGATGTGATAATAATGGCCATCCACTACAAACAAATCGGAGAAGTATTTTATGTTCTACATCACGGTGCATCTATTTATGCTTACTACTATGTCATGGTAAGCTCTTAAAGATGAATGAATATATTAGCTTTTTTTATTGTTCAAAGACAATCCAGTAAACATAGATGTTAAAAAGTATTGTTGCTTTTATTTTTACCTAATAACTCGTGTTAATGCCAAATCTTTATAATGAAAGAAAATAACATTACAATTATGTAAAGTTTCCTTTTCAAACCTGACAGTTCATGGGGCAAGTGAAGTAGAATTCACATGTTTTTGTGACTTTGACAAATGAAGGGATATTGTGGTCAGCACTATGACCAGCCACCTTTAATTTCCCTAACACCAGTTAGGTACCCATTAGAGCTGAGTGGACTTGTGGATGTTCTACTGGCTTGAACTCAGATTCAAATTGAGACTTTAGGGTTAGCAGCTAAGTGCTCTACCGCTAGGCTATGCCGTCCTCTTATGATGAGATCTATACAAATATAAGGTTTAAACAAATTGATGAGAAATATGATTTATATAGAGAATTATAATTGCCAAACATCTTAAGACTTAATCATTGCATTCCACTTATTTTGTCTTTAACTTTAACTGGTGCTTCAGTATGTTGATAATGTAACAATTTCTTTTTCTAAATGTATACCTGATATTAGTAAAAATGTGTCTTCAAAAAGTATTCTTTAGCTTTATATTAAATTTAGTCATTGATTTTCCATTGATTCAAACTAGAATAATTTTTATTACAGACTTATGGTGTATTACCTTATTTTGCAAACTATCGACTTGTTGCTGAATTTTCAACACCATTTGTTAATCAAAGGTATGTAGTCTTTTTATTCTTAAGATTTCCAATATTTCTAAGCTGTTCTTAACTATCTTGTTAGCCATTTAACATGCAACTTTCTCTTCATTAAAATTCTTTCAGTCTATCTGCTATAGTCATTTGTAAAAAGTGACAGCTAAGGTTGTTTTCTTTTTGGACTGATGATCCTTAGGGTAGATAAGTAAATTCATCTGTTTCTTGACCATTGCATGAGATGGTGTGCTGATCACTGTGCCAAGCTGCCTTTACTTTCCCTGAGCTGGGTAGTCTAAGCTTTTTGAAATCTGCTAAACCTTTTTTTTTTAGGAAATAGTAATTCAACAAGCTTCATATTTTGAAAAATGCCCATTGAAGTCCAAACTATTACTATTAGCTTTTAAATTTGTGTAAAAAAATTTGGCTGATTTGTTTTTCTGTTGAATTGTTAGGAAAAGGGTTTTTTCACTTGAACTATTTTTAACTAATAACTTTTGTTTTTCTTTTTTCTCAGGTGGTTCCTCTCACAGCTTGGTTATGATAAAACAAACTTTATTTTTGTATCCAATGGTGTGGCGATGGCTGTGACATTTTTTATTGTGAGGATCGCAGTGATGCCTTCATACTGGCACCGAGTTTATTCTGTATACAATACTCCTGCATTTAATCGACTGGGATACATCCAATTATGCTTGATTATCCCCTGCATTATACTAGATATTATCAATGTTTATTGGTTTTATAAAATTTGTGTTGGTGCATTTAGAATCTGCTGTCTGTTTTTTGAAAAAGAAAAATTGGAGGGCAAATCATCAACAGGGTCCAAATTGTTAAACAATACTTTTAACACTTTATTTACAAAAAACAACCACCCAGTAAGTCATAAGCATATTGACTAGAAGGTTTTTCCTTTTTTTTTTAAGATAGCTGTGATTTTTTTCAAAACTTCAACATTTAAAAACAAAATACTTGAATCTTAAGCGTGGTTAGCTTTGGTTTATTGTTAACTGAATTCCACATCTGTTTCTTTGTTAGATAAAGAATTTGTTGTCCTTTAAGTTTTAAGCTTGCTAACTATAATTATCTTTTGGGGCATGTATTTAGTCAAAGCTTAAGATACTTATTGCTTTTATTATCATACCAGTTTTTACCATTTGCTCAAAGTAAAGTTGCAGACATATCATGATCAGTAAAATGCAATCTTTATAAACATGGCTCAGCACTTGGACATTTATAAAGTGCTTTTGTTTGTTTACCAAGTGCCAGAAAATTAAAAAAAACCAAACAACTTTGTAGATTTGTTTTGGATCATGGAAATCGCTTAATAAAGAAAGTTCAAATACTACTGAATTTCTAGTCATCAAAATACATTTTCATTTCTGCAATAGACACACATAGTTGTTATCAGCCATTAAAGTTCCTAATGCTCTAAAATTCCATGTAAACTAATATTACCTAAAAAAAAAAACCACCTGTTCCTGTATTTTATTGCACAGGTATTTTTTAAAAGGGATTTAAAGAATTGCTGCACATATTTTAAATTTTAATACCATTGAGATTAAATGGTGCAATTTGCATGTCAAATTCAAATTTGTTTATATCATTCCTATTTTACATTAATTTAGCAAGCTGTACTTAACATTTGGGATTCAGAACTTGGGCTAGTCCTTAAAAAAATGTGTTCAAGCCACATAATTTCAATGCAATTTTAAGTTTGTCTTTAAACTTTTTTGTAAAAACAGCTATTCATTATATTACTCTTCAATATTTTATGAACATGCTGTGCTGTACGCATAGTTTTCGTGCAAATGTCACTGTTTTAATCTAACTTACTAATAGATCAATTTACTTCTTCCTTATTGGTTGCCTCAGCATACTGCACAGTGATGTAACTAATACACATTAAAAGGAAGTTGCAAAGTGTCATTTGTTTTTGTCTTTTTTCATTCCCATAACTATTTTCAAATATTTGATTTGCTGCACAACAAAAATATTTCTAGATATACTGTTTTCAGCTACTCATGATTTAGGAATTGTAGGCATATTTTAAAAAGCATGATTCCATGTAATATACTTAGTAAACATACACCATAAATTATAAATACAATTATTACAGTAGTGATTAGAGGCAAAAATATTTTATTCTTCAATGTTATTATACAAATGCTTTAAACAGTTACTGGAACAGATAGCAACCCAGCACTGACATCAACAACATAGCAGCACTATGTTAATTATATGTGATATTATTACCTATTTTTAACATCTCCAGATTAAAAAACTTAAAAACATTACAGTAAAATATCAGTAAAACTAAAAATATAATGTTTATTGTTAGCCTTGGTCTTCTTCCACTTCATCATCTTCCATTCCTTCCTCCTGTTCATCTCTGCCACCATCTGGTCCAGGTAGATGAGTAGAGAGGAGATCAAGCAGCTCCTCTATTTGAGCTTCTGTCAGCCTTTCTTCACTCTCCTCCACAATCAACTGAATCTCTACAGCTGAGGAAGGCCTGAGGTTTATCAACTGTAGTTTTTCAGCAGGGGTGAGTCTATAAGGAGTCAGTGCCATCATGACAGCCATAATACCATTAGGAGTTTGGTGGTTACAAGGCCATTGTTCCAAACATTTGATTGTTTCATAAGTAATGGTTGCCAAATTAGTTTGGTATTTATTTGGCTTTTTCTGTCCTCTGCCAGCTTGAATGTCTTTTAGAAGACCCAGCACTTCAAAATTGCTGAGCATGGCATGGTTTTCACTCTTGACTTCCATGGCAGATGTGTGGTTGATTCAATGAGTTACCATGAACCTATCAGATGCATGTCTCCCTGCAGCCAAAACAAAACTCCACACAGTCACTACAAGGACAAACAGCACCTACAAATAAATAACTTGGCATTAATACAATGGTCATTTAAAAAGTTATGTACATAAAGTGGCACAAAGTGACTTTCTATAAAAATATGCCAGGGGCCATCCATAAATTGGAGACTGTTTAGACTTGCGCAACTGTGTTCACTGTGTTCAATAGAAAATTGTTTGGTTGTCGAACACATTTTCTCTTAATTAAAATTTAGAGACATGCACATTATGCCTTACTCTATAGACTAACCCCCTAGAAGCACTTCATTAATACACACAATTAGTGATACACTTTATTTTACAAAGAATAGCTGAAATTTGCCACATTTTGTAGGCTACTAATTAGATCAGGTTGTAATTAAGAAAAAGATATTAGGGTGGGGTTAAAATGCTAAACGGCAAATCATTCAGCTGTGAAGCAATAAAGAATCTTGCACCGTACAACATGCTGTTCTTACATATGGTCAAACAGATGTACAGACATTGCACATCTGGTAATTAACTAACAATAAACCTTAAACCTACTTTGGTACTGAAAGGAAATTAACCATGTAACATTTGATAATTGTACAAAAAAATTGAAACACTAAATAAAATATTATTATAAAAACCACATGTGGATAAACCACTTATGGACTGTGGTTAAACTTAAGCTGTGGATGTAAGTAGGTAAAGTGCCTGTGGTCAAAGCCCCACTATGAACATACAACCAATGGTCAAAGAAACTTGTACCCTAACCTAACAATTTACAACCAACACAAGAATAAAACAAAAAAATGTCTCCCTTTTCATGTTGCTATTTACCTGTACTACTGCAGGTAATAACTTGTATTGTCTTCTAGCATATTATTGCCTTGCCATTTCAATTCTTGCATTTTACCCCCACCCCATTTTTTGGGGTGGAGTGGGCTTACAATATAGATCTACTCAGAGACGGCTATAAAAATTTTAAAAGGGATAGCAAAAAATGAAGATCATGAGCCTTAAATTTAAGCAGGCAATTCTTGGAGAAGAAGCTACAGAAAATGCTGAAGGAAACATGAGCTACAACTGATATGGTATTCTAATTATTTCAGACTATTTGATAAACTAAAATTATAAAAGATAGATTATTAGGCAAGACTGCTTTTTCACCTTATATATATTTTTTCTAAATTTAAAAAATGGAAATTTGATATTGACTGGAGGTTTGGATGTCTATAACGAGTAGGCCATAGAAATAAAAAATTCACTTTTAAAGGCTGGCTTTATTAATTATGCAAAATAGCTATTTGGACCTTGATCTACATAGTAATTGCACACATGTAGTATAGTTTAGTTACACAGAACATGTTCTAAATTTATGCCTTATTTGCATTTTGACTAACATTGTGACTTAAGTCTGGATTGAAAAAAATAAATAGATCAAAGCAGATAAGGTAGTGGTATTTTCGTATTTTAAATTTAGAGAGAAAACCAAAATTAAATTATTAGTCCCCTAATTAAAAATAACGAAGTGACTACGCGTCTCGCAAAGCGTGGCCCCTAGAGAATATACTACGCGTCTCGCAGTTTTGATTTACCATCTTATAATTGAAAATGCTTACTTTTAACTTTTCCAGCACATCCGCTGTGGTTGAGTCAACAGTGTGCCAGCTGTAGTTTGAAATTCATAGACCCGGAGTTTAGAGTTCGAACCCGGGGTTCGCTCGGCCGGTACTAGTTTTTTTTTTTTAGATTTTTTTTCATATTGAAAATATGACGTAGACTATGATTTTTTTTTAAATAAAATTTCCAAACATCGTCACTGTCGTGATTGCTTGCCTTACGTTTACTAGCGCATGAGTGGAAAATCCCACCACGGCCCACGGTCGGCGAGGTCACTGTGAGTTCAGCAGGCCTAAAGCATACGTCATAGACGTTCACACGAGATCGTCTGTCTTCACTTCTCTATTCCTCCCACCCCCCTCCCCACTCAAGCAAATTGAATTTTTTTTTTAAGTTCACGTAGGATAAATAATATAGACTTAGATCTACTATCACGCATGCTAGATAGCTAGGCCTAAAGGTTAAAGGACAGTTTGATTTAGCTAGGTTGCTGCTAGATCTAGGACTATCATGATATCATCTGACCCATCTGACCTCACAAACTTTCCTTGACACTACACTGTACTGTTATTTTTTTACAAGTTCTAGACTCTTAGGTGTTGAAATAATATAGAGATCTAGATCTATGTCAACATTAACTTGTTACCTCGAAAAAAATATCGGGCAGTCCTGATATCTGTTTTTTAGATTGCGTGCCACCTAGGGTAAAGATTAAGCGTAACGCGGAACGAACCGCGCAAATGCGGCCTAAAAATAATTTAGAAAATTTCAATGCCTAGACCTAATTATCACTAATAATAATAAATTTAGGCACAACAATAGGCATCAGGGGCCTGATATGTGGCCTGACCTTTTATCAGACAATATATTCGAGTCGTCCCTTTGAATCCTAGTCAGAACGTCCACCTGGCCTGGCCTCAACCAACCGGCGGGCTTGTTGCATTGAGTTAAGTATAAACTCAAAACAATAATACAAACAATCTCCTTTCGGTTGGTCAGCCCACATACCACACACAGTGTTGTGTGTCATGCCTTAACCGTAACAAAATAAAAAACGAAAAACAATTCTATTATTTTCATTTTGTCATTGACATTGTAAATAAACAGGGTATAACTTGGCCACGTGGTTTAAAAAAGTATGATTTTATTTCTATATCTTCTAAATTTTTTTTTTTATAGATTTCTATGCCTAGCAATCATTGTGATCAAAGTAGTTAAGTATTAAGTACTATTAGTTACGTGTTATACTGTTAGTATTAAGTAAGACTGAAGTGAAGACAGTTAATGAGTTAAAAAGACACAGTCGTTTCAAAGGGTAAAACTAGTGTTAAAGTTAAGTAGTTAAGTAAAGTCAAACTCAATAAATAATTTTGCAGTTCTCAGCATTTGCAGATAACTTAAAACTTTTAGATTTTAGTCAGTAGTGACTCAGTAGAGTCAGTAGCATAGTCTGCTGAGACGTGTGTGTGCATGTTTTTTTTTTTTAAATTTATTTTGTGTTGCAGACATTATTAATTTTAATCTTTTAAACTTAAAAAAAAACAGCACATATTTAATCTAGAATCTATACGCTACACTGATTAATAATTTATAACTTACAAAATTTAAAATCAATTGTACAGTTTTCTTTTCGAATCGAGGCATCACCGACTACAAGCAAGTCTTCCAGAATAGATCAACAACAAACCATTTTACAAAAAAATGTAGCCAGATAAAAATGATAAGAAATGTGACACTTTTCATAAAGTTGCCACGGCTTAAATTTTATGAATGGAACTTATTACTTATTTAAGAAGTTATTTATCGATATACATAGTGAAGTACGAATAGCCTCAGCCATAAAATATCTGTCTATGCATATTTACCTGAAAATGTTAAATAATGTGACGTGGTGGAGAGCGTTAGTTGTTAATTGTTATTTAACATTTTATGGGAAGGGAGGGTCAAGTTGTCATATTTTTAAAAATAAGAGAACAATTAGGACCGTTGCTATTTTTGTATGGTCACATAAGATTCCATTACTAGATGTAATCAGAAGAAAAGAATTTCTGGAAAAAAGGATGATGATTAATATTATTAAGCAGTCGTCCGTGATGACAATTTACAGATGACAATGCAAAGATCAAGCAGGAGGGTTACATAGTGGGCTTGTGTCGTGGTGGTATCCACGTAGAGAATTAAATATATAGAAGATTAATATTTTGTCTGGGAAAATATATTCAATAAGTACCTTTCATTGATAACTTGTAAATGAGTAGCTTTCTCACAAAAAGCAAACTTCACAGCCATAATATCTTTAATTAAATCTATAATTCAAATCTAGTTTCTAGATCTATTATTATTAAAAAAAATCCAAAAGACTGCAGATGATGTGGGCGTCTAAAATATATATTGCCAATAAAAGAATGTACCAAATGAAGTAAAATAAGAGTCAAGTAGCTCATGCTAGTCTGCAAACTCTATATGCCAAGTTCCTAAAAATAAATCAGAAGCAAAATTTAGATCAGCAGAAGTTGGAGATAATGTATGCATCCTTAGTTTAGATATTTAAAGAGGTAGCGGTGATCCACAAAGTGGTCATGAACGACTAGGAAGCTTTCTACAAACTAAGAAAAGAACATAGTGTTCTCAAAGAACTGTATATCAGATGTGCGTTTTCCTTTCTGCAAGAACAACTGCTCACATTGCCATACGTGGGCACTAAAGAAAAATCACTACAAACCAATTGTTGATGTAAAAAAAATCAGGTTGAAAATAGCTATTCCAACTGACCAAAGAAGAAATTGCATTTTAATCAGACCTAAACCCTAAAAATAAAGGGAAATACTCTTAATTTTTAGGCTGAAATAGTATTTATAACTAATTTATGACATCAAAGGCGAGTCTCTTGTGTCACATCAGATAGTGATCCAGTTAATACTATTTGACTGATTAAATTAAAAATCGTGTCAGATTATTAACTATTTTAATATGTTATGGTAAAAATGTGAACGATAAACATATTTTTGAGTGCTTTTTATGCTCTTTAAAGAACCAGCTATGGCAACGAAACAGTACAAACTAAGAAAAGCGTTTTTTTTAAAAAAGTAACAGTTTTATTTAAAATATACAGTCAAGTTAAAATCATAATTTGAAGACATGGCATAAATATAAACAATTTGAAATTGAAACATTGAAACTTTAAATGCTGAAAATATGTAGTTATAAAATAAATGTATTTATGATAGGAGATTTGATTATAGCTAACAAACAAATATTACAATTTACATAGTAGAACTTAAAATCTTTTTAAAAATGTTTTCCTAAAATATTTTACAATATCACATTTTAAAAAAATAATTCATAAATGAAAACTTTGGGTTGAATTAGAAAAACTAAAAGTCACAAAAACTTTTTGCAACTAAAATATTATTTCCTAATTTTCTAAATATAGATCTACATGATTCAATAAAGGTCAATCAAGAATAATGTGTAGAAAATAAAGTATTGGTATCAGTGAGGTTTTTAGAATAAGTACTTGATCTATTTTTCGTTGTTTTTCATACATTTTTATTTATGGAAAACTTATACACTTGGATTTTTATAATTTAATAAACTTATGTTGTCACTTCACCAGTAGCCAATAATAATTTGAAAAATAAGAAAATAAATCATTCAGAAGAATAGCAAATGAACACTAAATATTTACAATCAAGTAATACAAATTACAAGATAGTATAAGTATATTCCACAGATCATCTTAAAAATCCAAAAGGAATACAAAATGGTCTGCAAGATTTTGAAGGCACAGAAACAAACAATAATAAATAACATTAAGAGCACGGATCTGGATTCTCTTCTAGAGAAGAGGTGGTGGATTGAAATCACAGGTGAAACAAATCAAAACAAATACCAATATTGGCAAGACAATGCTTTTTGTTTTTTTTGTAAACATTAAAGGTAAGGCAGTCTAAACAAAGTAGTAAACCAGCTGCCAATTATAAATAGAGAATGTACTTAAAGCAATGCTTAAAATTGGAAATTCCAATGCTATTTTTAGGTATACAAATAAATATTTGGATTAAATGCACATTTAGGTCCAACTCTAATCACATTCGGATTCTAAATGAGCTGCAAAAAAACAAAAACAAACAATTAATTCAGTTATTTTGAAAACTATTTAGGTCAACTGTGAAAATGTAGCCTAATCCAATAGTCCATTTTTAAAAATGTTTTTTTTTAAATTGGTTTTCATTTTAAAATCCCGGAGGTGGAAACTGTTTTTTAAAATAAATAAAAAAATTTTTAACTTACTTAACAAAATCTGGCGCCTTGGAAATAACATGTTCAAATTCAGCAAATGAAAGGGTTTTGTCATCATCCAGGTCAGCCTCCTCCATAATCTGATCAACAATGTGAAATAATGTAAAGAGTTTCATAATATAAAAGATACAATCATTTAAAATTTCTGTTTTATTTTCATGACATTTTTAAATTTAAAAGTTTCCTACACTGTCTATAAGCTGTTGCATCTCATCTTCAGTCAGATGATTAGATCCTATCAGGCTCTCAATTACTTGTTTCAGGTCACTGTCAGATATCATATCATCTCCATCAAAGTCTAAACAATAGAAATAGAAACACATTTTTGTGAAATATCTAGTTAACACACAGTAAAAAATTTAGGGAAATTTTTTTTAAAAAGTAAAATTTATTTACACTAAAAACAACTAGCCATATACTCTGAACACTTAAAAACAATTAACCATTTACTCTGAATACTAAAAACAGCTAACCATATACTCTAAACACTAAAAACAACTAACCATATACTCTAAAAGCGTATTCTACTTTGACACTTTTGGGAGCTCCATCACTGAAGACAGACATCATATCCAGAAAATCTTCAAAGGTCATGCCATCAGGAGAAGATGAAAAAACTTTACATATTTGGTCTTTAAATGGATTAACCTGGAAAATGTACCAGCAGAAAATTTGTATAGATGCATAGTTAAAATAATATAACAGTTTTAAAGAGCACACTTTCAAAAAGTATAACCTAAGTATTTCTTCATTACAGAACACTTCAATGTTTATGATCATACAGATTTCTTCAATGTTTATGATCATACAAATTTCTTCATTACAGAACACTTCAATCTTTATATCATACGGATTTCTTCATTACAGAACACTTCAATGTTTATGATCATACAGATTTCTTCATTACAGAACACTTCAATGTTTATGATCATACAGATTTCTTCATTACAGAAGACTTCAATGTTTATGATCATACAGATTTCTTCATTACAGAAGACTTCAATGTTTATGATCATACAGATTTCTTCAATGTTTATGATCATACAAATTTCTTCATTACAGAACACTTCAATCTTTATATCATACGGATTTCTTCATTACAGAACACTTCAATGTTTATGATCATACAGATTTCTTCATTACAGAACACTTCAATGTTTATGATCATACAGATTTCTTCATTACAGAAGACTTCAATGTTTATGATCATACAGATTTCTTTGTTACAGAACACTTCAATGTTTATGATCATACAGGGTGGATTAACAGAACCACTGAATATCTGAGAGAGGAAAATATATGGACAGCACTATTTGATGAGAACAGATGGAGAATTTGAACCAAAGACTCCGGTGTCAGATAATTAAAAAACAAAGACTACTATGGTAGCTTGAGAAACATAACTAAGGCTGAACTAAAAAAAAAAAATTGTCAAAACCATATTGGTAAAGAACCACAAAACAACAACAGCAGAAAGATAAAGTGGAGTCAGACCAAAAGGCAGGCCTAAACTCAGATAGATAAAGTGGAGTCAGACCAAATGGCAGGCCTAAACTCAGATAAAGTGGAGTCAGACCAAAAGGCAGGCCTAAACTCAGATAAAGTGGAGTCAGATCAAAAGGCAGGCCTAAACTCAGATAAAGTGGAGTCAGACCAAAAGGCAGGCCTAAACTCAGATAGATAAAGTGGAGTCAGACCAAAAGGCAGGCCTAAACTCAGATAAAGTGGAGTCAGATCAAAAGGCAGGCCTAAACTCAGATAGATAAAGTGGAGTCAGACCAAAAGGTAGGCCTAAACTCAGATAGATAAAGTGGAGTCAGACCAAAAGGCAGGCCTAAACTCAGATAAAGTGGAGTCAGACCAAAAGGCAGGCCTAAACTCAGATAGATAAAGTGGAGTCAGACCAAAAGGCAGGCCTAAACTCAGATAAAGTGGAGTCAGACCAAAAGGCAGGCCTAAACTCAGATAGATAAAGTGGAGTCAGACCAAAAGGCAGGCCTAAACTCAGATAAAGTGGAGTCAGACCAAAAGGAAGGACTAAACTCAGATAGATAAAGTGGAGTCAGACCAAATGGCAGGCCTTAACTCAGATAGATAAAGTGGAGTCAGACCAAAAGGCAGGCCTAAACTAGATACTGTGGAGTCCAGACAGTGGACAAGTCTAAATGGAAGAAGGTGTAGCAGGCCAACCCTCTCTGTGGAGCCTCAGTGACACAGTCAAGTGTAGAGGAAAGTAGATTCCGCCATTATTTCATATCTAAGATTTTGATTGCTATAATTTAGAAATACATGTACAGTACCCATTTATACAACTAAAAGTAGTTGAGAAGTATCTGCAGCTTAAAACAAGTTCTGTGACAAGTCAAAATTATTTCCTAACCTTCAGTTCTGGAAGCTCTCGTATCTTCTCTATTGGTAGTTTAGCATTTTTATCTGCTTCAACAACTGCAGGGTCTAAGGACTTAAACCTTTTATGGACGCTGAAATTATACATTTTCAAAATGAGAAAGAGTATATATATTATACAGAAAATTGACTGTTAATACAGCAATTAATGCAGTGCTTTATCATATAACTATAACTGATAAAGATTATTATTAATATTAGTATTTCAATAACTTAAAAGTTTTTTTTACAATAAGCAAACAATGTTTTACTTACAGCAGTATCTCCTTTTTAGACAAGTATGTCAAAGTCTGAAATTTGTAGAAAAAACAAGTGTAAATGGACAGAGCATATATCACATGTTTTTCAAATTGGTTATAGTTTTCTATAACTAATTTGACTTGGTATTGTTTGAAAAACCATAATTTAAACAGTAATATAGAGGTTGGTATGACCTGGAGAAGATCAGAGAGTAAAAAAATCAGTTACTGGAATTACTTGGATTGAAATGAAGAAAATAAGGAATATCTGACTTCTTCAGTTAGTTTACTTTCAATCTCAACAAAGGTTACGGGACACCAGTAAGGGAAACTACATTCTAGCAATAGAAGTTATAGCAGGGACATAATATGACAATACATGGCAGATATAAAGTGCACAAGCCACACAAATCCTTTATGTTGGCAATCACTTGCACCTACATTAGGAATTCCAAGTGGGTGGTTAATCTTTTTCATGGTTTTTTAATAGTGATAATTGTTGCAACAATGAAACAATTGAAATAAAAGTTGAGCTTGAGAAGGAAGTTGTGTTTATGAAGGAAGTCATCAAGATATTAAGATATGAAAGAGTTAAACATTTAAATACTAAAAACTGCACTCCACAGTGATCATAAGATATGTTGCATAAAACTGTGGGAAAAGGTTTTGTACACCAAGACATTTACATACAAATTTAAATAATGGGGATGCATAGGACACATCTTATAATTGCAAACCAGTTCCAGATGAGAACCACAAAAAAAAAAAAACACATTGGGAATATAAGTTGAAAATGAAACAATACATCATCTACTGAAATAACTTTGATCGCACAAAGTGCAAAACTTAGTCTACAAGAGCACTGTAGTTACAAATCTATGCCACATTAAAGACTATTGAAAACAGTTCAACGACAATGCAGCAACTTATTTCTTAAAGGTGGCTAAACACTAAAAAGGTGTCATATGAACATGAAAAATAAAGCATTATTACTCATCTATCACACCTATACGTGTGAGATACAGGTGTTAATATAAGCCAATTGTTAGTTTAGGTATTCAATAGTTCAGGCCTTTTACTATTATTTATTCTTTTAATATGTATACGTAATGTAAATAATAATCCAAACTTGGCGATCCATGGGAAGATATAGTATAGTTCACCTACTGTGACCTCTGCAAATGAAGGGTTATTGTGGTCAGCACAAGGCCAGTTGCCTTAACTTTCCCAAACGTAAGTCAGTTATTTATTAGAGATGGGTAGGATTGTATGTAAATATTTCAAAAATCAAGGTACTTTCTGCAAGCTATGACAGATTTCTAGATTTAAAACAACTAGATGTAGTTTAACAATAGATTTAGCACATTAATTTAGTTTTTTAATTACCTGATAATCATCTAGCTCATCTTCTGTAAAGACACTCTGAGTTCCTCCCATTTTTTATAACCTAATAAAATAAATTTTAAAATTAATATAACAGATATGGACTCCAATCTTTATAATTAACTAATAGGCCTTTCTAGTCTATGCTCTCTTAGCTTTAGATAAAAATTATTTTTCTCAAGCTTTGGAAGACTTATGCTAAAATTGCGAGCATAAAGATTATTTCATAGTTTTAAAAAAACAACTGTAGGCCTATATTTTTTTAGTAAAAGGCTGAGTCACAATAGTAGGCAGAGGTATTAAAATAAAATTGGGAAGTAGAGTAGACTAGATGACTTAGACCCTAGATTAACAATTAACTTATTAACTAATAGCTAAGATTAATTAATTATCTATAATCTATCGTTTTAGGTGAGTAAAATCGGCCGAGACTAGTAATGTGAAAAAAAGGTGACTCATTAAATTTGAGTAATTATTTCACATTTTTAGGAGGATTTATGTTTTGAAAGTTAAAAAAATGTTTCAAAGTTTCATTTATGTACCTGTTTTTAAACAATTATATTAAAACTTTTCAGTAATAAATAAAGACTAGTGATTTTTTTGTCTGATGCAACCAAGATCATTTACTTCAGCAGCCATCTTGTTTAAGTTTTTTGGTAAAATTATAGTTAGATCCAGGGGAAACCACTCTAATTTATAGATGATGGCCCCGCTGTTTATATATTATATAGCAAGTCTGGCTTGCAAACACTGCTGTTTAAAGTAATTTCTGGCCTATATTCACATCTCTATATATAATTCTCTTCTTGGAGACGCTAGAAAACAAGCTGTAAGCGCGCTCCCTACCACCCTCACCCCTACATGGTCTGGTGAGCTGTGGTTCACTCTAAATGTTTACAAACAGAGCCGGGTTTAGTGACGACTATTAGGGGCAAATAATTTAGTTTGAAACGATTTTAAACATAGAGGGGGGGGGGAGTAACTAAGTGGAGTTTACTGTAACGGAGGGGGGGGGGGAAGGAGGGGGGGAGGGTTATCGTCCTTAACGAGATACTTATAGTGCTTTAAAGAAATATTTTCAGTGGCAGCGTTGGTACTGTCAAATTCACAAATTATGAATTACTGAAATGTAGAAAAAACAACAACTAAAAGTGGCGTATGATATGCAGTGGGTCGGCTCGTATTGATATATTTAGCCATTGATTTTGGTTTGTTATTCAGTTATCAATATTTGACACAAATATATCACAATATAGATCTACTTCTATTAAAGCCTAAACTAAACAATGAGGCAACTTTTTTTCACATCTATATATATAATTCTTTTCTTGGAGAACATAGAAAACACCAAGCTGTAAGCGCGCCTCCTAGCAGCCCCCTCTCTTCCTCTCTAGGCATATCCCTACCACCCCCACATGGTCTGGTGAACTGTGGTTCACGCTAAATGTTAACAGTCGTATAAATGGGTTTAGTGACGACTATTAGGGGCAGATAATTTAGTTTGAAACGATTTTAAACTTAGGGGAGGTAACTAAGAGGAGGCTGCTTGTGGGGGGGGGGGGGGGGGTATCATCCTTTACGACCTACTGATAGTGTTTTAAAGCAAATATTTTCAGTGGCAGCATGAGCATTGGTACTGTTGAATTCACAAATTATGAATTATCGAAAAATAGAAAATAAAACAACTAAATAGCGGCGTAGGATACGCGGTCGCGGTCGGTCAGTTTATTTATAATTATATTATAATATAATAAATTCTAGATTTAGCTTAGGCCGATTTTACGCTCTTAAAACGATAGATTACCTAAAATTATCTCAATACTTACTTAGTTTACTTAATACTTAGTAATACTTACTTAACTAAGTTAACTAACTTAGAGTAAATAAAAAAAAAGGTGGAGTCAACACACAGTAAAATTAAAAGTAGACCTTGGCTTAAGTCCTTAAGTTAGAGTTAGACTCTGTCTTTGTCAGAAGTAGAATCTAGAGGATATAAATTCAAATGAGTAACAATAGATCTATATTAATATAGATTATATAGATCTATATATTAATCAATGAAACTACAATGACGAGTAAACACAATTCAATACAGCTGTTGTTATTTTTGTAAGCAGGAAGTTTATGGAATTGTGTTTACTGTAGATCTAGATCTAAATACCGATACCTAGTTGCGAGAAAAACAACAAGAATGCAACTTTAGTTCTCAATTTACGGGCTACTCTATTTTAACCCCCCCCCCCCCCCACAAACACACACCAAACTCATCTTAATAAAACATAGTACTATTACTGTTACAGGACACTTCTTGCAATCTGTCAGAAAAAACAAAAAAACGTCATAAAAATGACATCATAAGTGTGTTTACATTTTTGTTTCGGGGGGGGGGGGGGGGCGGTAATTAAATGAGAAATAACAGATTTTACCATATCTATTTATATTTATTAATATAGAAACCGTTGTCAGACAAAAATAAAAACAATGTTTTAAACATGTTTATTTACGTTAGGATTGTATGTATTTTAGGAAAATATCACTTGTCAATTAAACACAATTTTTGCTTATCATGTACTCAACTTGGAGGAAGCGATAAAAACCGAGTAGAATCTTGCTACGTGATGGAGCAATGTGGCTGCTCTGGCCCACAAAGCGCAAACGCTATGACGACAACTTGTATCAATTGTGGCAAGGGAGGTTTAGTGTTAATTTTTTTGTTAAAATGTGCTTAATATTGCACACCGTCATTTGTAGAATTAAGTCGAACATATTTAGAAGGGGACATTGATTCTTATTATAAGAATTCTACAGCTATAAAAGACACAGTTATACTACCTAATATTAACTTTTTCTTACATAATTCCTCCCCTAGCAATACATATTTCAAGAAGAAATGTAACGGTAATTCCTCTCAAATGAACTATTTTAGAATAATTTATCTGACTTTTAAATCTACTTCTATTGAAGAAGAATTAGTTGAGCTATAATTTATAAATGAAAATAAAACTAATTCATTCATCATTCAGTCAACACTAGTGGGAGTTGTGTTTTGAATGGAGTTTTATTTTAATTTATTGCATCTTTTAAAAATTTCATCATGATTCCGACAATTGGCCACAGCATTGTTACTCATTGTAGTTTTTTTTTTTTTACATTGTTTTCTTATGCACTGTGTGTTTGGTTAGTAGATGTAACATAGCTGCTAGAGCAGCTAGATAGATCCAGATTGTAATTGTATCGGTACATGTTTTACTTAAAGTTATAGCCTATTAATTAAGGATTGACACTGAATACTCGCACATAGTAGGGGATACCATCATCATTTCATCATCATATTAATCATAAATGTCGACATAAATGACTTCTTAATTAATTATAATTAAGTTTACATCACTAGACTATGCGATGGGCTTTTGTGACGATGTTCAGAGTTCAGAAAGTGTAACATCCCCCATTTTGCAATTTTAAAAAAGAAATTGTTCATCATATTGAAACATTTGCATTTTAAAACACTTTCTTTTTTGTAAGTTGTAATGAAAATTAATTCTTATAGGGCCTAGTTATAGTAAAAAATTGGGTAAAATCTTAGTTTAGCGTCGTAAATTCGGCCAAAACTAGTAATGTGGGAGAGAGTGAATTAATGAATATGTCATTAAATATGAGTATATTTTCGTATATTTTGATAAAATATTATAGACAATTGAATAATAGATCACCATTTATGATTAAATCAATTTAAATATCCTGAAATTAATTTTTATCAACCCTGTTCGAGATAGTAAATTTGCTATTAAAAACAGCAGCCATCTTAAGAAAATGTTATTGAGAGTAGCTTCCCTTTCATTTCTATTCGTATGAAAATGTATTTAAATATGATCATCTTGTTGTATTACAAAGCATTTTTTTTTTTAAATGTGAATTTCCTAACAAACAACTTTATTAATTCTATTAGCATTGTGAGATGCAACTTGTATCCATGTATTAAATCACGTTTTTTTACTAATGTTTATTTGATCTTACTATTACTATTGAGTTTTTTCTTATTGTTTGAATGTTCACTATTTTCATATCAGGTTTTTCTTTTCATCAATTAGTAATTCTATCATAACTTATGAAATTTTTTTTTTTACTTCTCTTTACCCTAATTAAACACCAACCTCCGTCATATTTTTGTCGTCAATGTCACAACAAGTCATAATGTAAAAAATTACGCTTCACTCTGCCTTATCTAAGATCTCTAACCATAATTTTGACAGCATTAAATGTTTGTCATCATTTATATATACAGAGAGACAAAATGTATTATCCACCAGCTTCCCTCGTAATACATCATCTAAAACAATGAGCCAGTCCACCCCTTAAGTGCATGTTGTCATTATGGTCGATCGCAAGTCTCCACCTGCCAGACATATTTTGGTTATCCTTTGTTGTCAAATTGTCAATATCAAGTACCCAAGTGAGTGATATGGGGTTGTCCATAAATGATGTCACATATGATTTGCTACGGGAGTGAGTGAAGATTTGTGACGTCAACTCAGGCGGGTCCACAATTTATGACGTGTCGGTCTCATGAAAGGAGGTGAACGGGGAAAAATACCTAGGTGGTTGATGGAGAACCTCTGTAATGCTTTGTTCAATCAAAATAACGATAAATAAGCATTAGTATATGTATATCTTGCTTAAACGAATCATCACAAATGTTGCAAGCCTGCTAGTTTAAGACATTTGGCAAAACGGCCGCAACACATTATCCCCGTCAAAAAGGCTTGCCACCAAAATGCCTACCGACGAATAAGCCGCGTCTAATGCGGGGCGTTAGGAATACGGCCATTAGCATGGGCCGCGTTGGAGCACCAGTAGGCTATCGCGCTGTATAAGATGACGTAAATACTTAAATTCAACTTCGCTAAACTGCGCGAAAATTTAGTAATGTTCCATCGTTTGAGGAAATTTATTTTCTTGGACTTAAATTGAATTATCATGTTGACTGTCTGGCTCTTAATTTCCGAATATCACTTTTAATGTATCAAGATTCAGAACTATAATTTACTTTAATATAAGTGTCATCTTATAGTTTATTGTGCTTTTTATAAAGCGCAGAGCAGCTTCAAAATCGGACGCCCATCCTGTTTTCACCCAGCTTCTTTTGGAGCTTAATATGGGTAGTCTAGTTCTACACGGTGAGAGCTTAATACATTTTTAAAGGGCCGAAAGTCTCAAGACAGCAAGCTTGCTGAAATAACTACGTACGTTTAAATGGACGAGTGATAGATGTGTTAGGGGCTGTTTAATGAACACCAACTTATGTAATCAAATTAAACGTCGCAAAAGCGTCAAAAAGCCAGTGTTTGTTGTTTTTTTTTTCTATAAAATTAGCCTAACGGTCGGCGGTACCGGTACATGACGTCACGTGCGAGCGTTAACTCGTTGACGATGTGCTAAGTGGGGGAATGAAAAAGGTGGGGTTCAAGAAATGCGACTAGGCAAGCTTTTTACATTTCTTGACCCTTCTTAATAGTTCCATCGTCCCCACTGAGAAAATGGATCACCAATGAATGACGCGTCATACTTCTATAGCTGGTCTTTCTCCCACAACCATCCCCTGTTTTCACGAAAAAAAAAAAAAACCTGACCCGTCTCCAAAATCACATCGCTGAGTTCTACTCAACCTCTCCACGCCACAAATCACAATTTCTATCTGAAACAATATGTTCATATGTTTGCTCTGTAATAATTCACGCTGTCACTAATATCATAAGAGCGACGTCATTTATGTGCGATCTAATATTGATTTGATTACTGTAAATAAAGTGTTCAAAAGTTCGACCTCCCAACAATTGTTGTGGTCTTGGATGCACACTATTAAGTCTGATAAGGTCTATTAGTCATTCATGTCGACTGTATTTTAAAAAAAAAAGAAAAATTACTATACAGGGGGTCATCCATAAATGACGTCACGCTTTTTTGACGATTTTTACCCCCCCCCCCCTCCCCCACACGTCGTCACAAAAAGCCAGACCCCCCACCCCCCTAAAGTGACGTCACACCTCAGCCTACAACCCCCCTCAAAATTGCAGTTGAATTGTTTGTAAACAGCTATATTTTTCCAAAATCTTGTCTGAACTCTGTCAAAATAGAGTGTTTTAATCAATTGTTATTACAATGTATTAAAACAGTTTTCTAAAACGCAAAATTACGTCTAAAATTCGTCACACCATGTGAACACCCCTCCCCCTCATCACACAACGTCACAAAATTACGGACCCCCCTCCCCCCTACGAGTGTGACGTCATTTATGGACGACCCCCAGGCATGTATTAAAACAATACAAAGCAATCATATTAAACCACAAAATCAACACAAAAGACATGCGAATAGACAATTTATTGTTTTTGAAACATGGCCGCTGCTTCAATTTACTCATTGTTGTCTCGAACGGGGTAGTTTAAAGTTTATTCCAGGATATTTATGACTGGTTTGGTCTTGGATTGTGATTTGTTATTCAATTATCTGTTATATTATGTAAAATATGACATAAATATGACCAAATGAAAGAAATATTCATTAGTTACCTTCATCGCACATTACTAGCTACGTTGGAATTTACGACGCTAAACTAAGATTTTACCAAAAATTGATAGTTAGGCCTATTATTATATTATAGTCTTATATTACTATTAGGCCTATAATGATAGCCCTATAGTAGTATAGGCCTAATTAATTTAATTAAGTATAATGACTTAATAGAAATAGATCTACTGAACTTAATAAAATAAAGAATAATATTTTAATATTTGCAGATAAACTCAGATGACAGATAGTGATAGAGTTAGGTTAGAGGAACTACTACTAGTGAGTAGACTGTAGACCTAACTAAGCCAAGTCTTAGCTAATAGCCCCCAGTCAAGTAAAATGATGTCCATTGGGGCTGGGAATTCTGACATTTTGTAAGTAAGTGTAAAGATTGTAACACTATTTTATGTCAGGGCTGTATATTAGTCAGTATTAGTCTATTAGATGAGACCTGAATTAGTGAACAGTTGGCTTATAAGTATACAGTATACAGATTAGTAACATTATGTTTAATCTTAATTCCTGTTGTTCTTAATTTAATATTAGACTCATAACATTTACTAATTTAGCCAGCTGCTAGACCTCACTAAATATCACTGAATAAAATAATGCAAATGCTCTCTAAAATTCCTTTATTTATCATTTTTAATTTCCTCAAAAACTTTCACTTCTGTCTTTAAAAAATGTGTGCTTCATTTTTCAGTGACAAATGTGTTTTCTTGCTCTGCTATAATTAAATGATGAGTTCATCAACAACTGGTGGCAGGAATTTAAGAATGTTCAGGAGTCTTCTGTGGATTGTTCTCATACAGGCATCTTGTGTTGTTTTCTCCAGTAGCCAGGGCACAGCTTTAAATAACTCAGCAGTCAAACGTAAGAAAGAATAATTTAACAGTAGCTAAATAACACTAGTTTACCTTGGATGTGTTCCGCTTTTCCAGTGGTTATCTCCCCTTTTAAAAACCATCTTCCATTTATCTCCCCTGTTTATCACACTTTGATGATGCCATTTGTCTCCAGCTCTTACAGATTTCTGTATAGACTTCCTAGATTTGGTGCAAGTCTCCTGTGGGGACAGACTGAACCCTGCGAACTGTCTCCCAGAATCTTGGTTGTGTGACGGCTTTGCTGACTGTAGTACAGTTTTTGATGAGACCACGGCTACTTGCCAGAATGGTAGGATCTTTTTCTGACATATAAAATAGAGCATTAAGTATCGGCTAAATGTCAAATCAATCAATAAAGTCTTTCAGGGTGTATTTTTGTAGGCCACAAGTCAGTTCTATATAGATACAATAAGTATGCTTTAGTGCTGATAAATATCTTTTGATTGTAACTTTACAGCTGATCCATGTCAGCCCAATCCTTGCTTGAATCAAGGAGTGTGTTTTGGATTTTCTGTGCAGCCTAAGATATCAGTGGCCTACCCTCTGTGTTTGTGCCCACAGCCTTACACTGGACAGTGGTGTGAAGAAAATATAGCAGTCAGTGTGTCACAAGGTATATAAGTATGGCAATCAGTGTGTCTCAAGGTATGGAAGTATGTCAGTGTGTCTCAAGGAATGAAAGTATGGCAGTCAGTGTGTCACAAGGTATATAAGTATGGCATTCACTGTCAGTGTGTCACAAGGTATGAAAGTATGTCAGTCAGTGTGTCTCAAGGTATAGAGGTATGACAGTCAGTGTGTCACAATTTGTTTTGATCACCAGTAAATATATTGAACACATTTCTCTTGATCCCCAGTGAACACATCTAACTGTGTACCAAACCCTTGTGTGTATGGGGCCTGCACACCTGGAGTAGGTGCTCAGTTTGTCTGCACATGTGTACCAGGTGAGGATAGATTTTTTAAGCAAACTAGTGGTGCTGGGCTGTACAAGATTTCTATTGAACCAATACTGGTCTCTACAAGATTTCTATTGAACCAATACTGGTCTCTACAAGATTTCTATTGAACCAATACTGGTCTCTACAAGATTTCTATTGAACCAATACTGGTCTCTACAAGATTTCTATTGAACCAATACTGGTCTCTACAAGATTTCTATTGAACCAATACTGGTCTCTACAAGATTTCTATTGAACCAATACTGGTCTCTACAAGATTTCTATTGAACCAATACTGGTCTCTACAAGATTTCTATTGAACCAATACTGGTCTCTACAAGATTTCTATTGAACCAATACTGGTCTCTACAAGATTTCTATTGAACCAATACTGGTCTCTACAAGATTTCTATTGAACCAATACTGGTCTCTACAAGATTTCTATTGAACCAATACTAGTCTCTACAAGATTTCTATTGAACCAATACTGGTCTCTACAAGATTTCTATTGAACCAATACTGGTCTCTACAAGATTTCTATTGAACCAATACTGGTCTCTACAAGATTTCTATTGAACCAATACTGGTCTCTACAAAATTTCTATTGAACCAATACTGGTCTCTACAAGATTTCTATTGAACCAATACTGGGCTCTACAAGATTTCTATTGAACCAATACTGGTCTCTACAAGATTTCTATTGAACCAATACTGGTCTCTACAAGATTTCTATTGAACCAATACTGGGCTCTACAAGATTTCTATTGAACCAATACCCATGTGTTATAAATATAAATTAAAATAACAGTGTCGCAATTAGTCTAGATATTCAAGTTTCTAAAAATGAAGAGCTGCCTTTAGGTCTGCCTTAATGATGTCAAAATATGATATGCCTCTTTGGTGTAATGATATGCTGTTCCTCTATGGAGTAATTATATGCTGTGCCTCTATGGTGTAATGATATTCCTCTATGGTGTAATGATATGCTGTGCCTCTATGGTGTAATGATATGCCTCTATGGTGTAATGATATGCCTCTGTGGTGTAATGATATGCCTCCGTGGTGTAATGATATGCCTCTATGGTGTAATGATATGCCTCCGTGGTGTAATGATATGCCTCTATGGTGTAATGATATGCAATAGTCTGTACCTGTTGATTATTTTAGGCTACACAGGGATGAAGTGCGATGTTGCTGTGTCACCTTGTGTGAGTCAGCCATGTTTAAATGGTGGCACGTGTTTGGTAAGTTTCCAATTGACAGAATTATTTTCTTTTTTTAAATTACCTTCAGCCATTTTTAAAAAATAGCAACTATTTATTTTGATCTGTATATCAGTTACACATTGAGTTTTTATTTGTGTAGAGATTTTTGCTGCACTGATAATACTGATATGTATTGTTGAAATCTGTTTTTTGCTGTACTGATAATACTGATATGTATTGTTGAAATCTGTTTTTTTTGTCCTCACTGTGCAGGAGAAGGGCAGTAACTTGAGCTGCTCATGTACTGCAGGCTGGACTGGTGCTCTGTGCAATGTTGTGCTTGATGTCTGCGCTGGTGTTGTCTGTCAAAATGGTGGTCAGTGTGTCAACACAGGTGCAGTGGTCAAATGCTCGTGTCCATCTGGATATACTGGTATGTTGGACAGTAGTGTTTAAGGTTAGCTAGTGGTCAGTGTATGAGGTGTGTCAGCACAGGTGAGGTGTGTCAGCACAAGTGAGGTGTGTCAGCACAGGTGAGGTGTGTCAGCACAGGTGAGGTGTGTCAGCACAGGTGAGGTGTGTCAGCACAGGTGAGGTGTGTCAGCACAAGTGAGGTGTGTCAGCACAAGTGAGGTGTGTCAGTGCAGGTGAGGTGTGTCAGCACAGATACAGTGGTCAAATGTTGGTGTCCACCCAAGGTTTACACCCACTAGTTGTACCATGGCTCACAGCCAACTAAAAGTCTGTCAAAGTTTTTTTAATGCTCTGGCTCTTGTTGTTCTATATGAGAAATCTTTATGTCTTTGTATAAGCTAAAGGCAATGCTTCCTTTTCAACAAATTTGATTTTACTCTCCTAAAATTGTAAACAACTTTAAATTTGAGGTAAAAAAATATGAGTAACGCTGGATGTTGTTGTTTAAGCCTTATGAGATAATTTTTCCTGTTGTTGTTTTGTCAGGCATGTGGTGTGAGGGCAACATAGACGACTGTGATCCCAACCCCTGCCTGTATGGAGGGACCTGTCAGGACGGGGTCAACAGCTTCACCTGCACCTGTACCTCTGGCAGGGTGGGCATGTACTGTGAACGACAACAGCTGTGTTCAGGTTTGATACACGAAAATAAATGTCACGTCTCAGTAAAAAGAAAATTGTATGTTTGATCCACTATAGCTCATTAAAAATGTATACTGTACTAGTGCTCTGATGACACTTTAATGGGGTGATGGGGAGACTATGATTTTAGGCAACCCTTTCTTTAAAATCTTTCAAACAACTTACAGAAGATCCTTGCCTTCATTATGGAGTGTGTGTGCCAGCTGCCAGTGGGAAAGGCAACTCAACATGTGTTTGCCAGGAAGGCTACACAGGAAGTTTGTGTGAGACAGACATTGATGACTGTGTCAGCCGTCCCTGTGGAGACCACGGTCTGTTGGATTCTTTTCAATTCTTTTCTCAGTTCATTCTAGAAAAGTTTTATTTTATTTTTATTCTAGAAATATAATATATTAATTCATTATTTAAATTTTATTTCATTCTAGTAATGTTATAGTAACATTTTATCAGCAAAAATTGTGTTCAAAAATTATTTCACAGCATATAAACCATGTTAGATTTTTGTTAACACCATCATACAAGAAAACATTTTGTTAACTCCAAGTTCTGGACTTGCAGGTACCTGCAGGGATGGCGTCAATACCTACACCTGCCAGTGTAGCACTCTCTACTCTGGCAGCAACTGTGAACTGACCCTTGACCCCTGCTCCCCCAACCCCTGTGCACACGGCGGCTACTGCTGCAGACAGGGGAATCCCCTGTGCTCACCCCTGCTGTCACCTGGACAGTATGAATGTTACTGCGCAGACAGCTACACAGGCAGGAACTGCCAGGACGTGGTGCCTGCGTGCTCATCCTTCCCCTGCCAACATGGCGGCCTGTGCTCATCTAAAGACAACAGCTACATCTGCACGTGCCCGCAGGTGTACTCAGGTAAAAACTGTCAGCTGTTCAACCCTTGTGGCAGCAACCCGTGCCTGCGTGGGGGGACGTGCCAGGTCAACTCTACAGGTGCACCTGTCTGCCAGTGTCCACCTGGCTATGCTGGTGCTGTCTGCGAGACCAGCACCTGTCTCATTGACACCTGTCTCAACAATGGCACCTGTCTGTCTAAAGCTAATGGGACCTACTGCCAGTGCCCGACCAGCTTCAAAGGTCCCAGGTGTCAGTACCCCTTCCCTTGTGTCACTGAGGCCTGCTACAATGGAGGCAAGTGCCTTGATGTCAGTCCTGTCAGCTTCTTTTGTCAGTGTCAGAATGGATTTGGCGGTGCTCACTGTGAGAGTAACCTCCCCTGCAGGTCCAGCCCCTGCCTGAATGGAGGTCAGTGTGCCAACAACGGGACCAGCTACACGTGTCGCTGCAGCGCAGGGTTTGCTGGTCTCAACTGCGAGCAACTGTTGGTCTGCTCCGCCACAACCTGCCACAATGGCGGCAGCTGTGTGGAGACGCCCCCCACCTACAGGTGCACGTGTCCACTAGGCTACACTGGCGCCACCTGCGAGACATACCTGCCCTGCACCAGCAGCCCGTGTCAGCTGAACTCTGCATGTCTGAATGTAGACAACTCCAGCTACCAGTGCCTGTGTAGGGCTGGGGTCACAGGCAACCACTGCGAGACCATCCTGCCGTGTACGTCCTCTCCGTGTCTGAACAACGGGCTGTGTGTCAACACCAACAACACCTACCAGTGCCTGTGTTCTGAGAGATTTTCTGGTGCCAACTGTGAGGTTTACCTCCCTTGCTCCAGTTCGCCCTGTCTGAATGGGGGAACATGTGTGAACCAAGGTTCCCTGTACCAATGTTCCTGCCCCCAGCAGTACTATGGCAGCAGATGTCAGAGTGTACGCCCTTGCTCCAGTTCCCCTTGCTTGAATGCTGGCTCATGTACTGATGTCCTTGACACATTTACCTGTACCTGCCCCAGCGCCTACACGGGGCAGGTGTGTGAAAGCCTGCTGAGGAGCTGCTCCATGTCTCCGTGTCTGAACCAGGGGATCTGCACTGACGCAGGGACTGATGTTGTCTGTGCCTGTCCCTCGGCATTTGTAGGTCAGCTGTGTGAGATCCCAGTACCCTGTAGCAGCGCCCCCTGCCTCAACAGTGGGACATGCTACAACAAGGCGGGTCAGTATCTGTGCGTGTGTCCAGCCAACTTTGCTGGACCAGACTGTTCTACACGCCTGCCCTGTGCTGCCAGCCCGTGTGTCAATGGGACGTGTATCAACACAAACACAACACACTTGAGTTGCCACTGCTGGCCAGGTTATACAGGTGTGTTGTGTGATCAGCTGATCTCTAACTTTACCTGTAACACACAGACGTGCATCAATGGGACGTGTCAGACAGCAGGGGATGGCACCCAGTACTGCAGCTGTCAGGATGGATTCTCAGGTCAGTCTTTACCCTCACATTACTTATCTCTGTTCATTAGACCTTTACCCTCACATTACTTATCTCTGTTCATTAGACCTTTACCCTCACATTACTTATCTCTGTTCATTAGATCTTTACCCTCACATTACTTATCTCTGTTCATTAGACCTTTACCCTCACATTACTTATCTCTGTTCATTAGATCTTTACCCTCACATTACTTATCTCTGTTATATAGATCATATCTTGCTCTCACACCCAACTGGTCCCCTCAGTGATGAAATGATCCTGTATGTTTGGTCCCCTCAGTGATGAAATGATCCTGTATGTTTGGTCCCCTCAGTGATGAAATGATCCTGTATGTTTGCACCTCAGTGATGAAATGATCCTGTATGTTTGGTCTCCTCAGTGATGAAATGATCCTGTATGTTTGGTCCCCTCAGTGATGAAATGATCCTGTATGTTTGGTCCCCTCAGTGATGAAATGATCCTGTATGTTTGGTCCCCTCAGTGATGAAATGATCCTGTATGTTTGGTCTCCTCAGTGATGAAATGATCCTGTATGTTTGGTCCCCTCAGTGATTAAATGATCCTGTATGTTTGGTCCCCTCAGTGATGAAATTATCCTGTATGTTTGGTCCCCTCAGTGATGAGATGACCCTGTATGTTTGGTCCCCTCAGTGATGAAATGATCCTGTATGTTTGGTCTCCTCAGTGATGAAATGATCCTGTATGTTTGGTCTCCTCAGTGATGAAATGACCCTGTATGTTTGGTCCCCTCAGTGATGAAATGATCCTGTATGTTTGGTCTCCTCAGTGATTAAATGATCCTGTATGTTTGGTCTCCTCAGTGGTGAAATGATCCTGTATGTTTGGTATCCTCAGTGATTAAATGATCCTGTATGTTTGGTCTCCTCAGTGGTGAGATGATCCTGTATGTTTGGTCCCCTCAGTGATGAAATGATCCTGTATGTTTGGTCTCCTCAGTGATGAAATGATCCTGTATGTTTGGTCCCCTCAGTGGTGAGATGATCCTGTATGTTTGGTCTCCTCAGGGATGTCATGTGACATAGTCTCAGATTCTTGCCTGTCCGCACCTCACATTACTTATCTCTGTTCATTAGATCTTTACTCCCATATTACTTATCTCTGTTCATTAGATCTTTACCCTCACATTACTTATCTCTGTTATATAGATCATATCTTGCTCTCACACCCAACTGGTCCCCTCAGTGATGAAATGATCCTGTATGTTTGCACCTCAGTGATGAAATGATCCTGTATGTTTGGTCCCCTCAGTGATGAAATGATCCTGTATGTTTGGTCTCCTCAGTGATGAGATAACCCTGTATGTTTGGTCCCCTCAGTGATGAAATGATCCTGTATGTTTGGTCTCCTCAGTGATTAAATGATCCTGTATGTTTGGTCTCCTCAGTGGTGAAATGATCCTGTATGTTTGGTATCCTCAGTGATTAAATGATCCTGTATGTTTGGTCTCCTCAGTGGTGAGATGATCCTGTATGTTTGGTCCCCTCAGTGATGAAATGATCCTGTATGTTTGGTCTCCTCAGGGATGTCATGTGACATAGTCTCAGACTCTTGCCTGTCCGCACCTTGCCAAAACAACGGCACCTGTAGCAACGTCGGCTCATCCTTTGTTTGCACCTGTGCCAGTAACTTTACTGGAACTGTTTGTGAGACGGAACTGCCCCCATGTCACCTGCAGCCCTGTCAGAACAATGCCACCTGCTTCAACCTGGGCAGCAGCTTCACCTGTGTCTGTCTGACAGGGTATCAAGGTAAATTTGATCACCTGTCTGACAGGGTATCAAGGTAAATTTGATCACCTGTCTGACAGGGTATCATTTATTACCTGTGTCTGTTAAAACAATACAGTGCCAATACTGATGACCATAAAACCTGCCTGATTGTAGCCAGACATGTTTGATACGGTGAGTGACACCTCTCTACCTTTATGTCCCCAGGTGAGCGTTGTGACACCTTGGTTCTGCCGTGTGACAGCTCACCTTGCCTGAACCAAGGCACCTGCCAGAACAACGGTAGCCTGAACTTTGTCTGTCACTGCCCGCCCCACCACACAGGGTCTACCTGCCAAATCCCTGTCGATGTCTGCGCCAGTGGCCCCTGCAGGAACGGAGGAACCTGCACTGCACTGGATGACCCAGGCAACACCTATGGCTATGTTTGTTCGTGTGTGCCACCTTTCTCTGGGACATTCTGTGAAGCCCCAGTGAGGTCATGTGACCCGTCCCCCTGCCCCGGCCTGGGGGATTGCACCACGGATGAAATTGGTGCCTTCTGCCACTGTTACCCCGGCTATGAGGGCATCTTTTGTCAGTACCCAGCAGGGGGTCAGTGTCAGGACGCGGGGCTGCAGTGTCAGAATGGGGGCACATGTGTCCCCGCCCAGGACGGCAGCTTTACCTGTAGGTGTCGGGACGGGTTCGCTGGGACCTTCTGTGAGGGGGTCTCCGCTGTGGGTTGTGCACCCAACCCCTGTAATAGTGGGGCGTGTATCCAGTGGATCACTGGCAATGTTGAGTGTGTTTGTCCTCCAGGTTTTTCTGGTCCATTTTGTTCTCTGTAAAACTATCTTTAGCTTTACATGTAACATTCATCTCACCTTCAATGTTTAATGATCTAATCCATGTTTAATGATCTAATCCATGTTTAATGATCTAATCCATGTTTAATGATCTAATCCATGTTTAATGATCTGGTTAACTTTTAATTGTTTAGTCCACATTTTAAAAATCTACTTAATGTTTCTTTTATTACAATATTGAATTTAATCAACATTTACCTGTGTGACATCAGGTTTCTTACAAGCCACCTTTTTAGCTCCAGGTCAAATTTCTGGAAGTCTTTTGTACTAAAGCACTTCTTTACAATAACATTCCACAATTGTTAAAACCCATCTAGAACATTCCACTATTGTTACAGCCCATCTAGAACATTCCACAGTTGTTACAGCCCATCTAGAACATTCCACAACTGTTACACCCCAACATTTTACAATTGTTAAAACCCATCTAGAACACTCCACTATTGTTACAGCCCATCTAGAACATTCCACTTTTGTTACAGCCCATCTAGAACATTCCACAGTTGTTACAGCCCATCTAGAACATTCCACTTTTATAATATCACTCAGGGATCATCTCATGAGCTGCCATTTTGTGGGTGACTGAAATTTTTTCTATACTACCATACATATATAAACAACATTTGCTACCATACATATAAACATTTGCTACCATACATATAAACAACATTTGCTACCATACATATAAACAACATTTGCTACCATACATATAAACAACATTTGCTACCATACATATAAACATTTGCTACCATACATATAAACAACATTTGATACCATACATATAAACAACATTTGCTACCATACATATAAACAACATTTGCTACCATACATATAAACATTTGCTACCATACATATAAATTACATTTGCCATGATGTGCTACCATACATATAAACAACATTTGCTACCATACATATAAACATTTGCTACCATACATATAAACAACATTTGCTACCATACATATAAATTACATTTGCTACCATAAATATAAAAATTACGTTTTCCATGATTTGCTACCATACATATAAACATTTGCTACAATGCACATAAATGTCATTTATCTTCCTAATTGTGCCATGTTATTATAGTTCCTTCTAGAGTGATATTTTATTAATTGCCTTTTTTTTTCTATGGCAAAATGGTAAAATCTCAACAGCAATGTTTTTAATTGCCCGTCATTATTTCCTGAGCAAACTGGTAATCTTGGGTACAATACATTGTTTTCATTGTCATATCTATCTATGTAAAAATTTTGAGTGCAATATTATATTATTAAGAGTGCAATAATTAAAGTGCTATTTTTTGTATCTATGTAACTATGTTAAAATTATGAGTGCAAAACATTATGAGTGCAATAATATAATTAAGTGCCATTATTTTAAAAAATCATTTATTAATTTATTATTTACTGCCAGTGCCTTCCTGTTGCAATTTATAACTATATTTAAATGTTTTGTTTATAGCTGGATTTGTGTTCATCTATTTAAACATATTTTCTAAAAATATACATGTATCAAGTTATCTGCGAAATATGCCAAGATAGATGTAGGTCTACTCTATACAGATTAAAAAGCATTGTTTTGATTCCTGTTTTATCAAGTTGTATCCTATGTGTTGATTTGTCAGACTAAACTTGTTACCAAATTTTCTACTGGTCATCTGCTGGTCACTGCTTGTAACTCTTCAAATGAGGAAACAAAAACAGTCCACACAGTTGGTCCAATATGATACTAGGCGCTGTTTAATATTTGTTTGACTTTCAGACCAGTCCGAGGCTACCTCTCATCCCTTTAAATCCACCTTACGCCCCCCCCCCCCCCTCTAGTCCCTCATCTTCCCACAGTGATAACGTCATCAGTTTCACTACTGTTCTATCTTCTGACCACTGGCCACGTAACCATGTGCTGTAAAGCTTTAGCCACTTATCAATATCAGCAAACTGACGTCATACCTGCTTACATAGTACTTGACGTCATACCAGCCATTACAACGTCACTAACCAGCAGAGGCGTAGCGACCCTTCCCGGGGACAAACTTTCGATTTGCACCCCCCCCCCCCCAAACTTTCGATTTGCACACCCCCCCCCCCGAACTTTTCATTTGCACCCCCACTAAAACTTTCAATCTGGCGCCCCCCCCCCTAAGGTCGGCGCCCGGGGACATATGTCTCCCCCCCCCCCTCGCTACGCCTCTGCTAACCAGTGCCGCAGATATTGGTGTATTCGGACTTAGACCTTATTTCAATTAAATCTAACATTTCCATTGGTTGATATGTGTTGTGGTATGTGCTTGTATGGCAAAAGTTGGCCTGAATCAAAAGACTGGAGTCTACTTGTGTAGTCAACTATGATTTCACTAATTGTTGAACTATTGACGGCTAAGGTCGCACGGTGTCCCTGCTGTTTGAACTGTGCACCTGATTAGCGAACAGCACACGATATCGTGTCACTCCCAGCATCTAGATCTAGTTTGTTATCGCAGACGATTAGAGTTCAATGTTTGACCCTACACGATAACCCCTGATTCTATTCTCTCCTACCACCACACAGCTGATTCATTAGCGGGAGTCTAGAGCGTAGCATCTTTAAAGTTGCTGACTTCCAATGTAGTCTTTATTTAATGTGCTAATTTTAAAGATTTATTTATTCAAACGTGAAGTGACTTGGATTTAACTTCATTAGATTTAAGATGGAGGTCGGTGTTGTGATCTTTTCTTTGCCAGGATAAACATTTTGGTCTGTGATTACTCCAAGTGGCAAACTTTTGAAACATTTCTGATCATTTCGTTGTGATTACTGCTCACCAAAAGTAAACAAGCATGCCAAACACAAGTGTGTACCCGCTGACCGTCAACATGACGGCGGTGGACGCGGCGTTTGTCTTGGTCAGCAACACGGCGTCGTTCGCCAGTTGTCTGGGCTGTATCGTCATCATCACCATCTACTACGCCTACAAGGAGATTCGAACCACGAGTCGTCTGCTGCTGGTGCTCATCAGCCTGTCCAACCTGTTCGTCTGCTTCTCGACCCTGCTACAGACGGGCACCTACATCAACAACCTGATGGTCTGTCACATCACACTGTACACCACCACTACCACGACATTCTTCTGTCGCACCACACTGTACTAGGCTATTACCACATTTTTCTGTCACATCACACTATACTAGGCTATTACCACATTTTTCTGTCACATCACACTGTACTAGGCTACTGTCACATTATTTTTATCACACCACACTATACTAGGCTATTGTCACATCTTCCTGTCACATCACACTGTACTAGGCTACTGTCACATTTTTGTGTCACATCACACTGTACCAGGCTATTACCACATTTTTCTGTCACATCACACTGTACCAGACTACTACCACGACATTTTTCTGTCATATCATACTGTACCAGGCTACTACCACGACCTTTTTCTGTCATATCATACTGTACCAGGCTACTACCACGACATTTTTCTGTCATATCATACTGTACCAGGCTACTACCACGACATTTTTCTGTCATATCACACTATACTAGGCTACTGTCACATTTTTCTGTCATATCACACTATACTAGGCTACTACCACATTTTTCTGTCACATCATACTGTACCAGGCTATTGCCACATTTTTCAGTAACATCACACTGTACCAGGCTACGGTCACGACATTTTTCTGTCACATCACACTGTACTAGGCTACTGCCACATTTTTCTGTCACGTCACAGGGGTCGTCCATAAATAACGTCACACTGGTAGGGGGGGGGGTCTTAATGTTGTGACGGTGTGCAATGAGGGGGGGGGGGGGGGGTGGGAGGGTTCAGATGGTGAGACGTCAAATTTTTTGCATTATAAAAAAAGCATTGTTAGAAAACGAGTTTCAGCCGTTATTTCGCGTTTTAGAAAACGGTTTCAATAAATTATAATAGGAACTGATCAAAATACTCGATGTTGACAGAGTTCTGACAAGATTTTGGAAAAAAATATCGATGTTTTAAGAAATATTCAACAGCAATTTTGAGGGGGGGGGGGTTGTAGGCTGAGGTGTGACGTCATTTTAGATTGGGGGGGGGGGGCGGGTCTGGCTTATTGTGACGACGTGTGACGGAGGGGAGGGGGGACGTCGTTTATGGATGACCCCACACCGTACTACCACCGTGGTTTTCTTTGCCAAATCACATTACAACTCAAACGCCAGTTTTCTTCTCTTTTTTGTGGGCTGGGCGGCCATCACTTGACCTAGATAACATTCATAATTTGACAAAATAGTCAAAAGATACAATGTATAACCCTAACCTAATCCTACTGGGCCTAAAATAATAAGTTATTCGCCTAATTTCGCAAAAAGGCAAGCATTTGGATGGGTGTAGTGGTGGTGGTGGGGGGGGGGGGGGTGTTTAAAAGAAGCTTTAAACGTACAGCGTTACGATTGCAATTAGCATACCTCATAGAAAGACGCAATTAACGTGTAAACAGAAGTAGGTCAAAGATATGAAGTGCTGTTGAAATCAAACGATAACTTTTGTTTTAAACTGGGTGCATAGGCCTACATTCTCTATGATGATAAACGGGACTAAAAATTCCGGGGTCATCTTCATTTTTTCCCTTCAGTTTTTGTGAGCGATCAATGCCACAGTATTCATTGCAGTAAAACTTCAATCAACTATGAAAAAAATGTATGTTTCTGTAAACAAATATTGCCCTTCGTGTGTGACCTTGTCCAATGTTTTGTGGTTTCAGTTCCCCAAACAAACGTCCTACTTCTGCCGGGGGTCAGCGGCCCTGCTGGTGTTCTCACAGACGTCGTCTGCCCTGTGGACCGTGGCCATCACCTTCTACCTGCTGCTGTGTGTCTCGTGTCGCCGTGTCACGCTGGCCAATAGGATCCTCTTTCTCTTTCATATCGTCTGCTGGGGCGTGCCAGGTGGGTGCTTGGTGCTGGGGTGCTTAGTGCTGGGGTGTGCCAGGTGCAGCTAAAATGCTTCTGTTTGTTTAACTGCAGCTAATAAAGCTCCTGTATGTGTAACTGCAGCTAATAAAGCTCCTGTATGTGTACCTCACTACTAACTGCCTATTAGTCCAGTAAAATACTCTGTGTGTATCTCCCAGTGTTGCTGACCAGTGCAGGTGAGATCTCAGGTGTGTACGGCTATGACATCACAGACATCCTCAGGTACAAACATCCCACCCCCTGCTGGCTGAGTGACCGGGTCAAGAATCCACTCCCATGGTACCTGATGACAGTGGAAGGGTGGATCATGGCAACTTTTGTGGCCGTCTCACTCATGTACTTGATTTTAACATGGACAGTAGTACGGCAGGTAGACTTTTCTCAATGTCCAAATATTCACATACATGTAGGTATACTTTTGTCAATGTCCAAATATTTACATACATGAGGCAGAAATCTTAGTTAAATGTCCAAATATTCACACATATATATAGGTCTGTGGTGGCTGATTAAAATATGTGACATGTTAACCCTAACTCTTCTGAAACAAAATTTTCATGCAGAGAAACAAAGGAAAAGTTCTAGCTGGTGATGATGTCATTCAAGAACTCGCCATACAAACAGCCAATGAGCAGCTTCGTTTCATCCCTGCTATTTATGTCTGCACAAGAATCTGGGGCACAGCTTACTTCCTGTTTACACGGTATCCTGAAGATAGGCATCTCAGGGCATTTGATTGGTTGATGATAATTAAAGTAAGTACACTTGATTGGTTGATGATAATTAAAGTAAGTGGGTGCCAAACATCAAGTTAGCTATTTGAAAATTGATTTTATAGACTCAAGTCTAGTGGGGGTCGGCGTGGTCGAGTCGGTAAAGCTCATGATTGCTAAACCGAAAAGTCTCGAGTTCGAACCCTCGGGCAGATGAGGCTCGTTAGCTGGGGATAGCCATTCTTCTAGGAGAGACAACTCCAAATTTAAACAACTGCTGCCTTGTAGTTTGTTCTTGGTTGGACAAAGGCTATGGAAGCAAATCCAAAAAGAAAAGCAGGCTGAAATCGGAGTCAATGGCCTCAATGGCGCATAACCAGTTGACACGCAACGCTTAATTGTGTTGGAGACGTGGTAGAGTCGGCAAAAAGCTCATGGTTTATAAATTCGAACAAAGTCTCGAGTCTCAAACCCACTGGCAGATAAATCTCGATCCCCTTCAACACTAATAATTAAGAACGAAGAAGAAGAAGACTCAAGTCTAGTTTCTATATTCTGCTATGGAAAAACATACTTTGGATTACTTTTTAAATCTTCTGAAATCCATAAATTTTTATCTGTTACTGAAATCCTACTTTTACTTAAAAAAAAACATTTAAAAAAAATGAAGCTTCTGTTCAAAATAATTTATTTTTAAATCCTACATTTACATTTTAATAAAACAAGTACACTCACAATAATTCCTATTGTTCAGCTGGTCTAACAGCAAGCACTTTGAATCCAAACAGGCAATAGGAGACAACAGCCAAGGTTTGGCCAACGCCATTTTCTTCTGCCTGGCCACCAAACAGATCAGGAAAATCATGTCTAAGAAACTTGGCTGCGTGGTGTCCTGTTTGTGTGGCTGGTGCAGGAAACACAGGCTGGCAGCACAGGACAGGTGGATGAAGGTGCCGTCCATCGTCAGGATCAGGCGAGGCAAGCTGGCACAGAAGAGGCCAAAAAACCTGGACGGAAGTGACTTAGACTTGACTGGAATCTCCCTAGATCTGCCCACGATGATTTTGGAAGGTGGGGAGGAGGAAGTTATTTTTGAGAAGTGATCCCATGTCTCTCAGGGATTTTATAACCACCAGCCAGTGGAGCTAAGAGCTGGAGCTAATCCAACAACATGGCCGAGAGCTTAAGCTAAGAGCTAATCCAACAACATGGCGGAGAGCTTGAGCTAATCCAACATGGTGGAGAGCTTGAGCTAATCCAACAACAGAGTGGAGAGGAATGTTGGTGACACAACAAAACAACAGGCCAACTGAATGGGGGGGGGGGGGCTGCCTTCATTGAAATCTTGTTAGCTTTGTATGTTATCATCTTTATAAAAAAGTTTTGTACAAAGGAATGACATAAAATTAATAAATTTATAAAACTTAATGTGTACATTGAGATAAGATTTTAAAATTGGACAAATATGGTACAGAGCAGGTAAAACCAGCCTATCTCTGTAAATCTCATGTGTCAACAAGTAAATATTAGATTACATCTTTTGCCCTATCATTTGATCCAAGACAATAAATACAACAACATGTACAGGTGGTATGTTGATATCAAGGATTGCACAACCCTAATGACTACACAACTAAGTGGCAAGCCTGTATCAGTGTATCATCTCTTGTTAAATACCGAGGGATTTGGACGGAAAATTTCATTCTCATCTTCCACACCATTGTGCATCATCTTATGTTTGAGCTCCAGTCTAGTGTAGAAGTTCAAAACTTTGGGGTCAGCGCGCACACAGTTCATGTTGAAGTCAACCACACGCAGGCCCTCAAGGCTCTTGGCTCTGGACAGAGCAACATAGGCTTGACCTGTCTCAAAGACTTTGGCCAGGGATATCTCCACACAATCTAGGGTCATTCCCTGGTGACACAGAAACAAGGTTAAGTGTAACATAGAAACAAGGACTGTTCTATGGGGACATGTCTGTCGTTGTATTGGGATGTCTGTTGTAGTTGAGACATGTCTGTTGTATGTCAGACGTGTCTGTTGTATGTCAGACGTGTCTGTTGTATGGGGACATGTCTGTCGTTGTATTTGGATGTCTGTTGTAGTTGAGACATGTCTGTTGTATGTCAGACGTGTCTGTTGTATGTCAGACATTGACTGATGTTTACCTGGCTCTTGTGTATAGATATTGCCCAGGCCAGCTTGAGAGGGATTTGTTTCCTGACGATGGTGTTGCCACCCCCTATCTTAAACACCCATCTTATGGCTTTGATGGTCTCTGTCACCCCACACACAAACTTGATCACAGGGTTACCTGACAATGGGACATTTTCATCATTTACTGACCTACACCAACACCATCATTTACTGACCTACACCAACACCATCATTTACTGACCTACACCAACACCATCATTTAATGACCTACACCAACACCATCATTTACTGACCTACACCAACACCATCATTTACTGACCTACACCAACATTCATTTACTGACCTACGCCAACAACTACTTCATCATTCATGTACTTGGATGTACCTGTTTCGATACAAAACACAACACCCATACCTGCTTCAATATCTAACACAACTCCCCTACCTGCTTCAATACGTAACACAACACCCCACGTGTTTCAATACGTAATACAACACCCCTACCTGCTTCAATATCTAACACAACTCCCCTACCTGCTTCAATACGTAACACAGCACCCCACGTGTTTCAATACGTAACACAACACCCCTACCTGCTTCAATACCTAACACAACACCCCTACCTGCTTCAATACATAACACAACACCCCTACCTGCTTCAATATGTAACACAACACCCCACATGTTTCAATACGTAACACAACACCCCTACCTGCTTCAATATCTAACACAACACCCCTACCTGCTTCAATACCTAACACAACACCCCACGTGTTTCAATACGTAACACAACACCCCTACCTGCTTCAATACGTAATACAACACCCATACCTGCTTCAATACCTAACACAACACCCCTACCTGCTTCAATACGTAACACAACACCCCTACCTGCTTCAATACGTAATACAACACCCATACCTGCTTCAATACCCAACACAACACCCATACCTGCTTCAATACGTAACACAACACCCCTTGCTCCGTTCACCAGACCTCTCTGTATGTCCAGGTTTTTACACAGCATCACCTACATACACAAAAAAAGTTTACACATCACCTACATACAAAACAAAGTTTTCTTATATTTAGTGAACTGTTACAAGTGATGAAATGGGTAAACATTAAACCATGTTATAGACCCACATACAAGCAATGGTGTGTATGTTACCTGTGCTGTATAGACCCACATACAATGGTGTAGTGTGTATGTTTACCTGTGCTATATAGACCCACATACAACGGTGTAGTGTGTATGTTACCTGTACTGTATATACAACCAATGAACTAGTGTGTATGTTTACCTGTGCTATATAGACCCACATACAATGGTGTAGTGTGTGTTACCTGTGCTGTATAGACCCACATACAATGGTCTAGTGTGTTTGTTTACCTGTGCTATATAGACCCACATACAATGGTCTAGTGTGTATGTTTTCCTGTGCTATATAGACCCACATACAATGGTCTAGTGTATGTTACCTGTGCTCCAACTTTGAGCTCTAGGAAGGCAGGCACAGGACACAGTGTGTTGAGCTGCTGGGTGTAAGCCTCGTCCACATCTGATGCAGTAAACATGTAGCTCTCCCCTGTAACAGGATACACAAACAATGGTTGCCATGGTTATTGTTACATGACGCAGTAAACATGTAGCTCTTCCCTGTAACAGGATACACAAACAATGGTTGCCATGGTTATTGTTACATGACACAGTAAACATGTAGCTCTCCCCTGTAACAGGATACACAAACAATGGTTGCCATGGTTATTGTTACATGACACAGTAAACATGTAGCTCTCCCCTGTAACAGGATACACAAACAATGGTTGCCATGGTTATTGTTACATGACGCAGTAAACATGTAGCTCTCCCCTGTAACAGGATACACAAACAATGGTTGCCATGGTTATTGTTACATGACACAGTAAACAAGTAGCTCTCCCCTGTAACAGGATACACAAACAATGGTTGCCATGGTTATTGTTACATGACACAGTAAACAAGTAGCTCTCCCCTGTAACAGGATACACAAACAATGGTTGCCATGGTTATTGTTACATGACACAGTAAACAAGTAGCTCTCCCCTGTAACAGGATACACAAACAATGGTTGCCATGGTTATTGTTACATGACACAGTAAACATGTAGCTCTCCCCTGTAACAGGATACACAAACAATGGTTGCCATGGTTATTGTTACATGACGCAGTAAACATGTAGCTCTCCCCCGTAACAGGATACACAATAACATGGTGGGCCCTAAATCAACTGGTTTATTGAAGGATGGAACAGCTAACAATGCAGCCGTATCCTACAAGACTATATGACTGTCCCCACACAAATACCTGCAAGTTCCTTCAGCTTGGAGATGTTAATCTGCTCCACATCGACCTTGTGTGTGCACAGTTTGGTGGCCACCACCCCGTCCTTCTCTATCCTTTTATCTCCTGTCTCCTGCAGTGTTCTGGCTACAGTGGGAGGACATCTGGCCAGGGAGGAATGGGTGGGGAAGTAGAGTTAGAACATTTCAACATGGGAATGTCATCAGTCATATTTGTTGTGAGCCTTAACAAACAGGTTGGTTGTGAACCTTTACAAACAGGTTGGTTGTGAACCTAAACAAACAGGTTGGTTGTGAACTTAAACAAACAGGTTGGTTGTGAACCTAAACAAACAGGTTGGTTGTGAACCTTAACAAACAGGTTGGTTGTGAGCATTAACAAACAGGTTGGTTGTGAACCTAAACAAATAGGTTGGTTGTGAACCTACACACACAGGTTGGTTGTGAAGCTAAACAAACAGGTATGGTGTGACTGAACAAAGTTTGTAAAAATATCCAAACTTACAGGCCTTTTCTAATCTGTTGCAAGAGGTCAATGAACTTCTTGTCAGATTGTCGTTTGACGTCAGTTAGATGCATCGTCACATCAATACTTTTTTGCCAAGCCTCGGACTAAATAAAAGATACAACATTTTATTAACACAATTTAAAGGCCTAACTATAGACTGGTTTAACTATCAAAAATATTAACCAAAATCATTAACAGATACTTTTATTAACCCCATATCTACCAGATGTGCCAACATCACCCTACCTGGAAACAAAATTTTCTGTCCTCCCCCTTATTAACCCCATATCTACCAGATGTGCCAACATAATCCTACATGGAAACAAAATGTTCTGTCCTCCCCCTTATTAACCCCATATCTACCAGATGTGCCAACATCACCCTACCTGGAAACAAAATTTTCTGTCCTCCCCCTTTTTAACCCCATATCTACCAGATGTGCCAACATCACCCTACCTGGAAACAAAATGTTCTGTCCTCCCCCTTATTAACCCCATATCTACCAGATGTGCCAACATCACCCTACCTGGAAACAAAATTTTCTGTCCTCCCCCTTATTAACCCCATATCTACCAGATGTGCCAACATCACCCTACCTGGAAACAAAATGTTCTGTCCTCCCCCTTATTAACCCCATATCTACCAGATGTGCCAACATCACCCTACCTGGAAACAAAATGTTCTGTCCTCCCCCTTATTAACCCCATATCTACCAGATGTGCCAACATGCACCCTACCTGGAAACAAAATTTTCTGTCCTCCCCTTATTAACCTTATATCTACCAGATGTGCCAACATGCACCCTACCTGGAAACAAAATTTTCTGTCCTCCCCCCTTATTAACCCCATATCTACCAGATGTGCCAACATAATCCTACCTGAAAACAAAATGTTCTGTCCTCCCCCTTATTAACCACATATCTACCAGATGAGCCAACATGCACCCTACCTGGAAACAAAATGTTCTGTCCCCCCTCCCCCTTATTAACCCCATATCTACCAGATGTGCCAACATGCACCCTACCTGGAAACAAAATGTTCTGTCCTCCCCCTTATTAACCCCATATCTACCAGATGTGCCAACATGCACCCTACCTGGAAACAAAATTTTCTGTCCTCCCCTTATTAACCCCATATCTACCAGATGTGCCAACATGCACCCTACCTGGAAACAAAATTTTCTGACCTCCCCTTATTAACCCCATATCTACCAGATATGCCAACATGCTCACTACCTGGAAACAAAATTTTCTGTCCTCCCCTGGCCCTGTGACTGGAGGAAGCTGCAGGAAGTCACCACACAAAATGAGCTGAATGCCACCAAAGGGTTGGTCAGACTTGCGGACAACCCTGTAGTCAGATAAAAAATTATTAGTATACCATGTATGTACAACCCTGACTTTTTAAAGTTAATTGTGTTAGTTTTAGCTGCTGCATGATGACATAATCAAGCAGACAGAGAGTGGCTCCACTAGCTGTGACATTTTTTACATGTAAGGCCAAATACATGTTATTATCAATTATTATAATAAAAATACAGCAGTTTTTATAAAACAAATGAAATTTATCAACATGGTAAAAGTCTGCTGTATGTGAGACCTTAACTCATATTATCAGAGGAACTGATAGTAAAATAATGAGCAGGGAACTGACAGTCAAATAATGAGCAGGGCCAAGGAACATAAGACTTACCTAGCAACAGTCTCCAGCTTGTTGAAAAAGTCCCCGTCTACCATTGAGATCTCATCAATGATCAAATGTCTACAGGCCCTCCACTGTTGGGCCACCTTCTGTCTGGACGCCAACTCTACACACTGGCTCAATGGTGCCTTGCCTGAACCTATGCCTGGCAGGGGATAACATGGACTAAATATTACTTGTTCTACAAGATGGCTGAACCCCAAAAGGATTGCTTGGTTATTTTAAAATCTATCAATCAAAAAAATCTATCAATATGGGCCAGACTCAAGCACACAAGGTTTTCTGTATTACCAACCTGCTGACCCCAGGCAGTAGAACATGTTTTACCTGCAAAAGCATGGAGCGTGGTCCCCCCAATGTGACATGCAGCAACACCTGTACTGGCCGTGGCAAACGTGTGGTTGGGTGGGAGAGCACCTGAAGTATAGATGGGAAACCAAAAAGTGGGATCAATATCTGCACATTCTAGAGAACAATAAAAGAATAAACACCGAAATTTTTCTCAACATATTCATGATATTTCTGTTTTAAAAATTTGAAACATTTCAAGAATAATTTATGATTGAAACATCAATTTAAGAATCATCAGGTCCTGATAAATTGTGGTGGCCAAATTATAGTTGCCCTAGAATCTTATCAGTTTTGATAAGCTGACACAAGTTTAATCATTTAATAACCCCCTTTTACCTTCGAAGGTATCAAACACAAAACAATGTAGGTTTTTTATCAAGCAAAAATAACACCATTAAAATAAAATATAGAGCTAGCAGAACTGAGGCAGCATAACCACAACTGTGAAAATTTTCCTCAAATAGAAAAAGTGGATTTTTGTAAAAAAGGTTACACCTCTGCAGATTCTTTGTTAGTGAAAATCAAAGTTGACAAACAATTTGTGTAAGGTTGACAACAGTAAAAACTTAGATAAAGGCTAACATGGCTACAACTAAAGCGACAAACCTACAATCCTTTTCAGCAAGAAAGATTTTCCTGTGCCTGCACTACCAGTAAAAAAAATATTCCGGCCCTTCAAGACCGCCTCCAGCACCCGATTTTGCTCCGGCGTCAGCTGAATTGGTTTGGCTAGAACTTTGGACGGACTTATACCATTTATTTTAGTCAGTTTTAAAAATGCTGTTTTTGCTGCCATGAGTTTCTGTCTTTTAGCTTCATTTTCTAAAGAGGTGGGACTGTTCTCCTGGGCACTTGAGGGCAACGACCTTTTTTTAGTGATGTGGGAGGAGGTGATCCCATGGGTGGTGAGGCTGGACGGCTGCGAGGAGGACTGGCCTCTGGCACCATGAGACACCTGCAGGTCTTTGACGGTCAGCGGGGAGATCTCCTCAAACTCGTGGTGTTTGCCAGAGAAAAGTTTCTGCCTCTGTGTGAGGAAACCTTTCTGCTTCAGCACGTCCAGCTTGGCCTGGGTGGAGAAGTGGGAGAAAAACATGACAGATGACATACAAGTGTGAGAGAAAAACATGACAGATTACATACAAGTGGGAGAGAAAAACATGACAGATTACATACAAGTGTGAGAGAAAAACATGACAGATTACATACAATGCTCTCTCTAAATCACTGGTCGCTTCTAACATGTGACTTACGAGCTGTGTTTAATAAACAACAAGAAGGCTGGCATTACCTGTAAAGTGTGTAATAACATGATTAGCTGGTAACACGAATGCTGGCATTACCTGTAAAGTATGTAGGAACATGACTAGCTGGTCAGGTGGGCAGTTGGACAGGAGCAGCTGAATCTTGTGCTCAGGTAGCTTTATAGTGGCCTTCCCATCTTTGACAAATTTCTTGTGAATCAACAGCTCCTTCACAGAATACTTGCTCTCTTTCTTAGGAAAAATCACCTGTTGAGTCAGCAATTTCAGTTGGAAGTTAAAAGGATTATTCCCATGAAAACATAGGCTGATCAGAAACCTGAACTTAAATACTGAACTAACTGGTGCTTTTTTAAATAGAATGCAAAAAAGATAAGTAACATTCAAAATTTCTGTATTCTATTATGTCATTTAAACAGACTTAAACAGATATCTTTGCCAATGTCACTCATCCATTGATACCTTAATCAAAATTTCACGAAATTCATCTCTTCCTAAACAGATGTTCAGGTTCTGATACTGACTTTTCTTGATAACATTTCCTGTGGCTGACAATTCTTCTATACATACGCTGCAGGTTAAACTGGCATTTGCCATTTTCTTCAGCAACAATAAATACACACTAAGGGAGTAAAAAGTTATAAAAGGTACATTTTTAAAAAAGTTCAATTATGTTAGGTAATTAAAGACATATGGATGTTCTCTGAACAGTGAAAGTAATGCAATTAATGTAACTCTAGGGGATCAGCATGGTTGAGTTGGTAAAGCTTATGATTGTTAAAATGAAAAGTCTCCAGTTAGAACCCTCGGGCAGATGAGGCTCGACTGCTGGGGACAGCAACTCTTGTAGAAGACACAAATCTAAAATCAAACAAACTACAAGGCAGCTGTTGTCAACAGCTGCCTTGTAGTTTGCTCTTGGTTGGACAAAGGCTATGAAAGCAAATCCAAAATGAAAAGCAGGCTGAAATCAGAGTCAACAGCCTACATGAATGGCATATAGATCTAACTAGTTGACACGTAATACTTAATATTGTGTTGGAGGAATCCCTCCACCACTAGAATTAAGAACGAAGAAGAAGAAATGTAACTTTGGGATATTTATTTCTATTATCAGTCTCTTTTAACTCTGGGCGAGCCAGTAAAGTATTTTGATACTCAATAGGCCCATAGACTAAAATATTTACTAAACTAGTAATATAGAATATGGATCTAGATCTAGATAATATATAATATACTGGTAATCTATCGTTTTGGGTACGTAAAATCGCCCGCGATTTGTAATGTGAAAAACAGGTGACTCCTTAAATTTTAATAGTTATTTCACATTTTGAGGAGGGTTTATGTTTTAAAAAATTCAAAAATGTTTCCTTGATTCATTTATGTACCTGTTTTTAAACAATTGAATTAAAACTTTTCCGTAATAAATGAAGACTAGCGATGTTTCCAACAGATGCAACCATGCTCATTTACTATAGCAGCCATCTTGTCTAAGTTTTATTTTTATAAGCTTTTAGCGCCAGATTCAGGGGGAAGCCACTCTATTTTACAAATGGCTGCTGTTTATATAGCAAATCTTGCTCTCAGACACTGCTGTTTAAAGTACTTTAAAGTTGATTTCTTGCCTATATCGATATATTTAGCCATTGATTTAGGTTTATTATTCATTTATCTATAATATTTGACACAAAAGTATGACAATATACTTCTATTAAAGTAATTTAAAGCCTTGACAATGAGGTAACGTTTTCGTACATAAATAGCCGCGGGCGATTTTACGTACCCAAAACGATAGATTACCAATATACTATATGAATATTGTTTTTGTATGTATGATAGTTCAGTATTTAAACTAAAGTATAGAATAGTAGATCTAGGATCTAGATATCTACTACTTACTTAGTAGTACTTACAGTACACTCTTTTAATTAATATACTTTTAATTTAAGAGTTTAATTTTAAGACTTTTTAAGAGTAGGCCTAAATTTAGGCTACTAATTTAATTTAATAATTTTATAAGTAAATATTAAATATTAAATAAATAAGTAGTAAAGGCCTAATTTAAGACTCAAGTTTTAAAGTTTAACAATAGTCTATTAATTAAATGGACCGAGAATAGTCTCAAAATATGCGTAAGCTGATAATGTAACAAAATCTGAAAGGTTGCCCACCAAAGTGCTTACTTTAACCAAACATCTAAAAGCAAAAATCCTTTGTCTGACGTCCAGTTTCGGCTTCCTTAGATTCTTCTATTTGAATTTGGTTACCGTCACGGGCAATCTATTTACCGGGAAAAAATGAACAGAGCGTTTAACTAAAGCTCCTAGATGTAGATCTAGGTAGATTCTATTCACAAACGATGGGATATGGAAATTAATGAAAAAAATTATTAGCTGCTTATAGAATATACATTAGTATTGTTAGTTAATAATATATAGAAATCTAGATCTAGATCTAGATCTACCATTAGTTAAAACTTAAAATTTCTTTAGTGTTAGTTTCAAGTAAAAATCCTTGCTAAGTTTAGTATAGGCCTATCATCAGACAAATAAAGAATTGTTTTAAGTTTTAAAGGCGACATTGTGGCTTTTTCTAGTTCAATTAAAAAAACAGCTCAGGGTTAAATGTCTTAATGCCCACCCCCTCTTTCCTGTTGAATTCAGTCATTGAAGTGAACAATGCGGATAAGAAGGGGCGCTAATTTTAAAAACTATATTGCATGTTTAAAATGAGTTATTTCCCTTAAGTTAGTAAGTTTCTATTTATGTCACGTTACACATTGCACCAGATAGTTTGGTTTAGTTAAATTGTGAAATCCACGCAAGCTGACGGACTGAGCCGTGGTGGTGTGGGTAAAATCGTGACTTTATCAACAGAGCCTAAAGCTGTATGATTTGTGCTCCAGTTCTCGGGCTGGGGTACAACCACACCACTAACTCGATACTCAGTTCTTTTTGCTGTGGTCGATACTCAGTTCTTTTTGCTGTGGTCGATACTCAGTTCTTTTTGCTGTGGTCGCTACTCAGTTCTTTTTGCTGTGGTCGCTACTCAGTTCTTTTTGCTGTGGTCGATACTCAGTTCATTTTGCTGTTGTACAACCACACCACTAACTCCATATTCCGCTATTCATTTTCTATTACCAGAATTTCATTGGCTAATTTCTTTGTGTGTGTATGTATATATCAGAGGCGTATCTAGGTTTTCGTTGTAGGGGGAGCGAAAAGAAAAAAAGTAAAGGCGCCGAATTTTTAACACGTTCTATATACGTGTAATATATATATATATATATATATATATATATATATATATATATATATATATATATATATATATATATATATACATATATATATATATATATATATATATATATATATATATAATTACTAGCTGAATGTCATTACTTCGCTATGATGTAAAATAAATTGAAAGTAGCATTCTGAAGAAATAAGAAAAAACACACAATGTAGGCCGACAAAACAAAAATTGTATCAATCTAAACAATATATATATATATATATATATATATATATATATATATATATATATATATATATATATATATATATATATATATATACACTACAACCAAACACAATGAACGTAACACAATCTGTTTTTTAATTCTTGTACCAAAAATTTCTTACATAATAATTCCTGGGAAATTATTTAAGACAAGTGAAATAGGGGAAATAATCACTCTCTTAATATAAATATGTATATATCTACACATTTAACTATAAATGTCAAAACAAATAAATAATTACTTTAGAATATAATGAAATTGTTTAACACTATTCGAGTTTACAAAATGTTTTTGTCTAAAATCAGAATTTAATATATAGTTTTTATAAATTCTAAAATATTACAGCATAATGAAAGTTTTTAAACACAGAGTTGGTATAAAACAAGGCTTTCCGTTTTTAATAGAGGATTTTTCGGATTAACAGTCTACATTTAACTTAATGAATCGGTCTTTTAGTTCAGATCATATATTTTAATTAACTACGGCTTCTTTGGGTTCTTTAAAGATCATTTTTTAACATAGTGATAGGTATGGGTTAGATCACTGTATTGATCACACACCTTTTTACTGGTAATTGCAAAAACAATATTCACAGAGTTTTACGTTTAAAAAGCTAATTTTCTGGCGGCATGGTACTTTGATACATCATTACTTGAATACCTAGGTGTGACATTAATGTCACACCTAGGTATTCACTGGGTTGGGTGGGGGGGGGGGGGAGGAGATAACCAACTCAGAGTGAACATAGCGTCAGTTTTAGATGACTGTTCTAAACATACATATATATTACACAAATATATATTACACAAATATATATTACACAAATATATATTACAGAAATAGATTTAAATAAGTAGCAGTGGTATTAGGACAATATTTTTTTTTTACAGAGGGGTCCATGGGGGAGGGGGGTTGTAACTGTTTCATATAATTTGTAATCGTAATCACTATCGCCCAAACTGTAAGAATACTACTACTTCATCGTGATGACGTTGTTGACCTTGTCAAAATTTCCCCACCACTACGCAGTTTGCTCATAAGTAAATTTAAATCGAGGTGCCACATCAGTTCTATTTGTTTCTGTATTGTAATTTTTAAAAAAATTAATCACACGATTCAAACTGTATATATAAAGTAATTATGTGTGAAGTTTTATGTATAGCATTTTCTAATTCAATTATTCGTAAGCAAATACATTATACAGTTGCCTTAAACTTAACACCCCTCTTGCCAAGTGGTACTACCGTGGAGGTTTTTTAAACATTGCAATACATCGTAATGGTTATTTTTAGAATGGCAAACTGATGCAGCTGTTAATACGTGTTGTTAACGTAGACACTACTAGACTAGTACAATAATGCTTAATTGCTGCATGAAAAGAAATCTTGTGATTTACATAGATGTGCCGACCAAAAATATTTTTTTAACAAATATCATTGTTTAAAACTTTGAGTTTAAAAAGTTTCCAAAAAGGCGCCACTTTGCTGAAAATGGCCAGAGGGGGAGCGGCCGCTCCCCCTGCTCCCCCCCTGCGTACGCTACTGGTATATATATATATATATATATATATATATATATTGAATATATAACTTGAATTTTTGGGCAATAACCAGAATTTTAAATGGTCACTGGTGTGGTTATTGCAAAAAATTCAAGTTTTATATATATATATATATATATATATATATATATATATATATATATATATATATATATATATATATATATATATATATATTGAATATATAACTTGAATTTTTGGGCAATTATATATATATATATATATATATATATATATATATATATATATATATATATATATATATATATATATATAATATATATAACTTGAATTTTTTGACAATAACCACACCAGTGACCACTTAAAATTCTGAAACCGTGCCTACGTTTCTAAATATATTTTTCAATAATTGATATAAAACAGACACAATTCATGAAAAAGATGTTTTATAATTGTATTTAGCTATATTTTATTTTCTCAGGAATATACTCTTAATTCTCTCCCTTATATGTTTCTTAAATTAAGATTGAAATCTAATTAACCAGAAATCAACATCCAGCTAATAACCACATCGTCAGGCCGAAACTAAATGTAATCAATATTTCATTAATTAAAGCCAATTTGCCTGTTACTTAAACTCGTTTAGTGTTAGCTTCTAACTCGTGATCTAGCAATCAAACAAGACAAGTTTGTGTAACTAAGTCCCTTAAAACTGGGTGCTTACAGTTTTTAGTGTGTGAGTTCAATGTTTAGATTTATTGTTTAGCCTAATTGTTAAGGTTAGTGCTTAGTTTAGATTAGTTATTAAGTTTAGTAGTTTTCTATTTAGTTTACGCCTCTGGGTAATTGTGCTAGGTTATTTACACCGTGTTCACTATTTCAAACAATTAAATTTTTACTTTGTAAAATTCCGCCAGTGTGTTTCAGACCACGCCCACCATGGTCTGGAGGCTGTCAGTAGTTACCGCCCTTGTCTTAGTGCTGCTGCACCCGGCAGATGGCGCCACGCTGGTGCCATTTAAAGATTACTTGTCGCTGCCGACTCAGCAGAACGTGGTCCCAGCATATGGTCAACGGCTGCCGGACCAGGTACCGGGGCCGACCTTAACCTTGGAAAATGTTCTAGGGCTGACTGACGCGGACAGCAAGCTCCAGGTATTTCTTGCACATCACAGTCGTTATCACAACCATCTAAGCTCCAGTTATTTCTTGCACATCACAGTCGTTATCACAACCATCTAAGCTCCAGGTATTTCTTGCATATCACAGTCGTCATCACAACCATCTAAGCTCCAGGTATTTCTTGCACATCACAGTCGTTATCACAACCATCTAAGCTCCAGGTATTTCTTGCATATCACAGTCGTCATCACAACCATCTAAGCTCCAGTTATTTCTTGCACATCACAGTCGTTATCACAACCATCTAAGCTCCAGGTATTTCTTGCATATCACAGTCGTCATCACAACCATCTAAGCTCCAGGTATTTCTTGCACATCACAGTCGTTATCACAACCATCTAAGCTGCAGGTATTTCTTACACATCACAGTCGTCATCACAACCATCTAAGCTCCAGGTATTTCTTGCACATCACAGTCGTTATCACAATCATCTAAGCTCCAGGTATTTCTTGCACATCACAGTCGTTATCACAACATTAATGGAACTGGCAAAAAGCATTTTTCTTTTTGCAATTTTTTTGCCATGGTGTCAGCCCCCTAAATGGTGTCACCCGGTGCGGTCCGCACCCCCCGCCCCACCCCCTCTACGCCCCTGTTTGCTGTTAACACTCTAAAATCTAACGTTGGTGTCAGTTTACTAATCTCCGCTTTAAACCTAACGTTGATGTCAGTTTACTAATCTTAAATCTAACGTTGATGTCAGTTTACTAATCTTAAATCTAACGTTGATGTCAGTTTACTAATCTTACCTCTTTAAACCTAACGTTGATGTCAGTTTACTAATCTCCGCTTTAAACCTAACGTTGATGTCAGTTTACTAATCTTAAATCTAACGTTGATGTCAGTTTACTAATCTTAAATCTAACGTTGATGTCAGTTTACTAATCTTACCTCTTTAAACCTAACGTTGATGTCAGTTTACTAATCTCCGCTTTAAACCTAACGTTGATGTCAGTTTACTAATCTTACCTCTTTAAACCTAACGTTGATGTCAGTTTACTAATCTCCGCTTTAAACCTAACGTTGATGTCAGTTTACTAATCTTACCTCTTTAAACCTAACGTTGATGTCAGTTTACTAATCTCCGCTTTAAACCTAACGTTGATGTCAGTTTACTAATCTTACCTCTTTAAACCTAACGTTGATGTCAGTTTACTAATCTCCGCTTTAAACCTAACGTTGATGTCAGTTCACTAATCTTACCTCTTTAAACCTAACGTTGATGTCAGTTTACTAATCTTAAATCTAAGGTTGATATCAGTTTACTAATCTTCCCACTCTAAACCCAGCCTGAAGAATCGTTCGTGTCTACGCTCGGCAAAACAAAGACCAAATATCGCCAGAGGTTCCAGGGCATCAAGATCTACGACGCCGTGGTGACGGTGGAGCAGGATCTCTTCAAGATCACCATTCTAGCGGCCAACGTCTTTAACGGGCTAGCTGACGACCTGGGGTATTCAATGGCATGTGACCTTGACCGTGATGAGGCCATTGAAATAACTCTCAAGTAAGTCATCGACGTTTTCATCTTCGTCGATGTCTCGCCATCTCCCCAGACCCACGAATGTCTCCCTAGACATTTGACACCCACGAATATCATTTGACACCCATGAATGTCACCCCAGCCATTTGACACCCACGAATGTCTCCCTAGACATTTGACACCCACGAATGTTATTTGACACCCATGAATGTCACCCCAGCCATTTGACACCCACGAATGTCTCCCCAGCCATTTGACACCCACGACCCAGACATTTGACACCCATGAATGTCACCCCAGCCATTTGACACCCACGAATGTCTCCCCAGACATTTGACACCCATGAATGTCATTTGACACCCATGAATGTCATTTGACACCCACGAATGTCATTTGACACCCATGAATGTCTGCCCAGACTTTTGACACCCACGAATGTCTCCCCAGACATTTGACACCCATGAATGTTATTTGACACCCATGAATGTCATTTGACACCCACGAATGTCATTTGACACCCATGAATGTCTGCCCAGACTTTTGACACCCATGAATGTCTCCCCAGACACTTTAACCTACAGGGTGGTGAAGTTGGCACGACGCTGTTCGAGGAATTAATTTACATTGACGTCACCAGCAGCCGTGCCCGCCGTGTGTTGAGCGTCGCCATCTTGGTGACCACCGACTCAGGCACGTTCAGACCCGTGGCTTTCATTGACAAGTGCTCGCGAGATGTTGTGGATGCTTTTGATAAAGGGGCATACCAGCTACCGACAGGAGGTACAAAAATACATGAAAACCCACATTTAAAGTATGCAACATTCTCGTACAACTCAACTGTGTTGCTTTTTAAAAGTGAGTGTAAAATGAGTGGACGAAATTTTGTTTTATGTTGCAGAAGTTGGAGCCGAGAAGACTTGTGACTTTAAAGGCAAGGGCGGCAATCCGAGGCGAGAACTGGACTTCGGGAGCCCGCCATTTTGTTTATATCCGTTGAAAAGATCGTCAAATAGAAAAATTTGCTTCTTGGAGAATGAGTTTGTAAAAGGCAGGCAGTTCTATTTTAGGGCTAGGTTTTAGTCGATATAATTGGGCGTCAGATTAGGACTAGACAGGGTTTATATGGTCGAGTTGACCTCTACTTATTGGGTTTGTTCTGTTGACCAGTTGACCTCTACTAACCAGTGTTTCTTCCAGACTTTTTTTCTCCGGGGGGGGGGGGGCACTTGATATTTTCGGGGGGGGGGGGGCGGACAACGTTTTCCGGGGGGGGGGGGGCGGACAACATTTTCCGGAGGTGGGGGGGCGGACACTGGTAAAAGTATATGTTTTCTATATAAATTCCATTTCGTTCGGGGGGACAGTAGACTTTCTAGTAACTGGATTTGTTCTACAGGCGCCGACCTGAAGACTAGCAAGAAGACGAGGAATCCACAAGTGGTCAACTTCACCTGTTCTCGAGGCTACAATGACGCGGTCAATGGAGGATTATCGCCCGTACTTGATGTGTTTTTTTACGGCACCAAGACCGCCAAATTGTACCGAGGTAACCAATTTTGGCTGGAACTTTTCCTTTACCCAGCTCAACGTTGGCCGAACTGTTTTAGCTAACCCTAACCCATAAAACCTTATATTAACTAAAATAAAATAAAAGTCGGAAACCAAAACCCTTGAAACACCTCTCACCAGACTGGTACAACTACCCGTCTCTGAGGGATCCGATCCCCTTCATGGTTGCACACTTCGGGCAGAACTTCAGCAACGCCGTGTGGGACGGGAAGAACGTGCTGTTTGGGGACGGGGACGGGGTGAGCCTGTACCCCCTGACCGGGGTCAACACCGTGGCACACGAATACGCTCACGGCGTCACCGAGAAGACGTCCAATCTGGAGTACAAGTCAGTTGTGTGGATCACGTGACACGCTTGTTTATCACGTGACACGGGTGTGAACTGGGGGGGGGGGGGGGTATATTCAGACTTTCAATGTTGGTTTAGGCTGGATTTTAAAAAAAAATGAATGTAGATTATTAAACAGTTTAATAGAAATTTGGGGACAGTAAAGTTGTATTTGGTTCCATAGGTTTGGTGACAGTAAAGTTGTATTTGGTTCTAGAGGTTTGGGGACAGTAAAGTTGTATTTAGAGGTTTGGGGACAGTAAAGTTGTATTTGGTTCTAGAGGTTTGGGGACAGTAAAGTTGTATTTGGTTCCATAGGTTTGGGGACAGTAAAGTTGTATTTTGTTAAAGAGGTTTGGGGACAGTAAAGTTGTATTTAGTTCCATAGGTTTGGGGACAGTAAAGTTGTATTTGGTTCTAGAGGTTTGGGGACAGTAAAGTTGTATTTAGAGGTTTGGGGACAGTAAAGTTGTATTTGGTTCTAGAGGTTTGGGGACAGTAAAGTTGTATTTGGTTCCATAGGTTTGGGGACAGTAAAGTTGTATTTAGAGGTTTGGGGACAGTAAAGTTGTATTTGGTTCGATAGGTTTGGGGAAAGTAAAGTTGTATTTAGAGGTTTGGGGACAGTAAAGTTGTATTTGGTTCGATAGGTTTGGGGTCAGTAAAGTTGTATTTGGTTCCAGGGGTCAGCCAGGGGCGATAAACGAGGCCTTCTCCGACATGGCAGGTGAAGCCCTAGAGGAATACATCTTCGGCCAGGTCGACTGGATCGCTGCACGGGAGGTCTACATCAAGGACCAAGACGTAGGTACTTCACATCTTGACGTAGGTACTTCACATCTTGACGTACTAAGGTACTTCACATCTTAAACTAAGACCAAGACGTAAGTACTTCACATCTTGATGTAGGTACTTCACATCTTAAACTAAGACCAAGACGTAAGTACTTCACATCTTGACGTAGGTACTTCACATCTTAAACTAATACCAAGACGTAAGTACTTCACATCTTGACGTAGGTACTTCACATCTTAAACTAAGACCAAGACGTAAGTACTTCACATCTTGACGTAGGTACTTCACATCTTAAACTAAGACCAAGACGTAAGTACTTCACATCTTGACGTAGGTACTTCACATCTTAAACTAAGACCAAGACGTAAGTACTTCACATCTTGACGTAGGTACTTCACATCTTAAACTAAGACCAAGACGTAAGTACTTCACATCTTGACGTAGGTACTTTAGATCTTAAACTAAGGCCAAGACGTAGGTACTTCACATCTTGACGTAGGTACTTCACATCTTAAACTAAGACCAAGACGTAGGTACTTTAGATCTTTAACATCAAGACGTAGGTACTTCAAATCTTTAACATCAAGACGTAGGTACTTCAAATCTTAAACTAAGACCAAGACGTAGGTACTTCAAATCTTAAACTAAGACCAAGACGTGGGTACTTCAAATCTTAAACTAAGACCAAGACGTAGGTACTTCAAATCTTAAACTAAGACCATGACGTAGGTACTTTAGATCTTAAACTAAGGCCAAGACGTAGGAACTTCACATCTTGACGTAGGTACTTCAAATCTTAAACTAAGACCAAGACGTAGGTACTTCAAATCTTAAACTAAGACTAAGACGTAGGTACTTCACATCTTGACGTAGGTTGTTCAAATCTTAAACTAAGACCATGACGTACGTACTTCAGATCTTAAACTAAGGCCAAGACGTAGGTACTTCAAATCTTAAACTAAGACCATGACGTAGGTACTTCAGATCTTAAACTAAGACCAAGACGTAGGTACTTCAAATCTTAAACTAAGACCAAGACATAGGTACTTCAGATCTTAAACTGTGCCCACACATAAACTCTTCACAGGCCTACCTACCCACTTAGATCCCCGGGGCCAACTAGCAATTTGCCCCCCCCCCCCCCCCCAATTTATAGTTAGTTATTCACGTAGGCAAAAAACTCCCTCCCCTCCCTCAAGGACTTTTGAAAATGGTTTGGAGCGCTTTTTACCAATTAATGCACTTAACATTTTTAGCGCAATTTCCATTCTGGAGAATTGCGTTTATTAACCCGCCATTTCTGGATGTATGAATGTATGAATGAATGGATGGATGGATGGATGGATGTGTGTCCGCAGCTTTAAGTCGTATCTCCTCCTCAACGAAGCAATATCGATGACTAGTTCCAAAAGCAATTATGTTAAGCAAGTTACGAGGATGAACATAGGCCATAAAAATTACGGGTTTCTTTCATGGATTTCCCGGAAAAGCCAAAAAACCTCGAAAAAAAAGCAGTTTTTGGCCCATATCTCGGCAACCAGACCACTTAGCGACTTGAAACATGTACCAATCGATTCCTGCCATAATTTAGAACAATATTGCCGAAGAAAGTTTTCAAAAATATCCTTTCGTTCGGTCACAAAATTTTTTTTGAATTAATTAAAATTTGAACCGAATTAGTAAGCATTTTATGCAACCACACCACACGCGTCATCACGTTCAATAGCTGCGCCATCACGTTCAATGGCTGCGTCATCACATTCAGTAGGCGCGCAATGGTTTTTAGTCATGTAACTCTATTGTAAATAAAACATGTAAAATACTGAAAAAAAAAATGAATAAAAAACGTTTTAATAACTAACCAATGGTTTTACTAACCCTGCTCTTGATTTACGCTACGACAGAGCTATTTTTAGATAACATAAGGAAATTGCGCTTAAATGTCACTAGACTTTTTAATTAACTTGTTTATTTTGGTGTCACATGACATAGAAAACAGTTGAATCAGTAAATGTCTGTTTTCTAAATCTTGTGTATGATTAAATAAGCAGCTCGGAACTGTGTCTGTCTCGCCAAATATCAGCAGTGTACTGTCCTAGTTCACCAAATGCTGTCTGTCTCGCCAATTGTCAGCTACTGTCCTAGTTCACCAATGGTGTCTGTCTCTCGCCAAATGGTGTCTGTCTCGCCAAATGTCAGCAGTTTACTGTCCTAGTTCACCAAATGGTGTCTGTCTCGCCAATTGTCAGCAGTGTACTGCCCTAGTTCACCAATGGTGTCTGTGGGAATATAAAACCTGTACACATCAGACTGAACCACAAGCCCACCACAATTTCGTTTCGTGAAATATATTTTGTTCACGAGAATAGAAGGCAAAGTATATGACTGATTATATGACTGATTATATGACTGATCATATGACTGTTTTCAGGATTTTCGGTATTTTGATGACCCAAGCAAAGATGGCGCATCAATCGGCCACGTGAAAGATTACACGGATAGTCTTGATCTACACTTGAGTAGTGGAATCTACAACCGCGTTTTCTGGTTAATAGCCCAGCAGCTAGGAATACGGTAAGTAGACGAACCGCGCACTTGAGGGGTTTTAAACCTTTTCTTTAAACCCGTATTTTTGTGTAACTAACACTACTAACAGAGCAGAGGCGTAGCGACGGGGGGAAGGGGGGTACATATGTCCCCGGGCGTCGACCTTAGGGGCGCAGAAATGGGTTAGAAAAACAAATTGAAAATTTGAGGGGGGCGGGGGTGCAAATTGAAAATTGAAAGGTTGTTCCCGAGGGAGGCGCCAAATTGAAAGTTTATCCCCGGGCGCCGGGAAGGGTCGCTACCCCTCTGTAACAGAGCATGGGAAAAATCATTGTTACAGTTCAACGATTCAATGTTCCCATTAACAGGTCAACATTTGAATGTTTCCTCTAACAGGTCAACATTTGAATGTTTCCTCTAACAGGTCAACATTTGAATGTTTCCTCTAACAGGTCAACATTTGAATGTTTCCTCTAACAGGTCAACATTTGAATGTTTCCATTAACAGGTCAACATTTGAATGTTTCCTCTAACAGGTCAACATTTGAATGTTTCCTCTAACAGGTCAACATTTGAATGTTTCCTCTAACAGGTCAACATTTGAATGTTTCCTGCTGGCCAACCGCCTGTACTGGCGTGAGAGATCAGACTTTGAGCTGGGCGCGTGTGGCGCCCTCAGGGCGGCGTACGACTCTGGCCTTGACCTGGATATTGTGGCCGAGAGTTTCAGGAACGTGGGTCTGGAGCTAAAAGAGTGCGATGACCTTTCCAAGTAAGTAGCCATTGTACGTCAAGGTCGCCTAAGAATTCGTACTGAAAACATTCTTACCAAGTAGGCATATGCCGAAAATTAAAAAAAAACACATCTCTTGTATATTTCTTGATAAACTCCTACTACGTCATTAATTAAATAAAGTTTAACGATAATCCAACTGTTTGACCAAGATAATCTTAACCCCCTCACCGTCTGGCCAGGCTAGTGACAGCAGAACTCAGACCAGGCCAGGTCTCCAGGAACCTGACCGTCACCCAGCTCAAGAACCCGCTCTTCAGGGTCTCAGTGCCGTACGGGGTGGGACGGATCCGACTCAAGTCGTCTGCAAACGTTCAGATCAGTGTGTGTCAGACCTACCAGCGGTGCCAGTACCCGCTGGCCGTGGGTCAAAGGTCGCTCACTGCCAGCGTCCAGCCTGGAGATCTGTTTGTCCGGCTCTCGCCCCGCCTAGCCGATGTCACCCTTACAAACGTCGACCTCGCTGTCACGTTTGGCTTCATGTCACCCTAGCAAACGTTGACCTAACTGTCACGTTTGGCTTCATGTCACCCTAGCAAACGTTGACCTAACTGTCACGTTTGGCTTCAGTTAAGTTTTGACTGTCAAAACAAATGTATGCTTTTTTTTTTAGCTGTTTGGGTTTAAAAAAACATTTTCCCCCCTTTTCTTTTAATTTTCCACTATTAATTTAGATTGTGTCAAATGATGACCCGTTTATTTATTTCTGAGGTTTGGACAAAACATTTTCAGGTTAATTGTTTAACTACGCATGTAAATGTATCAAACAAATAAAAGATAAAAATATCAACCAATCAGAAAAACGCAAATATTTTTTGAAGAGTCGAGCTGTTTTCTGTACTCTCAGGGTCCTGCCCATTGACCCCCACGAAAAGGTCAAAGGGTAATCTCTGTCTTCATGATAGGTGGCGCTGTACCCAGATGCACCACTTCCTCTTGTCGGGACAACGGTCAAAGTTGGCGTGTTGTGCCGGGTGGGCTGAAATTAATGACGTCATTTTAAAAGGTTACCCTCGCTTTATCTGGTGAGAAGATGAAGGTGGAGGGGGTAGGGGTGGAGGGGGAGGGGGAGAGATGAAAGAATGTCGATCACATTTACAATTCTGAGAGACGAAGACATACGATAACGTTTGCCTTTTTTGTCTATACCACGTGACCCCCCTCTTCCTCTCCCCCCCCCTCCCAATCCCATTCAATTACAGGACCTTATTATAGCCGGTGGAAAATTATTAAAAGACGAAAACTTGGTTGGTATAGTCACGTCATCCAGGCTAGCTGGACTTTCTACTTTTCTTTGGGATAACAACATAAGGGAATGGGTGGGTTTAACACTGTGTGGGAGACTGAAGAATCTGGAGGGCAGAAATGAATGAAAGCATCTGGCCAACAGAAGCGTGCGGCACCTCAACAGTCTACCAAATGCCAAAATCTCAACAGTCTACCAGACAAATGCCAGAATTATGATACAATTCACATGAGGTAAAATAATGTCTACATATATTTGTTATTATTTAAAACATGGTATGCCTTTTGTCAATGTTGTGTAACAAAAATACCCGCTCAAATCCTGGCAACTCAAAAGAGAGACGTTTTCTGCCCGAAATGTGGTGGCATATTTCTCCCTGTCCTGGCCGAGGAGATGGGCAGACTGTATGACGTCACATGCCCCCTGCTCCTTGTCGGTTGAGCTCCGCCAATAAAACCTGGCAGCCGTGAGAAACGATTCAAAGACGTTCCTGGCCAAAAAATAAAATTCTAGACTTAAATCTCTGACCCCAATTAAAGCTAAATTCTCTGACCTTAATTAAAACATAAATTTCTTACTCAAATTATTACAAACCATATTAACTTTTCTACTTTTACCTGATGCCGAAAATCTGTGACAGTTGGTAAAAGACCCGGATGTAGTCCCTATGTGTAGCTGGCGGCAGAAATCCGTCCAGTCCATCGAAGAAAGGAGATTTGTAGAAAAATCTGTCAAAAATTGAAAGCTTACTGACGGTAAACACATGGAAACAAAGGGTTGAGAAATGGCTCACCTAAGGCCAGGTAATTTCTTGACAGCTGCTCCGGACACTGTCCAGTCAACTTTGCCGAAAATGAAGAACTCTGTTGTCTCCCCTAGCATGTCACAAAATGCTTCCTCCAAGTGGGCGGAGTCCGCACTGTGAGTGAGAACAAAGTGGGGTCACTGCGCATGTCAGAACAAAGTAGGGTCACTGCGCATGTCAGAAAAAATTAGGTCATTGCTCATATCAGAGCAAGTAAGCTCACTACACACCATTTAAACATTTCAAAAAGAAAATTATCCTGCAATACGTACCCACTACCCAAGCGAGCAGTAGTTGCTATCACGTGATGGCCGTATTCGTGTGCTACCGAGTCAGCAGCCGTGGACAGGGGGTACATAAACTCGCCACCCCCCGCCTAAATAAATGCCATCGTTTTCTTGAAAAGCGTTGGAGCAGTTCCAGCCAAAGTTGCCCCGGAGATAAAGCAACCGATTCTTGCTGGGCTGGTACCCATACCACTCTGGGGGGACGTCAAAACACGTATCTCACCAAAACACGTATCTCACCAAAACACGTATCTCACCAAAACACGTATCTCACCAAAACACCTATCTCACCAAAACACGTATCTCACCAAAACACGTATCTCACCAAAACACGTATCTCACCAAAACACGTATCTCACCAAAACACGTATCTCACCAAAACACGTATCTCACCAAAACACGTATCTCACCAAAACACGTATCTCACCAAAACACGTATCTCACCAAAACACGTATCTCACAAAAACACGTATCTCACAAAAACACGTACCTCACAAAAACACGTATCTCACCAAAACACGTATCTCACCAACACTCGTATCTCACAAAAACATCTCACCAAAACACGGATCTCACCAACACACGTATCTCACAAAAACACCCACCACCCCACACCAACCTCTCAACATGCGGGTGACCTGCGTCAAGTAGAAATAACCGTCTAGCAGTGGAGACGGTGCGCCATTGACCTTGACCTCTCGGTATGATTGGTTACACGGGAACTTGACCACATCCTGGCTGTCCATCGGGCTTTCTTTGTTTTTCATGTCAACAGCTGGGAACATTTTGTTTTTCATCTCAACAGATGGGGACATTTGGTTTTTCAGGTCAACAGCTGGGGACATTTTGTTTTTCATCTCAACAGATGGGGACATTTTGTTTTACATCTCAACAGATGGGGACATTTTGTTTTTCATGTCAACAGCTGGGGACATTTTGTTTTTCATGTCAACAGCTGGGTACATATTGTTTTTCATGTCAACAGCTGGGGACATTTTGTTTTTCATGTCAACAGCTGGGGACATTTGGTTTTTCATCTCAACAGCTGGGGACATTTTGTTTTTCATGTCAACAGCTGGGGACATTTTGTTTTTCATTTCAACAGCTGGGGACATTTTGTTTTTCATGTCAACAGCTGGGGACATTTTGTTTTTCATGTCAACAGCTGGGGACATTTTGTTTTTCATGTCAACAACTGGGGACATTTTGTTTTTCATCTCAACAGCTGGGGACATTTTGTTTTTCATTTCAACAGCTGGGGACATTTTGTTTTTCATTTCAACAGCTGGGGACATTTTGTTTTTCATCTCAACAGCTGGGGACATTTTGTTTTTCATCTCAACAGCTGGGGACATTTTGTTTTTCATGTCAACAGCTGGGGACATTTTGTTTTTCATGTCAACAACTGGGGACATTTTGTTTTTCATCTCAACAGCTGGGGACATTTTGTTTTTCATCTCAACAGCTGGGGACATTTTGTTTTTCATGTCAACAGCTGGGGACATTTTGTTTTTCATCTCAACAGCTGGGGACATTTTGTTTTTCATGTCAACAACTAGGGACATTTTGTTTTTCATCTCAACAGCTGGGGACATTTTGTTTTTCATCTCAACAGCTGGGGACATTTTGTTTTTCATCTCAACAGCTGGGGACATTTTGTTTTTCATGTCAACAGCTGGGGACATTTTGTTTTTCATCTCAACAGCTGGGGACATTTTGTTTTTCATGTCAACAACTAGGGACATTTTGTTTTTCATCTCAACAGCTGGGGACATTTTGTTTTTCATCTCAACAGCTGGGGACATTTTGTTTTTCATGTCAACAACTGGGGACATTTTGTTTTTCATGTCAACAGCTGGGGACATTTTGTTTTTCATCTCAACAGCTGGGGACATTTTGTTTTTCATGTCAACAACTAGGGACATTTTGTTTTTCATCTCAACAGCTGGGGACATTTTGTTTTTCATCTCAACAGCTGGGGACATTTTGTTTTTCATGTCAACAACTGGGGACATTTTGTTTTTCATGTCAACAGCTGGGGACATTTTGTTTTTCATCTCAACAGCTGGGGACATTTTGTTTTTTATGTCAACAACTAGGGACATTTTGTTTTTCATCTCAACAGCTGGGGACATTTTGTTTTTCATCTCAACAGCTGGGGACATTTTGTTTTTCATCTCAACAGCTGGGGACATTTTGTTTTTCATCTCAACAGCTGGGGACATTTTGTTTTTCATCTCAACAGCTGGGGACATTTTGTTTTTCATGTCAACAACTAGGGACATTTTGTTTTTCATGTCAACAACTAGGGACATTTTGTTTTTCATCTCAACAGCTGGGGACATTTTGTTTTTCATCTCAACAGCTGGGGACATTTTGTTTTTCATGTCAACAGCTGGGGACATTTTGTTTGGTCTTAGGGTGTGAACACTTGACGTCTGAAAGATAGTTCTGGTTTTCTGGGACCCTTGACGTCAAAACTTTGTCTGATCACATGGCCAGAAACCTCGACGTCAAAAAGTCCCTTTCTGTGTCAGTAACCAGAGTTTCTTCCAGGCATCTATTCGGGGGGACGAAAACATTTTACCGCCCCCCCCCCCCCCCGACGAAATGAAATTTATATAATTTATATAGAAAATATATACTTTTAACAGTGTCCGCCCCCCCCCCCGAAGAAAGTCTACCGCCCCCCCTCCCCCGAAAATTTCAAGTGCCCCCCCCCCCCCCCGGAGAAAAAAGTCTGGAAGAAACACTGTCAGTAGCCCATGGTCGAGCTATGTTACCAGAGTATGATCTGTTTCCAGCCAGAAACAGAACCGTCTCTGAGAAACACAACGCTCACACACACAGACACATCAGCACAGCCACCGAGCACCGTACACATCTTCCATTATACCCTCACAACTTCTATTGAGCTCTCTTTGGCGCTTCCATTACACCCCCCCCCCCCAATCCCTTGGAACAACAGAAAGATCTTCCATTCGTACCCCCCCTTTCCCCCCCCCCCCCCCTCCCCCGTTAGAGGACTAATAACGAGCCTATTCAGCCTACCTGCCACCATGTTGTTCTGTAGCAGACAGTAGCCTGAGCCGTCTGACGTCACAGCCACACAGAACGGCTTGTACCCGTAGCGGATCTGGCCAAGTTTACTGTTGCCGCCAACAGCGAAAAATTTGTTGTCGCAAAATTCAGATTTTCCGAGATTTTGTGCTGGTTTTCCTGTGTTTGCGTGGAACTGGTAGCTTGACAGCTGTGCTGAAAGCAAGGTAGTTACCTTATCAATGAGGACACATTATTAGAGAACTATATATATATATATATATATATATATATATATATATATATATATATATATATATATATATATATACATATATATATATATATATATATATATATATATATATATATATTTCTTGATAGTTCTTAAACAGAACCTGAAACCGAACCTAAGCCTAATTCTAAACCCAACATATACCTTAACCTCAACCCAAACCTCAACATCAACAACCTGTAACTTAACATTCTCCCTAACCAAACCCTAACTCTTACGCTATTCTTTTTTTAATTTTTCGGTATTAAGTTAGTCAACAATATCTGTTTTTATAAATCCATCTTAATATTCTCAAATTTACAAATATGTGCAAGTTTGTATTTTTTTGGGTTATTTTTTTTATCCTCCTATTTCATGTGACGTCAGAAAGTTTTTGTCACACACACATTCTATTACACACACACACAAATTAGAACTACAGCTCACACAATCAACCCAATATAATACAAATCTCCTCCCCCCCCCCCTACACAAATCATCCAGCACACAACCACTCACGGCGTCACGCACCACTGGGTTCGCTGGACTCGTGTGTGTCCACTGTTTGCACGAGCTGGGAGCAGCTGAAACATAAGACTCATTTTGATTGGTTGATCTCAGGACAGTTAATACATCTACAATACGAAACGTCCTTTAATATATACAGTTTAAATGAACTAACGGGTCAATGGCTAGAGTGGTCACGTGATACCCGCCTGGGTCAGAGAAGGTAACTTGTGCTATGTAGACAACATGTCCAGCGATTAAAACCAACTTGAGCAAGTTTTCTTCAACTACAGATTGGGTAGAGATGTTCAGGTGACTGTAGAGAGGTAGGGCTCGAGTCTACATATGCACCTCGCGATATACTCATTTACTATGTATATATATATATATATATATATATATATATATATATATATATATATATATATATATATATATATATATATATATATATATATATATACAAACTGTATACTAATATACCCAAATATTTTCCCTCACCTTTTCACCAGGTTGTTTACAGTTACAACAGGTAGGTAACATTTCTGTAACAGTAACTCCTGATCACGTGATATTACCAAATCACGTGTCGGTCCCTTTATTCTCACCAGGCCGTAAGGTTTGCCCTCTATGACTACCTCAGAGCCGGCACATCCAGGTGTTTGTCTGGTGTGACGCGCCAGGTATTTTGTCACCTGCAGTCCAGATGGTGTCACTAGGTAGTCTGTAAGCTGGGTAGACAGGCAGTTAAATGTTGGACAAGACAGGCAGTTAAATGTTGGACAAGACAGGCAGTCGGAGAACTAGCAAAAACTGACCTGTAGTTCAAGACGGTCTGGGCAGGTAGATGTGTCCCGTCTGACGAGGCTAGGTTCAGTGTTGGCCGTCAGGTACTCAAATCTCTGGTCACGTGACTTCTTTAAAGCTAATCTCAGCTGATTCTGTTCATGTACCACGTGGTACCGTCGCTGCCGTGGTGGTTGTGTCACGTTGTCACGTGCCTGCCGTGGTGGTTGTGTCACGTTGTCACGTGCCTGTCGTGATGCCTGTGTGTCCACACGGAGCCCACACAGAAGGACAAGCAAGAGGACACAGGTCCCTGGTGAAACTGACATGACACACGAGGCTTCGGATCGACCACTTGAAGGACTGGTTAGTGGTCGATGGTCGTTTAGTCAGTGGTCGATGGTCGTCTATTCAGTGGTCGATGGTCGTCTAGTCAGTGGTGGATGGTGGTCTAGTCAGTGGTCGATGGTGATCTAGTTAGTGGTCGATGGTGGTCTAGTTAGTGGTCGATGGTAGTCTAGTTAGTGGTCTAGTTAGTGGTCGATGGTGGTCTAGTTAGTGGTCGATGGTGGTCTAGTCAGTGGTCGATGATCGTCTAGTCAGTGGTCGATGGTGGTCTAGTTAGTGGTCTAGTTAGTGGTCGATGGTGGTCTAGTTAGTGGTCGATGGTGGTCTAGTCAGTGGTCGATGGTGGTCTAGTCAGTGGTCGATGGTGGTCTAGTTAGTGGTCGATGGTGGTCTAGTTAGTGGTCTAGTTAGTGGTCTAGTTAGTGGTCGATGGTGGTCTAGTTAGTGGTTGAGTTAGTGGTCGATGGTGGTCTAGTTAGTGGTCGATGATGGTCTTATGAGTGGTCGATTGTGGTGTGGGAATGGACAGAATGACGCCAACACATGCGCTGTGTATAAATAACGAGCCAAATCTTGTAGACTAATCAATACGAGTTAAAGATGAAAATACAATCGATGTGATCCTTGGTAAGACGCGGTGTTGTATTGATGTGATCCTTGGTAAGACGCAGTGTTGTATTGATTTGAATTAATGAAGACAGTGCTTGTTTCAGCCCAACATACAAGTACATGAGATATGTGATTTGTGTGTTACTGAGAAAACACGTGAATGACACTTTGAAATTTAAATTTGTTTTCAAGAGTATTTAAATTTAGTAGATGTGCTCGTTCCGTACCGAAGTGAATTTAGGACAACTGGCCGAATATCAAAGTGTTATATATATATATATATATATATATATATATATATATATATATATATATATATACACTGGCTATCACAAAGCATCCAAGTATACTGGCTATATATAGGTATTCATGTATGCAGTATATTCTTTATATACAGCCCCCCCCCCCCCCCTGTCTGTATACAGATTCCGATTTTAATTCATCTGAACAATTTTTGTAAATTATTTTTCTACAATAGTGTATTGGTTGTAGAGTTGTTTTTTTTTTTAATTTCGAGTAGTAGGACATAATTTTAACAGTTTTTTATTTATAGTAGGACATAATTTGAACAGTTTATTTCGAGTAGTAGGACATAATTTGAACAGTTTATTTCGAGTAGTAGGACATAATTTTAACAGTTTTTTTTTTTTATTTCGAGTAGTAGGACAAAATCTTAACAGTTGTTTCAGCATACACCCCGGTGGTGAAGTGGGCGTAGAGTCCCGAGCTGCTGACCTTGTTCATGGTGAGCACGAGGATCCCAAGGCCGACTGGGGCCACACGTGACTTGCCCTGCCTGTCCCTCGTCACGTGGATCATCACCTGAAATATAGGTCAAATGGTGCTAAAAATAACGACGATTTCTCGGGATCCGGCTGGCGTTAGTCTCAGAGGCGTAGCGACCCTTCCCGGCGCCCGGGTACATACTTTCAATTTGGCATCCCCCCCCCCCCCCTCGGGAGCAAATTTTCGATTTGCTACCCCCCCCCCCCCTCGAACTTTTCATTTGCAAACCCCCCTCAAACTTTCAATTTGGCGCCCCCCCCTAAGGTCGGCGCCCGGGGACATATGTCCCCCCCCCCCCCCGCCCCCCCCCCCCTCGCTACGCCTCTGGTTAGTCTTGATTGAAAACACATACTTAGGGGTGCATCTTACAGGAGACGAATAGTGTTTTTGACGTTTCCGCTCCCCCCCCCCCCCCCCGTGTTTTTATCATTGTTTTTTTTTTATTGAAGACATGACTGTATTTCTACTTATTAGAGGCTTTTTTAATTCATAGGATGCTGTTTTTTTTAACTGTTGTTTTTATTCAGATTTACGAAAAACTGTGACTACTTAAAACTTATATTTTGTAATGTTGTAGCAATAGACCAGGGCGATTGAAAGATTGTGATTTACCTTTCTTGGCTCAGTTTCAAGTGTGACCAAGTATTGACTCGTGTTTTTCATGAGCAGGAAGAAAGGACGCTTTCTCTTCGAGACGATTCGACAGTAGTCCGTCCCAACATGCAACACGTCCACTGGGATTCTGGCACGCCGCGCAGTAGGACAAAAATAGCATTAGTAATCTTCGAAACTTGACAAAAATATAATGTATAGTCTTCAAAACATTACAAAAGTAGCATTAACAATCTTCGAAACTTGACAAAAATATAACGTGTAGTCTTCAAAACATTACAAAAATAGCATTAATAATCTTCGAAACTTGACAAAAATACAACGTGTAGTCTTCAAAACATTGCAAAAACAGCATGTATAACGTATAGTCTTCAAAGCATTACAAAAATAGCATAATTAATCTTCGAAACTTGACAAAAATGTAATGTATAGTCTTCAAAACATTGCAAAAACAGCATGTATAACGTATAGTCTTCAAAACATTACAAAAATAGCATTAATAATCTTCGACACTTGACAAAACATGAAGTGCAATCTTCAAAATTTGACAAAATATAATGTATAGTTTTCAAATCATTACAAAAGATATCAGTTATAATGTTACAACCTTTATGAAAATATCATGTGTAGGCCTATTTCTCATAATATAAAATTTTGTCTATCGCCCAACATAGTTTTTATGCTAACTCAAAGGAAAAATATAATGTGCTAATAAGTTTTTAAAAAACCCAAAAGGATGCTATTATTTTCTATTTACCTATGAATTTTTAATTATTAGCTTTAATAACAAAAATCCGAAAAATGTGTCTTTAAAAACATCTTTTCCCAACATAAATGTGACGTTTAAAATATTTTCACCATTCTTTTCAAAGACAAGTTTCAATGCATAAAACAACTCACTGCTCGAGTGGGCACTTTCGGGATGTGATGACACCCTCTGACCGGAAGTGACCTTCTACGTCATATATGCTGGAAACAAATCACATGACCAGATACAATTTTATAACAATTAAATAGGCCAACATGTAAGATTATAGGTTAATGTGAACTTTTATGTACTTTTATAAAATAAAGTGTACTTTAATAGGAGAAAGTGTTTTTTTTATAGGAGAAAGTGTACTTTTATAGGCCAATGTGTACCGCCATAGGCCTACGAGTACTTCCAGACATAGATGTATACCAAAATGTTTTGTTGTAGTTCTACATGTGTGATCAAATGGGTTGTATGTACACATATAAGAGTTTTAAAAATAGGTTGTATGTACACATATAAGAGTTTAGAAAATAGGTTGTATGTACACATAGAAGAGTTTTAAAAATAGGTTGTATGTACACATATAAGAGTTTTAAAAATAGGTTGTATGTACACATATACGAGTTTTAAAATTAGATTGTATGAACACATATAAGAGTTTTAAAAAAAACTCACTCTAAGCTCATGTGATACGTCCCACGAATGATGGTGCAGGCCAGCGCTTCTACAGACATCTCATCCTGTGTGTGCCAGAACTTTGATCTGACCAACATCAGCGTCTCCATCACAGTTCTGGAACATGACGGGAGGAACTGGCATCAGGGATATTTACGGTAGTCTAAACATTCTTTCATAGGGATATTTAAGGTAGTCTAAACATTCTTTCATATGGATATTTACGGTAGTCTAAACATTCTTTCATAGGGATATTTACGGTAGTCTAAACATTCTTTCATAGGGATATTTACGGTAGTCTAAACATTCTTTCAATGGGATATTTACGGTAGTCTAAACATTCTTTCATAGGGATATTTACGGTAGTCTAAACATTCTTTCATAGGGATATTTACGGTAGTCTAAACATTCTTTCATAGGGATATTTACGGTAGTCTAAACATTCTTTCATAGGGATATTTACGGTAGTCTAAACATTCTTTCATAGGGATATTTACGGTAGTCTAAACATTCTTTCATAGGGATATTTACGGTAGTCTAAACATTCTTTCATCTCATTGACCTTAGCAGGTTAGTTCACGGATATTTACGGTAGTCTAAACATTCTGACCTGATGATGACCTAAAGCTTCTAGCTAAAGTAGCACACTGACCTGATGGTGACCTAAAGCTTCTAGCTAAAGTAGCGCACTGACCTGATGGTGACCTAAAGCTTCTAGCTAAAGTAGCGAACTGACCTGATGGTGACCTAAAGCTTCTAGCTAAAGTAGCGCACTGACCTGATGATGACCTAAAGCTTCTAGCTAAAGTAGCACACTGACCTGATGTTGACCTAAAGCTTCTAGCTAAAGTAGCGAACTGACCTGATGGTGACCTAAAGCTTCTAGCTAAAGTAGCACACTGACCTGATGTTGACCTAAAGCTTCTAGCTAAAGTAGCGAACTGACCTGATGGTGACCTAAAGCTTCTAGCTAAAGTAGCGCACTGACCTGATGATGACCTAAAGCTTGTAGCTAAAGTAGCGCACTGACCTGATGATGACCTAAAGCTTCTAGCTAAAGTAGCGAACTGACCTGATGATGACCTAAAGCTTCTAGCTAAAGTAGCGCACTGACCTAATAGTGACCTAAAGCTTCTAGCTAAAGTAGCGAACTGACCTGATGGTGACCTAAAGCTTCTAGCTAAAGTAGCGCACTGACCTGATGGTGACCTAAAGCTTCTAGCTAAAGTAGCGCACTGACCTGATGATGACCTAAAGCTTCTAGCTAAAGTAGCGCACTGACCTGATGATGACCTAAAGCTTCTAGCTAAAGTAGCGCACTGACCTGATGTTGACCTAAAGCTTCTAGCTAAAGTAGCGCACTGACCTGATGGTGACCAAAAGCTTCTAGCTAAAGTAGCTCACTGACTACCTGATTCCGTAAAATTTGGCCAGTTTGTAGAAGACCCGTGAAAACGTCGCCCCAGTGAAGGCCAGGCCGTTCTCGTGCAGGGAATTGTCCAGGTGGTCAGCGCCTGGAGTGTCCAGTGGCCGAAGTCCGTCGGTCTCATTGGTCGTCCAGCTGCCCATTGTCCACTTGAAGGTCCCAAAGATGTAGAACTCCAACGTTTTCCCCATCATGTCACAGAAAGCTTCGATCATTCCTTCAACTGCTGCTGTCTTCGGGCTGTGTTAGCAAGGATGATACGGGTATGTACGTACACTAGACGCCAATAAGGGAAATACTAGCAGGACTTAAGTACAACGCCATGGAGGGAGCTAGTACTTTATAAAACTAAAAAGTGCGGCATAATAGTGCATGCCATCTGTCTAGAGAAGACAACGTCGGATGTCAAAGAATATGTTGACGTAAGTATACGATATTCGACACTTATGATGCAATTAAAAATAAGAGACTATAGAATACTCAGTGTCTTATTACAGCCAAAACTATCTAAAAAATGTCTTTGAGAAAGAATATGTTTGGTCCCTTAGGTTTCCCCTTAAATGACATCAGTCCCCACTACTGACATCAGTCCCCACTACTGACATCAGTCCCCACTACTGACATCAGTCTCCACTACTGACATCAGTCCCCACTACTGACATCAGTCCCCACTACTGACATCAGTCTCCACTACTGATATCAGTCCCCACTACTGACATCAGTCCCTGACATCAGTCCCCACTACTGACATCAGTCCCCACTACTGACATCAGTCCCCACTACTGACATCAGTCCCCACTACTGACATCAGTCCCCACTACTGACATCAGTCCCTGACATCAGTCCCCACTACTGACATCAGTCCCCACTACTGACATCAGTTCCCACTACTGACATCAGTCCCCACTACTGACATCAGTCCCTGACATCAGTCCCCACTACTGACATCAGTCCCCACTACTGACATCAGTCCCCACTACTGACATCAGTCCCTGACATCAGTCCCCACTACTGACATCAGTCCCCACTACTGACACCAGTCTCCACTACTGACATCAGTCCCCACTACTGACATCAGTCCCCACTACTGACATCAGTCCCTGACATCAGTCCCCACTACTGACATGTCCCCACTACTGACATCAGTCCCCACTACTGACATCAGTCCCCACTACTGACATCAGTCCCCACTACTGACATCAGTCCCCATAACTGACACCAATCCCTGACATCAGTCCCCACTACTGACATCAGTCCCCACTACTGACATGTCCCCACTACTGACATCAGTCCCCACTACTGACATCAGTCCCCACTACTGACATCAGTCCCCACTACTGACATCAGTCCCCACTACTGACATGTCCCCACTACTGACATCAGTCCCCACTACTGACATCAGTCTCCACTACTGATATCAGTCCCCACTACTGACATCAGTCCCTGACATCAGTCCCCACTACTGACATCAGTCCCCACTACTGACATCAGTCCCCACTACTGACATCAGTCCCCACTACTGACATCAGTTCCCACTACTGACATCAGTCCCCACTACTGACATCAGTCCCTGACATCAGTCCCCACTACTGACATCAGTCCCCACTACTGACATCAGTCCCCACTACTGACATCAGTCCCTGACATCAGTCCCCACTACTGACATCAGTCCCCACTACTGACACCAGTCTCCACTACTGACATCAGTCCCCACTACTGACATCAGTCCCCACTACTGACATCAGTCCCTGACATCAGTCCCCACTACTGACATGTCCCCACTACTGACATCAGTCCCCACTACTGACATCAGTCCCCACTACTGACATCAGTCCCCACTACTGACATCAGTCCCCATAACTGACACCAATCCCTGACATCAGTCCCCACTACTGACATCAGTCCCCACTACTGACATGTCCCCACTACTGACATCAGTCCCCACTACTGACATCAGTCCCCACTACTGACATCAGTCCCCACTACTGACATCAGTCCCCACTACTGACATCAGTCCCTGACATCAGTCCCCACTACTGACATCAGTCCCCACTACTGACACCAGTCTCCACTACTGACATCAGTCCCCACTACTGACATCAGTCCCCACTACTGACATCAGTCCCTGACATCAGTCCCCACTACTGACATGTCCCCACTACTGACATCAGTCCCCACTACTGACATCAGTCCCCACTACTGACATCAGTCCCCACTACTGACATCAGTCCCCATAACTGACACCAATCCCTGACATCAGTCCCCACTACTGACATCAGTCCCCACTACTGACATGTCCCCACTACTGACATCAGTCCCCACTACTGACATCAGTCCCCACTACTGACATCAGTCCCCACTACTGACATCAGTCCCCACTACTAACATCAGTCCCTGATATCAGTCCCCACTACTGACATCAGTCCCTGACATCAGTCCCCACTACTGACACCAGTCCCCAATACTGACACCAGTCCCCACTACTGACATCAGTCCCCACTACTGACATCAGTCCCCACTACTGACATCAGTCCCCACTACTGACATGTCCCCATTACTGACATCAGTCCCCATTACTGACATCAGTCCCTGACATCAGTCCCCACTACTGACATCAGTCCCCACTACTGACATGTCCCCACTACTGACATCAGTCCCCACTACTGACATCAGTCCCCATTACTGACATCAGTCCCTGACATCAGTCCCCACTACTGACATCAGTCCCCCACTACTGACATCAGTCCCTGACATCAGTCCATGACATCAGCCCCCACTACTGACATCAGTCCCCACTACTGACATCAGTCCCCACTACTGACATCAGTCCCTGACATCAGTCCCCACTACTGACATCAGTCCCCACTACTGACATCAGTTCCCACTACTGACATCAGTCCTCACTACTGACATCAGTCCCTGACATCAGTACCCACTACTGACATCAGTCCCCACTACTGACATCAGTCCCCACTACTGACATCAGTCCCCACTACTGACATCAGTCCCTGACATCAGTCCCCACTACTGACATCAGTCCCCACTACTGACACCAGTCTCCACTACTGACATCAGTCCCCACTACTGACATCAGTCCCCACTACTGACATCAGTCCCTGACATCAGTCCTCACTACTGACATCAGTCCCCATAACTGACACCAATCCCTGACATCAGTCCCCACTACTGACATCAGTCCCCACTACTGACATCAGTCCCTGACATCAGTCCTCACTACTGACATCAGTCCCCACTACTGACATGTCCCCACTACTGACATCAGTCCCCACTACTGACATCAGTCCCCACTACTGACATCAGTCCCCACTACTGACATCAGTCCCCACTACTGACATCAGTCCCTGATATCAGTCCCCACTACTGCCATCAGTCCCTGACATCAGTCCCCACTACTGACATGTCCCCACTACTGACATCAGTCCCCATTACTGACACCAATCCCTGACATCAGTCCCCACTACTGACATCAGTCCCCACTACTGACACCAGTCTCCACTACTGACATCAGTCCCCACTACTGACATCAGTCGCCACTACTGACATGTCCCCACTACTGACATCAGTCCTCACTACTGACATCAGTCCCCACTACGGACATCAGTCCCCACTACTGACATCAGTCCCTGACATCAGTCCCCACTACTGACATCAGTCCCCACTACTGACATCAGTCCCTGACATCAGTCCCCACTACGGACATCAGTCCCCACTACTGACATCAGTCCCTGACATCAGTCCCCACTACGGACATCAGTCCCCATTACTGACATCAGTCGCCACTACTGACATGTCCCCACTACTGACATCAGTCCTCACTACTGACATCAGTCCCCACTACTGACATCAGTCCCCATTACTGACACCAATCCCTGACATCAGTCCCCACTACTGACATCAGTCCCCACTACTGACATGTCCCCACTACTGACATCAGTCCCCACTACTGACATCAGTCCCCACTACTGACATCAGTCCCCACTACTGACATCAGTCCCTGATATCAGTCCCCACTACTGACATCAGTCCGACATCAGTCCCTACTACTGACATGTCCCCACTACTGACATCAGTCCCCATTACTGACACCAATTCCTGACATCAGTCCCCACTACTGACATCAGTCCCCACTACTGACATGTCCCCACTACTGACATCAGTCCCCACTACTGACATCAGTCCCCATTACTGACATCAGTCCCCACTACTGACACCAGTCCCCACTACTGACATCAGTCCCCACTACTGACATCAGTCCCCACTACTGACATCAGTCCCCACTACTGACATCAGTCCCCACTACTGACATCAGTCCCCACTACTGACATCAGTCCCTGACATCAGTCCCCACTACGGACATCAGTCCCCACTACTGACATCAGTCCCCACTACTGACATCAGTTCCCACTACTGACATCAGTCCCCACTACTGACATCAGTCCCCACTACTGACATCAGTCCCCATTACTGACATCAGTCCCCACTACTGACATCAGTCCCCACTACTGACATAAGTCCTTACTACTGACATCAGTTCCCACTACTGACATCAGTCCCCATTACTGACATCAGTCCCCACTACTGACATCAGTCCCCATTACTGACATAAGTCCCCACTACTGACATCAGTCCCCACTACTGACATCAGTCCCTGACATCAGTCCCCACTACTGACATCAGTCCCCACTACTGACATCAGTTCCCACTACTGACATCAGTCCCCACTACTGACATCAGTCCCCACTACTGACATCAGTCCCCACTACTGACATCAGTCCCCACTACTGACATCAGTCCCCACTACTGACACCAGTCCCTGACATCAGTCCCTGACATCAGTCCCTGACATCAGTCCCCACTACTGACACCAGTCCCTGACATCAGTCCCTGACATCAGTCCCTGACATCAGTCCCCACTACTGACATCAGTCCCCACTACTAACATCAGTTCCCACTACTGACATCAGTCCCCACTACTGACATCAGTCCCCACTACTGACATCAGTCCCCACTACTGACATCAGTCCCCACTACTGACACCAGTCCCTGACATCAGTCCCTGACATCAGTCCCCACTACTGACATCAGTCCCTGACATCAGTCCCTGACATCAGTCCCTGACATCAGTCCATGACATCAGCCCCCACTACTGACATCAGTCCCCACTACTGACATCAGTCCCCACTACTGACATCAGTCCATGACATCAGCCCCCACTACTGACATCAGTCCCCACTACTGACATCAGTCCCCACTACTGACATCAGTCCATGACATCAGTCCCTGACATCAGTCCATGACATCAGTCCCTGACATCAGTCCCTGACATCTATGCCCCCCCCCCAACTTTACTCACTGGTTCTCTAGCTGCGAGTCTGTTAGAAGCACCAGGTGCCCCATCTCATGCCCCACTATGTCTGGCGCCGTGGCGAACGGTCTGTGACGTAGCTGACCTTGGCCGAATATTATCAAACACTTAGTCGCCGACACCTGGTGGCCGATCTTCGTCCCTAGGGGGCCTCTCATGGCGATAGGCGGGTTCTGTAGGCTTGTGTAGTTAAACCATTCTGTGGAATAGATCTCTAGTTAAACCAGTCTGTAGTTAAACCAGTCTGTGGAATAGATCTCTAGTTAAACCAGTTTGTGGAATAGATTTCTAGTTAAACCAGTCTGTAGTTAAACCATTCTGTAGAATAGATCTCTAGTTAAACCAGTCTGTGGTTAAACCAGTCTCAAACCTTCTAGCATCTTCTGGGCCTGAGCTAAACCCTAACCTCAAACCTTCTAGCATCTTCTGGACCTGAGCTAAACCCTACTCTCAAACCTTCTAGCATCTTCTCGGCCTGAGCTAAACCCTAACCTCAAACCTTCTAGCATCTTCTCGGCCTGAGCTAAACCCTACTCCCACAACAAACCTTCTAGCATCTTCTAGCCTGAGCTAAACCCTACTCTCAAACCTTCTAGCATCTTCTAGCCTGAGCTAAACCCTACTCTCACAACAAACCTTCTGGGCCTGAGCTAAACCCTACTCTCACAACAAACCTTCTAGCATTTTCTCGGCCTGAGCTAAACCCTACTCTCACAACAAACCTTCTAGCATCTTCTGGGCCTGAGCTAAACCCTACTCTCAAACCTACTAGCATCTTCTAGCCTGAGCTAAACCCTACTCTCACAACAAACCTTCTAGCATCTTCTGGGCCTGAGCTAAACCCTAACCTCAAACCTTCTAGCATCTTCTGGGCCTGAGCTAAACCCTACTCTCAAACCTTCTAGCATCTTCTCGGCCTGAGCTAAACCCTAACCTCAAACCTTCTAGCATCTTCTCGGCCTGAGCTAAACCCTACTCCCACAACAAACCTTCTAGCATCTTCTAGCCTGAGCTAAACCCTACTCTCAAACCTTCTAGCATCTTCTAGCCTGAGCTAAACCCTACTCTCACAACAAACCTTCTGGGCCTGAGCTAAACCCTACTCTCACAACAAACCTTCTAGCATTTTCTCGGCCTGAGCTAAACCCTACTCTCACAACAAACCTTCTAGCATCTTCTAGCCTGAGCTAAACCCTACTCTCACAACAAACCTTCTGGGCCTGAGCTAAACCCTACTCTCACAACAAACCTTCTAGCATTTTCTCGGCCTGAGCTAAACCCTACTCTCACAACAAACCTTCTAGCATCTTCTGGGCCTGAGCTAAACCCTACTCTCAAACCTTCTAGCATCTTCTAGCCTGAGCTAAACCCTACTCTCACAACAAACCTTCTAGCATCTTCTGGGCCTGAGCTAAACCCTAACCTCAAACCTTCTAGCATCTTCTGGGCCTGAGCTAAACCCTACTCTCAAACCTTCTAGCATCTTCTCGGCCTGAGCTAAACCCTAACCTCAAACCTTCTAGCATCTTCTCGGCCTGAGCTAAACCCTACTCTCACAACAAACCTTCTAGCATCTTCTGGGCCTGCGTGATGTAGAAGAAGCCGTCCAAGAGTGGAGCTACAGCCTTATTGAGATACTCAAACATGCCCTTGTGACACGGGAATTTGACGATTGGGTACTCTTTGCCAGGTAACCACGTGGCATAGTCGTCCATCTTGATAGCTGGATGAATGGATCGTTGAGTCAGATGTTTAGAAATTTGAAGCGATCTTATTTTAAAATTTAGCTACCAGCAATCATCTCGTTAAAAAGCTTAGCAATTACCAACAATCCACATTTTTAAAATTTAGCTACCAGCAATCATCTCGTTAAAAAGCTTAGCAATTACCAACAATCCACATTCTTAAAATTTAGCAGGCAGCAACAATCAAGCACAAAAAATATCCATCATTAATTTTTTTGTATTTAAGGGACAAGTCCAAAACAAAGTGAATTTTTTAAAAGAAGAGTCAGATTTAAACTTGAAACTAACCTTGGACGTATTTATTGCTCAAAAAGCAAATTGTGTTGTCGTATGAGAAAGAAACCAGCAGACAAAACGGATATCTGCCGTAGAATATCGGACCCGTGTTGCGGCTGCCGCCTACAGCAAAAGCGCGGCTGTTGCAAACTTTTCCAACTTGAGCTGTTGAAATGGGTAGGAAAACATCACCCGTCCTCAACAGTAGGGAGATGCGGTTGATCTTTGGGGGTGTATTGTCCATTAAATCTAATTACCTTTACTTTGTTTCAGCGAGACAATATTTTGTATTGTCCATTAAATCTGATTGCCTTTACTTTGTTTCAGCGAGACAATATTTTGTATTGTCCATTAAATCTGATTACGTTTACTTTGTTTCAGCGAGACAATATTTTGTATTGTCCATTAAATCTGATTACGTTTACTTTGTTTCAGCGAGACAATATTTTGTATTGTCCATTAAATCTGATTAGTTAAACCTTTACTTTGTTTCAGCGAGACAATATTTTGTATTGTCCATTAAATCTGATTAGTTAAACCTTTACTTTGTTTCAGCGAGACAATATTTTGTATTGTCCATTAAATCTGATTAGTTAAACCTTTACTTTGTTTCAGCGAGACAATATTTTGAGACAATGACAAGATCACATGAAGGGAGAAAGTGTATGTTTATTGTATGGGGCAGCGTGGTCAAATGGAAGAGCGTTTGTTTGTTAACACGAACACCTCGAGTTCGGGTCCCTGACTAGAGTCGTTGCATGTCGCTGAGTCCACCAAACTCTGCTGAGTACTTGAGTTAGGTTAAGAAAGGCTGCTGGACATAGTGCTACACATACTACCTCTTTAAACGTCGAGGACAAAGAATCAGATGAACTCTACTTCCATTGCTAAATGGGCCGCCATGTCCGAAAAGAAACGTTACTTTCATGATTATTTTTAAAAATCTGCAGCCAATACATATGTTTATATATATATATATATATATATATATATATATATATATATATATATATATATATATATATATATATATATATATATATATATATATATATATATATATATATATATATATATATATATATATATATATATGTATGTATGTATGTATGTATGTATATATATATATATATATATATATATATATATATATATATATATATATATATATTTATTTATTTATTTATTTATTTATATATATATATTTAAAAATCCTTAGTAAATCTTAACTTAAGGAAATATTTGAACATAATAAAATGAGGTACGATACTTGCCTATCTAAATTTAACATTTAACAAGTGATCTGCAGTGTATGTAGAAAAATATACTTTTATTTCCTAGTGATCAGAACCCTATCAATAAAACTTACTTTTATTTCCTAGTGATCAGAACCCTATCAATAAAACGTACTTTTATTTCCTAGTGATCAGAACCCTATCAATAAAACTTACTTTTATTTCCTAGTGATCAGAACCCTATAAATAAAACGTACTTTTATTTCCTAGTGGTCAGAACCCTATCAATAAAACTTTATTTCCTAGTGATCAGAACTCTATCAATAAAACTTACTTTTATTTTCTAGTGATCAGAACCCTATCAATAAAACTTTATTTCCTAGTGATCAGAACTCTATCAATAAAACTTACTTTTATTTCCTAGTGATCAGAACCCTATCAATAAAACTTTATTTCCTAGTGATCAGAACTCTATCAATAAAACTTACTTTTATTTCCTAGTGATCAGAACCCTATCAATAAAACTTTATTTCCTAGTGATCAGAACTCTATCAATAAAACTTACTTTTATTTCCTAGTGATCAGAACCCTATCAATAAAACTTTATTTCCTAGTGATCAGAACTCTATCAATAAAACTTACTTTTATTTCCTAGTGATCAGAACCCTATCAATAAAACGTACTTTTATTTCCTAGTGATCAGAACCCTATCAATAAAACTTACTTTTATTTCCTAGTGATCAGAACCCTATCAATAAAACGTACTTTTATTTCCTAGTGATCAGAACCCTATCAATAAAACTTTATTTCCTAGTGATCAGAACTCTATCAATAAAACTTACTTTTATTTCCTAGTGATCAGAACCCTATCAATAAAACGTACTTTTATTTCCTAGTGATCAGAACCCTATCAATAAAACGTACTTTTATTTCCTAGTGATCAGAACCCTATCAATAAAACTTACTTTTATTTCCTAGTGATCAGAACCCTATCAATAAAACTTACTTTTATTTCCTAGTGATCAGAACCCTATCAATAAAACTTACTTTTATTTCCTAGTGATCAGAACCCTATCAATAAAACTTTATTTCCTAGTGATCAGAACCCTATCAATAAAACTTACTTTTATTTCCTAGTGATCAGAACCCTATCAATAAAACTTTATTTCCTAGTGATCAGAACCCTATCAATAAAACGTACTTTTATTTGTGCGGACCTCCAGGAGAGCGCCATCACATTTAGAAAAAACGTAAGTCACTCTGCAAAAAGATAGGCCATGTTGTTAATCCATCGGTCACTTCTGAACATTTTACATGGTATGATTTGGAAACTTAGCATTGATTGCTTGTAAGGCAACTGTTTTCACAATGTCAGCAGACAAGTTTTTATCCCTGACATTCTAGACCCCAACATTCATCACTGACTTTCTAGACCCCAACATTCATCACTGACTTTCTAGATTTGAGACCTCTAGTCTTTGTACCCTAACATTCATCACTGACTTTCTAGATTTGAGACCTCTAGTCTTTGTACCCTAACATTCATCACCGACTTTCTAGATTTAAGACCTCTAGTCTTTGTACCCTAACATTCATCACTGACTTTCTAGACCCTAACATTCATCACTGACTTTCTAGACTCTAACAACATTCATCACTGACTTTCTAGACCCCAACATTCATCACTGACTTTCTAGACTCTAACAACATTCATCACCGACTTTCTAGATTTGAGACCTCTAGTCTTTGTACCCTAACATTCATTACTGACTTTCTAGACTCTAACAACATTCATCACTGACTTTCTAGACCCCAACATTCATCACTGACTTTCTAGACCCCAACATTCATCACTGACTTTCTAGACTCTAACAACATTCATCACTGACTTTCTAGATTTGAGACCTCTAGTCTTTGTACCCTAACATTCATCACTGACTTTCTAGACTCTAACAACATTCATCACTGACTTTCTAGACCCCAACATTCATCACTGACTTTCTAGACTCTAACATTCATCACTGACTTTCTAGACTCTAACAACATTCATCACTGACTTTCTAGACCCCAACATTCATCACTGACTTTCTAGACCCCAACATTTGTAACTGACTTTCTAGACACCAACATTTATAACTGACTTTCTAGACCCCAACATTCATCACTGACTTTCTAGACCCCAACATTCATCACTGACTTTCTAGACTCTAACAACATTCATCACTGACTTTCTAGATTTGAGACCTCTAGTCTTTGTACCCTAACATTCATCACTGACTTTCTAGACTCTAACAACATTCATCACTGACTTTCTAGACACCAACATTCATCACTGACTTTCTAGACCCCAACATTCATCACTGACTTTCTAGACTCTAACAACATTCATCACTGACTTTCTAGACACCAACATTCATCACTGACTTTCTAGACCCCAACATTCATCACTGACTTTCTAGATTTGAGACCTCTAGTCTTTGTACCCTAACATTCATCACTGACTTTCTAGACTCTAACATCATTCATCACTGACTTTCTAGACTCTAACAACATTCATCACTGACTTTCTAGACCCCAACATTCATCACTGACTTTCTAGACTCTAACATTCATCACTGACTTTCTAGACTCTAACAACATTCATCACTGACTTTCTAGATTTGAGACCTCTAGTCTTTGTACCCTAACATTCATCACTGACTTTCTAGACTCTAACATCATTCATCACTGACTTTCTAGACCCCAACATTCATCACTGACTTTCTAGACTCTAACATTCATCACTGACTTTCTAGACTCTAACATTCATCACTGACTTTCTAGACTCTAACAACATTCATCACTGACTTTCTAGATTTGAGACCTCTAGTCTTTGTACCCTAACATTCATCACTGACTTTCTAGACTCTAACAACATTCATCACTGACTTTCTAGACACCAACATTCATCACTGACTTTCTAGACACCAACATTCATCACTGACTTTCTAGACCCCAACATTCATCACTGACTTTCTAGACTCTAACATTCATCACTGACTTTCTAGACTCTAACATTCATCACTGACTTTCTAGACTCTAACAACATTCATCACTGACTTTCTAGACCCCAACATTTGTAACTGACTTTCTAGACTCTAACAACATTCATCACTGACTTTCTAGACCCCAACATTCATCACTGACTTTCTAGACTCTAACAACATTCATCACTGACTTTCTAGATTTGAGACCTCTAGTCTTTGTACCCTAACATTCATCACTGACTTTCTAGACTCTAACAACATTCATCACTGACTTTCTAGACACCAACATTCATCACTGACTTTCTAGACCCCAACATTCATCACTGACTTTCTAGACTCTAACAACATTCATCACTGACTTTCTAGACACCAACATTCATCACTGACTTTCTAGACCCCAACATTCATCACTGACTTTCTAGACTCTAACATTCATCACTGACTTTCTAGATTTGAGACCTCTAGTCTTTGTACCCTAACATTCATCACTGACTTTCTAGACTCTAACAACATTCATCACTGACTTTCTAGACCCTAACAACATTCATCACTGACTTTCTAGATTTTAGATCACTAGTCATTGTACCCCATCTTTCTTGACCGTTGTCGTTTTACCATTCTTCACAGCATGTTTCATGTCAGCTAACCCCTTATTAAATGATTCAAATATTGAAGTATTCAAATATTGAAGTATTCAAATACTATGTATTCAAATATTGAAGTATTCGAATATTGAAGTATGCAAATAGTGAAGTATTCAAATATAGAAGTATTCAAATATTGAAGTTGAAATATTGTTGAAAATATACTAATAGATATTGTAGGATACATAATTTTGATAGTTAAACATAAAATACACAAAACACAAAAAAAAAATTCATTAAAAAAACGTTTTAATAACAAGCTTTTATGTAATAATGCACTAAAAAGTATAAAACAAAATATCTTAAAATATATATTAATACACTACTATTTACATAACTATAAAGAAAAGCGTGGGTCACTATACAGAGGCGTAGCGACCCTTCCCGGCGCCCGGGGACATACTTTCGATTGGCACCCCTCCCCCTTCAGACTTTCGATTTGCACCCCCCTCAGACTTTCGATTTGCACCCCCCTTCAAACTTTCTATTTGTTTTTCCAACCTATTTTGGCGCCCCCTAAGGTCGGCGCCCGGGGACATATGTCCCCCCCCCCCCGCCCCCCCCCCCCCCTCGCTACGCCTCTGTCACTATATTATCTATTGGACACTTTTACTAATATTTAGGAAGCGACCAAAAAGTAGTAAAAGTATCCAATATATAATAAAGTGACCAACGTTTTTCTTTATAGTTATATAAGTTGTAGTGTATTAATATATATTTTAAGAAATTTATTTATTTTCTACTTTTTAGTGCATTATTACATAAATTCTTAAAGCTTGTTATTAAAACGTTTTTTTATGAATTTTTTTTTAGTACTTTAAATTATAAAAATTTACAATAGAGTTGCACGACTAAAAACCTTTGCGCACCTAATGAACGTGATGGCGAGTGTATAATAGTGCGGAATAGTTAGATAAAACAGCCTACTAATTTGGACAAAATTTTAATTTAATAAAAAAAAATAATTAGGCATCCAATTAAGTCAAATTAATGTCAGATTACATTGTCTAGCGGTAAAGAGTTGGACTGCTAACCCGTAAGTCTCGAGTTTGAATCCGGGTTCCGTTCAGTAGACCGTCGCTGAGTCCACCCAACTCTAATGGGTACCTAACTCTCGTTAGGGAAAGTAAAGACGGCTGGGGATAGTGCTGACCACACTATCTCTTAATATGCCGAGGTCACAGAAACAAGTGAACTCTACTTCACTTGCCCCATAGACCATCAGGTTTGAAAGGGAAACTACTACTACAACTACTACATTGTCTTCATGTCTTGACCCACGTGCCAACTTTGAACCGTATCTATCAGTTCGAGGTGCCCGTAATTTTAGATATTTAAATGTCAAGCAAGAACTATACAGCCCACTGTAAGAGATGAAAGCAACAATATTTAGACGTGATGTTAGGACAGTCATATAATCAACAGTAACAGATGAAAGCACTTACATGTGAATGCCATGCTTACATGTGAATGCTTTACTTACATGTGAATGCCTTACTTACATGTGAATGCCTTACTTACAGGTGAATGCCTTACTTACATGTGAATGCCTTACTTACATGTGAATGCCTTACTTACATGTGAATGACATTTTACATGTGAATGCCTTACTTACATGTGAATGCCATATTTACATGTGAATGCCATACTTACATGTGAATGCCTTACTTACATGTGAATGACATTTTACATGTGAATGCCTTACTTACATGTGAATGCCTTACTTACATGTGAATGCCTTACTTACATGTGAATGCCATATTTACATGTGAATGCCATACATACATGTGAATGCCATACTTACATGTGAATGCCATCAACGAACGGCTTGTACACGTAGTACTCGTTTGCCTGATCGTCTAGGCTCGTCGTTATATCCTTTTGTCCAATTATTTCAAAGTTCATAGGTTCAAATCTAATGTAAACATTGCAATTATTTCAAAGTTCATAGGTTCAAACCTAATGTAAACATTGCAATTATTTCAAAGTTCATAGGTTCAAACCTAATGAAAACATTTCAATTATTTCAAAGTTCATAGGTTCAAACCTAATGTAAACATTGCAATTATTTCAAAGTTCATAGGCTTAAATCTAATGTAAACATTGCAATTATTTCAGAGTTCATCGGATCAAACCTAATGTAAACATTGCAATTATTTCAGAGTTCATCGGATCAAACCTAATGTAAACATTGCAATTATTTCAAAGTTCATCAGATCAAACCTGATGTAAACATTGCAATTATTTCAAAGTTCATAGGCTCAAACCTAATGTAAACATTGCAATTATTTCAGAGTTCATCGGATCAAACCTAATGTAAACATTGCAATTATTTCAAAGTTCATAGGCTCAAACCTAATGTAAACATTGCAATTATTTCAAAGTTCATAGGTTCAAATCTAATGTAAACATTTCAATTATTTCAAAGTTCATAGGCTCAAACCTAATGTAAACATTGCAATTATTTCAAAGTTCATCAGATCAAACCTAATGTAAACATTGCAATTATTTCAAAGTTCATAGGCTCAAACCTAATGTAAACATTGCAATTATTTCAAAGTTCATAGGCTTAAATCTAATGTAAACATTGCAATTATTTCAGAGTTCATCGGATCAAACCTAATGTAAACATTGCAATTATTTCAAAGTTCATCAGATCAAACCTGATGTAAACATTGCAATTATTTCAAAGTTCATAGGCTCAAACCTAATGTAAACATTGCAATTATTTCAGAGTTCATCGGATCAAACCTAATGTAAACATTGCAATTATTTCAAAGTTCATAGGCTCAAACCTGATGTAAACATTGCAATTATTTCAAAGTTCATAGGCTCAAACCTAATGTAAACATTGCAATTATTTCAGAGTTCATCGGATCAAACCTAATGTAAACATTGCAATTATTTCAAAGTTCATAGGCTTAAATCTAATGTAAACATTTCAATTATTTCAAAGTTCATAGGCTTAAATCTAATGTAAACATTGCAATTATTTCAAAGTTCATAGGTTCAAACCTAATGTAAATATTGCAATTATTTCAAAGTTCATAGGCTTAAATCTAATGTAAACATTGCAATTATTTCAGAGTTCATCGGATCAAACCTAATGTAAACATTGCAATTATTTCAAAGTTCATCAGATCAAACCTGATGTAAACATTGCAATTATTTCAAAGTTCATAGGCTCAAACCTAATGTAAACATTGCAATTATTTCAGAGTTCATCGGATCAAACCTAATGTAAACATTGCAATTATTTCAAAGTTCATAGGCTCAAACCTAATGTAAACATTGCAATTATTTCAAAGTTCATAGGTTCAAATCTAATGTAAACATTTCAATTATTTCAAAGTTCATAGGCTCAAACCTAATGTAAACATTCCAATTATTTCAAAGTTCATCGGATCAAACCTAATGTAAACATTGCAATTATTTCAAAGTTCAAAGGCTCAAACCTAATTTAAACATTGCAATTATTAAAATTTTATTTTTCCCAAAACGTTTATATTTGAAAAGTGTCCATATATCGTAAAATGAAAATACAAGTCTGGAGTTAAACAAAGGGAACCTAATGTAAACATTGCAATTATTTCAAAGTTCATAGGCTCAAACCTAATGTAAACATTGCAATTATTTCAAAGTTCATAGGCTTAAATCTAATGTAAACATTGCAATTATTTGAAAGTTCATAGGCTCAAACCTAATGTAAACATTGCAATTATTTCAAAGTTCATAGGCTCAAATCTAATGTAAACATTGCAATTATTTCAAAGTTCATAGGCTCAAACCTAATGTAAACATTCCAATTATTTCAAAGTTCATCGGATCAAACCTAATGTAAACATTGCAATTATTTCAAAGTTCAAAGGCTCAAACCTAATTTAAACATTGCAATTATTAAAATTTTATTTTTCCCAAAACGTTTATATTTGAAAAGTGTCCATATATCGTAAAATGAAAATACAAGTCTGGAGTTAAACAAAGGGACAAGAACTACTATGGGGTGACACTAGTCACACATCTAAGTCGTGACATTTAGTCACACATCAATAAGACGGGGCTGACGGCTGGACCACAACAGACCAGACTGTGACGGCTGGACCACAACAGACCAGACTGTGACGGCTGGACCACAACAGACCAGACTGTAACGACTTGAGAAGATACATACACGAGGAACAAGCCGAGCTGAACTCACTTTTGAATGACATGCTGTACAACTTTAGTATCCAGCACACAAGCAGCTCGCAGAAGTGGTATTCTAGAATTCATAGCAGTTTTATTAGCGAGATTCTGATAAACGTTCTCACGGATATCGACCCTCTTGTAGCTGACGTCATCGTTAGCTGTGACGTCATCTCTTATTTCAATGACGTCATCCTTCTTGATTTCAACAAGTTCACCAACCGACTTGGAGTTGTTCACGTGCACCAAGACGTCTGCTACATGCTGTCCGTCACAGATCAGACGTACTCGTCTGGTCAATGACCCGACGGACGTGACGGAAGATTCCAGAAGGTTTTGCTGCTGATGGACAAATATCGTAGCTGAGATGTCTCAAACAAATACAACTAAAACTGTAATACAACTACTTGATGTTGTTTGATAGATAGGGGAGATGGGGTTCAGATCTCTGTGATGATGTGTGAAGATGTGTCAAACAAGTACAACTAAAACTGTAATACAACTACTTGATGGTCTTTAAATTGTGTTGTTAAGTAAAATTCATATAACACGTTTAGCACAGAAGGTGTGACGAGGGATAGTGTGGCGAGGGATAGTGTGACGAGGGATAGTGTGACGAGGGATAGTGTGACGAGGGATAGTGTGGCGAGGGATAGTGTGACGAGGGATAGTGTGACGAGGGATAGTGTGACGAGGGATAGTGTGGCGAGGGATAGTGTGTCGAGGGATAGTGTGACGAGGGATAGTGTGACGAGGGATAGTGTGGCGAGGGATAGTGTGTCGAGGGATAGTGTGACGAGGGATAGTGTGACGAGGGATAGTGTGACGAGGGATAGTGTGGCGAGGGATAGTGTGACGAGGGATAGTGTGACGAGGGATAGTGTGGCGAGGGATAGTGTGGCGAGGGATAGTGTGACGAGGGATAGTGTGACGAGGGATAGTGTGGCGAGGGATAGTGTGTCGAGGGATAGTGTGACGAGGGATAGTGTGACGAGGGATAGTGTGGCGAGGGATAGTGTGTCGAGGGATAGTGTGTCGAGGGATAGTGTGACGAGGGATAGTGTGACGAGGGATAGTGTGACGAGGGATAGTGTGACGAGGGATAGTGTGGCGAGGGATAGTGTGACGAGGGATAGTGTGGCGAGGGATAGTGTGGCGAGGGATAGTGTGTCGAGGGATAGTGTGACGAGGGATAGTGTGACGAGGGATAGTGTGACGAGGGATAGTGTGACGAGGGGTAGTGTGACGAGGGATAGTGTGGCGAGGGATAGTGTGTCGAGGGATAGTGTGACGAGGGATAGTGTGACGAGGGATAGTGTGGCGAGGGATAGTGTGTCGAGGGATAGTGTGTCGAGGGATAGTGTGACGAGGGATAGTGTGACGAGGGATAGTGTGACGAGGGATAGTGTGACGAGGGATAGTGTGACGAGGGATAGTGTGACGAGGGATAGTGTGGCGATGGATAGTGTGACGAGGGATAGTGTGACGAGGGATAGTGTGACGAGGGATAGTGTGACGAGGGATAGTGTGGCGAGGGATAGTGTGTCGAGGGATAGTGTGTCGAGGGATAGTGTGACGAGGGATAGTGTGACGAGGGATAGTGTGACGAGGGATAGTGTGACGAGGGATAGTGTGACGAGGGATAGTGTGACGAGGGATAGTGTGGCGATGGATAGTGTGACGAGGGATAGTGTGACGAGGGATAGTGTGACGAGGGATAGTGTGACGAGGGATAGTGTGGCGATGGATAGTGTGACGAGGGATAGTGTGACGAGGGACAGTGTGACGAGAGACAGTGTGACGAGGGACAGTGTGACGAGGGACAGTGTGACGAGGGATAGTGTGACGAGGGATAGTGTGACGAGGGACAGTGTGACGAGAGACAGTGTGACGAGGGATAGTGTGTCAGTGTATTTTACATGAAGGAACGTAAATAATTTTAGGATATCTCTTTTAGCGAAAAATATGGTGATGTGTGGAGATGGGGTATACTACAATCGTTGATAACATCATGGACGAGCTTGTGTCTGAACCACATGAATTAGATTTTCTGAAAGATTATAACACCAAGATTTTAAACGCATCCATCCATTTACTCCAGAGGCGTAGCGAGGGGGGGGGTCAACCATAGGGGGCGCCAAAATGAATTGGGAAAAAATTAAAAGCTCATTTTAGCTGCAGTTTTGCATTATAAATATAAAAATATATGGGGGGGGGGGGGCGCCTAATTGAAAGTTGGTCCCCGGGAGGGGTGGGACGCCAAATTGAAAGTTTGTCCCCAGGCGCCGGGAAGGGTCGCTACGCCTCTGGTTTACTCTGAGAAAGACAGTCAAGTCTTACAAAACTTAACCAGCACTGACCTGTAGATCCTTACAGCCGAATTTCTTCTTATAGTCAAGCACTTCATCTCCAATCAATGGCGCATCGCTCTGTCTTTGGGTGGTGCTGTTTAGTGGTCCGCTGTGCTGTTCATTGGACACGGGCAGTGCAGAGATGGACGCTAGAGTTATCCAATACAGGCAGGCTATGGTTAGATGGCCAGAAACACGACAGCAGCTCATGGTGGGAAGAATACGAAACTGTGGCGCGAAACTCACTGCTAAACCAACATGCTTAAAACAGATGTGTTCTATCTACTGTTCTACTACGTGTCATAGTAAAAACATATCGCTTACGTACTACGCCTGGACCAGTTGTCTAATCTTTTCAAACACTGCTCTTTAATTATTTTTAACACACGAAAATTGTTTTAAGAAAAAAGTTGAAGACGTGTGAAGGGGGAAGGAGGGTAAGAATCGGGCTATTTTTTAAAACGTATGCATTTTGGGGGCTAATTCAATTGAAAGTTATACTTTATCTGCTGTAGAGAAAAAAGTACGAACACCAAACTTTCAACAACTGTGTTTCCATTACTTCTTTATATCTTAAACGCTCATTCTTTAAATGCAATTGTTCACTATAAGATGTTTTCAATTATCTAGACGTTTTTATAAATGCTAGTATGCGTTTGTTAGTGTTCAACGTATCCCGTTTGTTGGTGTTCAACGTATCCCGTGTGTTGGTGTTCAACGTATCCCGTGTGTTGGTGTTCAACGTATCCCGTGTGTTGGTGTTCAACGTATCCCGTGTGTTGGTGTTCAACGTATCCCGTGTGTTGGTGTTTATCGTATCCCCTGTGTTAGTGTTTATCGTATCCCGTGTGTTAGTGTTTATCGTATCCCGTGTGTTAGTGTTCAACATTTAGTACAACTGAATGCTATGAATTTGGTGTAGGACTAGTACAACTGAATGCCATGAATTTGGTGTAGGACTTGTACAACTGAATGCCATGAATTTGGTGTAGGACTTGTACAACTGAATGCTATGAATTTGGTGTAGGACTTGTACAACTGAATGCCATGAATTTGGTGTAGGACTTGTACAACTGAATGCCATGAATTTGGTGTAGGACTTGTACAACTGAATGCCATAAATTTGGTGTAGGACTTGTACAACTGAATGCCATGAATTTGGTGTAGGACTTGTACAACTGAATGCCGTGAATTTGGTGTAGGACTTGTACAACTGAATGCCATGAATTTGGTGTAGGACTTGTACAACTGAATGCCATGAATTTGGTGTAGGACTTGTACAACTGAATGCCATGAATTTGGTGTAGGACTTGTACAACTGAATGCCATGAATTCGGTGTAGGACTAGTACAACTGAATGCCATGAATTTTGGTGTAGGACTTGTACAACTGAATGCCATGAATTTGGTGTAGGACTTGTACAACTGAATGCCATGAATTTGGTGTAGGACTTGTACAACTGAATGCCATGAATTTGGTGTAGGACTTGTACAACTGAATGCCATGAATTTGGTGTAGGACTTGTACAACTGAATGCCATGAATTTGGTGTAGGACTAGTACAACTGAATGCCATGAATTTGGTGTAGGACTTGTACAACTGAATGCTATGAATTTGGTGTAGGACTTGTACAACTGAATGCCATGAATTTGGTGTAGGACTTGTACAACTGAATGCCATGAATTTGGTGTAGGACTTGTACAACTGAATGCCATGAATTTGGTGTAGGACTTGTACAACTGAATGCCATGAATTTGGTGTAGGACTTGTACAACTGAATGCCATGAATTTGGTGTAGGACTTGTACAACTGAATGCCATGAATTTGGTGTAGGACTTGTACAACTGAATACTATGAATTTGGTGTAGGACTTGTACAACTGAATGCCATGAATTTGGTGTAGGACTTGTACAACTGAATACCATGAATATGGTGTAGGTCGTTTCTCCAACTGAAGTCAGGTTCCAGGCAGACCTGGTCTCAAGACGTCCTATGGACCCCAGCCCGGGATCCGAACATTACGGATGGCAGTCGTGCGCTTTACCACCTGACCATTCCATACCAGGAAAGTATATATAAAAAAGATCTTAGAATTTTGAGTATATTAGGGTATATTATATATATAAGATCATATAATTTAGACTTTAGAGTGTTCTAAAAATACAATATTCTACAAATAACGAGACGAAAAATCACAGAAACAAGGTACTATTCTTAGGGTGGGATTGACCTGTTAATCTAGCCTTCCTTAATTCGTTCACCGGGTGTACTATTCTTAGGGTGGGATCGACCTGTTAATCTAGCCTTCCTTAATTCGTTCACCGGGTGTACTATTCTTAGGGTGGGATTGACCTGTTAATCTAGCCTTCCTTAATTCGTTCACCGGGTGTACTATTCTTAGGGTGGGATTGACCTGTTAATCTAGCCTTCCTTAATTCGTTCACCGGGTGTACTATTCTTAGGGTGGGATTGACCTGTTAATCTAGCCTTCCTTAATTCGTTCACCGGGTGTACTATTCTTAGGGTGGGATTGACCTGTTAATCTAGCCTGCCTTAATTCGTTCACCGGGTCACGTCCACGTTAAGCGAACATCTTAACTGTGTCGTCTGCCAGTGACTGATTGATCACCGACCAGCGACGCCAGGTGTGGGAGATTGACGCGTGCCAGATCCCCCAGCCCATGCGACTATTGGTGATCGATCGATCGATCTACTAGGTCTCGAGCAAGATGTTCTGTCTGATTGGACGTAGTGGCGTGGTGTCACCCATTGCAGCTCCTTTTGGTGTCACCCTTTATATATATATATATATATATATATATATATATATATATACATGTGACGCCCACCCCGGTCATTGAGTGACGTATCAGCTATTGAATTTATTTAACCCAACTTTTTCCACTTGTAAATGTTACTGTTGGTTATAGCTTGGATATGCGCACAGTTAATAGTAACATTTATCTATAGTCGGTTACTAATACAGCTGGATGTATTATTGTTTTTGCTATAGTTAGTAAGTCATGGTGTCACACCCACCCACCCACCCCCACCCCCTTAACCGTGTCATAATCACTAAAAAACTAAAAGAATATTTGACTTTCATTAATCAACAATTAAACTAGCAAAAAGCATTTTTCGTATGTAAATTTTGACATTTTTTGCTTGGTGTCACCCCTCCCCATTGGTATCACCCGATACGGTCCTCACCCCGCACCCCCCTTTCGCGACGCCTCTGAATCAGAGTTTCTTCCAGTCATCTCTTGGGTGGGGAGGGGAAGGGGGGGGGACTCACCCCCCCCCCCCCCGAACGAGATGGATTTTATATAGTAAACATACACTTTTACTAGTGTCCGCCCCCGCCCACGGAAAATGTTGACCGCGCCCCCGAAAATATCAAGTGGCCCCCCCCCTCGAAAAAAAGTCTGGAAGAACCACTGTTCTGAATTGGTAATAGTTGTGTCAAATAAAATCTAATTAAAATCAATTATTCAAGTTAGTCAAATATTCATTTAAAGTCAATTAATTAGTTTAATTAGGATAGTGAAGTATTACAAGTCAATTAATTAGTTTAATTAAGACAGTGAAATATTACACGTCAATTAATTAGTTTAATTAGGATAGTGAAATATTACACGTCAATTAATTAGTTTAATTACAATGTACATGCGTTCATTCTTTGCTAAGGTCAATAAACCACTGGTCTAGTGGCGTTTGACGAGAGACTGGGCAACATAAAGCTGACAAAACTGAGCTGGCAGACGACACCTTGGGGCGAAGATAGGAACCTGGTCTGTCGCCCACGGGCAGTCAGACATGTTCCAAACGTCTTCGTGGCTTTGTGGATGTTTGACATTCTTACTGTGGAGTATTTCTTCCAAAGATGTTTTCAGTTTAAGGTTAATCCTACATTAAAAAAACTACTTAGCCATAATCCCACAAAACATAACATAGAGAAAAAATTTCTTAACATGCACAAAAAGAACGTGTCGTTCACAAAACTACTCAGCCATAATCCATCAATTTTACATAGACAAAACTTGTTCTTAACATGCAAAATAAACTGGGAGTGACATCCCCTAAACTTTCTCGAATATTCTAATATAACACTACGGGGGATGGCAACTCGGGACATCTATCTATATATATAATTCTCTTCTTGGAGACCATAGAAATACCAAGCTGTAATCGCGCTCCCTACCACCCCCACCCATACATGGTCTGGTGAGCTGTGGTTCACGCTAAATGTTTAGTGACGGCTATTAGGGGCAGATAATCTAGTTTGAAACGAGGAGGTAACTAAGAGGAGTTTGCTTTCACGAGGGGGGTGGGGGTTAGGGGTTGGGGAAAGGAGGGGGGGTTATCGTCCTTAACGAGCTACTGATAGTGTTTTAAAGCAAATATTTTCAGTGGCAGCATTGGTACTGTCGAATTCACAAATAATGAATTACTGAAAAGTAGAAAATAAAACAACTAAATAGCGGCGTATGATACACCGCAGGTCGGCTCGTGGATAAAAATTTTAATCCATTTTTAATTACTTAAACTTTTTAAAAATAGAATAGAATCTCGTAAAAAAGGGGATTGCACGCCAAGTGAACGCCAAATAAAAAGTGCAGAGTAGTGCGGAATATTATTAGTACTTTATAAATTCACATGCGTTTTTTTTTTTTTTTTTTTTGAGAAATCGAAAATAGCGTAAATTACTACTTTCTGTCGACGATAATTACTCAAAATTTGATAGAAGACAGCGAATTAGAACTTTTACTTACATGTGAAATTTCATTTATCTTTCTGAAATAGTACTCAAGTTATAGGATTTTGAAAAATTGAAAGTAGAAAAAGTACCTCTCCCGGTTATTGGAAATCGCTCAAAAGTTTATCAGGATCTACGATTTTGATATAATATATATGAAATTTCATCAACCTAGCTGTAACGGTACTCAAGTTATCGTGTTTACAAACTCTCTCTCTCTCTCTCTCTCTCTCTCTCTCTCTCTCACACACACACACACACAGACAGATACACATACACACACACACACACAGACATACGGACAAGATTGCAAAACTATGTTTTTCCGACTCAGGGAGGTGTAAAACGTCGAGATTTTCAAAAATCTCGATTTTTTTTTTCACGATTACAAGGCTTTCTCTATACTTCGTATATACGAGAAAGTAAAAAGAACGTGTCGTTTTTAAATGTACACACAACTACTTTTTCTAGAAAAATTGTATCAATAACATTATGCAGTTACTACAAATCCAGTCTGCCGAATTGTATTTTTGTAGGATTAAGGCAAAATATGGGTATAGCTTCCAAAACTTGGGGTCTGCAAGGAATGTCGAGGTTAGGGGGGGATTAGATGGAATGTCGAGGTTAGGGGGGATTAGATGGAATGTCGAGGTTAGGGGGGGATTAGATGGAATGTCGAAGTTAGGGGGGGGGGATTAGATGGAATGTCGAGGTTAGGGTTGTAGATGGAATGTCGAGGTTAGGGTTGTAGATGGAATGTCGAGGTTAGGGTTGTAGATGGAATGTCGAGGTTAGGGTTGTAGATGGAATGTCGAGGTTAGGGTTGTAGATGGAATGTCGAGGTTAGGGTTGTAGGTGGAATGTCGAGGTTAGGGTTGTAGATGGAATGTCGAGGTTAGGTGGAATGTCGAGGTTAGGGTTGTAGGTGGAATGTTGAGGTTAGGGTTGTAGGTGGAATGTCGAGGTTAGGGTTGTATATGGAATGTCGAGGTTAGGGTTGTAGATGGAATGTCGAGGTTAGGGTTGTAGATGGAATGTCGAGGTTAGGATTGTAGGTGGAATGTCGAGGTTCGACAAATGGGATGTTCTCATGAATATCCCGCGGCGTAAGATGACACTTAGTTAATTAAATAAAACTTCCTAATTACCAGGCTGTCATATGCCTGTCACTAATTAATCTTTAGGTTTTATGTCGTCGTTCGCCTCACGTCTGAAGAATGAAATAATCAAGGCCTCGGCTTGAGCCTGAAACGTCAATCGTCTGCTGTCACCCCCCCCCCCCCCCCCCCACCCCCCAGCTAGCCTCATGTTCAGTGCTGCAAGTGCGCCTGTTAATTAGGACGTACCTTGACACGTGACCCTGCTGCCCCAGGGCGCCAGGATTGTCTACAGCTATATAAGACTGGGCGCTGGGTGGTTGGGCTACTGCCGACCACCTCGACTCAACCAGGTCAGTAGTTTAACACTCATCCATTGGTTAACATTCTAATATTTTTGAGCTCCAGATTTTATAACGTTTATTTTAAATTGCTAGTAAGAATATGTACGATAATTAAAATCAGGACTTTAAAAAATCAAATGCCTTTATATTAAGACAATTTAATTCACATATATTATTTCAAGATTTTTAAAAATAATATGTTAAATGCATTAAGACTTTTATTATTTATACTAGCCGTTGGTACCCGTTACACGTAAATTATCGGTCTATATATCTTTAACGGTATACATTTTTTAGAAGAATATTTTATAAAATAGTTATTGGTCAAAACGCAATGTGCTTTACTACAGGTTTAACGATATTAGTGACAAAGCAAAGAAATAACTAAATAGCTAAAAGTCCGACATATTTAAAATAACATAGGCTACCAATACCTATTAGAAAAAATAAAACCAAATTACATACATAATTAGTCAACACAACACCATATTAAATGCACACATTGATTAAAAGACTTAATATGACTCCGTTAAAAATCCGGCTTTTCAATGGTATTTATGTTGCTTTTTAAAGTAATTTTTATTAGTTTTGGCCGAGGAAATTGTATAAATTTCATAAATTACGTCTCGATAAGTATATCTATTGATCTAAATCAAATTGTAATTAAATAGTTCATTTCTTCGTATTTTAAAATTGGAAGATGACGCCATTGGTTTTGTGTACTCTCCGTACTTCAAACATATGACATGTAACGGCGGTCTTTTCCCAACTTGTAATAGATTGAAATAATTGTGAGGTCAAGGGAACTCACTCTTCTGTATTAGTATTATATTTATATTGTTATCTTGAGTGATGTCCCTTACATGTTGTTATCTATAAATAGTTCTCCCTCGCCATTGTACTTCCTCTCTCTTACCATCATGGCCGTCTGTAATTAAAAGGCTGTTAACACCAATGTGGCTTCCTCGTCAATCTATTATATTGGCGACGAAGGATAAACATCTACTAGAAAGAGCACCTACTTACGCAAAAAAGAGGTTTGCTAGAGCTTATTAGCTAATTATTTCTAGAATTATGGCGCTGTATGGCCAAATAAAAGAATTTGATGCGAATGATGAAATCATTCAAGATTACCTAGAGAGGTTAAGCTTTTACCTAGAAGCTAACAACGTGACGATAGAAGCCAAAAAGAGAGCTGTTTTGTTAACAGTCATAGGGCCTCAACAATTTAGGCTACTAAAAGACTTATGCGAACCAGCTAGTCTAACTACCAAGAGCTTTAACGAGCTGAGCAAACTGCTAACAGACCACCATGCGCCTGTGCCATCAAAGTTTCTATGTAGAGCTAGATTTGACAGTAGGACTCGTCAACCAAACGAGTCAATATCAGAATATGTTGCTGCTTTACGTCATTTAAGTGAATTTTGTGAATTCGGCGATACGCTGTCTGACAGACTGTGTGAAAAGTTTGTGACAGGTGTAAACAGCCCTGATATTCAAAGAAAGTTGCTGCTCGAGTCAGATCTAACTTTGGAAAAAGCAATACAACTTGCAATGTCATTCCAGCAGTCATCAGATGCGGCGAAATCTCTTACGCCTTCAGGGATCCATGCAGTAAACAGCAGGTTAGTCAATAAACATCAACCCCATCAGAGCATTCCAACTTATGCTAAACAGCCTGCTCGTTCAAATCCTAGATCTAAATCTAGTAATAATTATCAAAAATGTCATCGATGCAAAGGTCCCCATGCATCTCATCTGTGCAAGTTCAAGTCTGCAACTTGTTATAAGTGCAGTGAGCAAGGTCACATTGCTAAGGCCTGCTTTGCAAAGTCTTCGTCTGTTGCTAAATCTAGCCAGTCAAGACAGTACCGCAACCAAAAGCAGCACTATGTTAACTCTCACCAAGACTACCTACTCCAACCAATGAACCACTCTACCTGTGAAAATGCTCAAACTGATTTGCAGCCGGATTTCAACCTGTTCTCTGTGAAATCAATAAGTCATGCTCCCATCAATGTACCAGTTAATATCAACGGTAAGAGCATCAGCTTCCAACTTGACACTGGAGCATCTCTAACAGTCATAACAAAGAAAGATTTTGACGCTGTCACAGGAGGATCAGTGTCTCTACAGCCATGTCACAAGTGTCTAACAACATACACTGGTGACAATGTTCCGGTAATAGGAGAGTGTATGGTTCATGTAAGTTATAATGGTCAAAGTGTTAAACTTCCTCTTCTTGTGGTTGAAGGAAATGGACCGCCATTACTAGGTAGGAACTGGTTAAGTGATCTTAAGTTAAATTGGGAGAGTATTTGTTCATTGAAGAATGTAAAAGAATCTAGTCTTACTTCACTAGATAGAGTTATATCTGAAAATAAATGTGTTTTTGGTAATCATGGATTACTAAATGATAGAACAGTGAAGTTAAGCATTAAAGATACAAATCCAAGATACTGCAAAGCTAGAGTTCCACCTTATGCAATGAGGAATAAAATTGAAAATGAGCTAAGTAGATTGGAATCTAATGGCATTATAAAGAAGGTAGACTATTCCGATTGGGCGTCACCCATTGTGCCAGTGTTAAAGAAGGATGGTTCTATAAGAATTTGTGGAGATTATAAAACTACACTGAATAAGCAAATAGAGCTAAATAGGTACCCTATACCTAACATTGAGGAAATTTCTTTGAATTTGGCAGGAGGAGACAAATTCACTGAATTAGACTTTAGTCATGCTTACACTCAACTAGAACTGCATCCAGATTCAAAAGTCTATACGACAATAAACACACATAAAGGACTCTACCAATATGAAAGACTATGTTTTGGCATATCATCCAGCCCTGGAATTTTCCAAGCTGTCATGGACAGTATTTTTAAGGATATTCCAAATGTTTGTGTGTACTTTGACAATGTGTACATAACTGGTAAGAATGACACTGAACATCTTAAAACACTTGATAAAGTCTTGAAAATTGTTGGTGAAAAAGGTTTAAAGATAAACAAAGATAAATGTCAATTCATGCTGACAGAAATTAGTTTTCTTGGTTATATATTAAGCAAACAAGGCATCAGACCTCAACCTGAGAAAACAAAAGCCATTAAAGAAGCACCCAAACCTGAAAATACCCAACAACTAAGAGCTTTTTTGGGCTTGATAAATTACTATGCAAAGTTCATAGGGAATCTGTCTGGTAAACTATCACCACTGTACAAGCTGCTACAGAAAAATGCAACTTGGCACTGGGGTAAACAACAAGAAGCTGCTTTTAATACAGCAAAAGAGGCTTTGTCTTCTGACACCTTACTAACTCACTATGACCCAGGGAAAAGACTTATATTAACATGTGATGCTTCACCAGATGGTGTAGGAGCAGTCTTGTCCCACATGGATGAGAAGGGTGACAGACCCATTGCTTTTGCCAGTAGATCTTTGAACCAAGCTGAGAAAAATTATTCTCAGTTAGATAGGGAAGGCTTAGGCATCATTTTTGGTGTTAAGAAATTTCATAAGTTTCTGTTTGGTAGGAAGTTCACCATCTTTACAGATCATAAACCATTGCTAGGTTTATTTGGAGAAAACAAAACCCTACCTGAGCATGCCTCACCAAGGATTCAAAGATGGGCTATCACACTAACTGCACACAATTATGAATTGAAATACAAACCTGGATCTGAGAATAGTGCAGATAGTCTGAGTAGATTACCTTTAAAAAAAAACCAAAGCCCGAGCTATGTACCAGAAGATGTATTTGTTCTCTTCACTATCATGGATAACTCCAATATAAATGTGAATGATATTAAGAGAGAAACACAAAAAGATAAATGCTTAATAAAAGTATATGAGTACTGTAAGAATGGTTGGCCTGAAGAGTCTGTGAATGATGACTTAAGGCCATATAAAATAAGAAATTAAAAACTTTTGTGAAGATAATATAAAAGATGGAGAAGATGCAGTCCATTATCAGTCAGAGTTGCCTAAACAAAGTATTTGTAACTTCATAAATGATTATGGTGTTATGGCAATTTCAAATGTTTTAAAGAAAATACATTAGTAAGAAGGAATGTGATCATCAAACAACTTTGCTAACATCATTAGCACTTACAGAAACTGAAAGGGTAACATCAAAAGAAAAGAAAAAAAGATTTTTGCAATTTAATACACCCATTTCAAATACTGGATCACAGTTGCAAAGTGATATGGTCCAGAATATTACTCACAAACAGTATTTTTGGTTACCAGGAAAGCACTATCAGATTACCTGAGGAAATTGATCAATCAAAGAAATCTATGTCAATTAAGGATCTGAATAATAGCATAATACTTTCAGATGCCAATTCAAAAATAGTTCCATTAAATCATGACAAACATTCATTGAAAGAGAATTTGGTGTTAATGAGAATGTGTATCTAAGAAATTATGGGAGAAAGGAAAAATGGATACCAGGTCAAATTGTTCAATGTACAGGACCTGTGCCTTATAAAGTTAAAAATAACTTGTGCAGATAATAAGTGTGAATCTGTCAATCCCACCAAGTCTGATCAGTTCACACCAACTCAGTTTGTTCCACAACCAAGTTCTGTTGATATGAGTGAACCAGGTTGTCTGGAGTCAGAAAATGTAAATTCTGGAGTTAATGATTTAAATCCTAGACCTCCTGAGATAGAGAATCCAGATGGTCAGAATATTGAGTCACCAAATCAAAGGCTACTGAGAAGGTCAAGCAGGACAATCAAAGTCCCAAATAAGTTAGACCTATGATTTTAAAGGTCAAAAGGACTTTGACATCATTGTTTTGTATCTTGATTATGTTGTAGCATATTGTGCATTGTTTGTAAGGATGTAATCTACCATAGTGTTCATGTTACAATATAATTGGTGATTTTAGGATACTATCAATTGTTCTATTGAGAGATGTGTTATTGTGTTCTAAGGGTAAAGGGATGTAATAGATTGAAATAATTGTGAGGTCAAGGGAACTCACTCTTCTGTATTAGTATTATATTTATATTGTTATCTTGAGTGATGTCCCTTACATGTTGTTATCTATAAATAGTTCTCCCTCGCCATTGTACTTCCTCTCTCTTACCATCATGGCCGTCTGTAATTAAAAGGCTGTTAACACCAATGTGGCTTCCTCGTCAATCTATTATACAACTATAAACACTTTTCCGGTTGCATAATTAAAACTGTTTTTCTACATTCAAGTATGCCTTTATTTTTTATTTTTCTTCTTTAAATATAATTTTGTTTTTACATTTAAAACATCTACCATATTATTTTCAACAAAAGTCCGTATCAAGTTCTCCACATATCGCTGAAGATTCTGATGTGATATCCTGCGAAAATAGTTTGCGGACAGTGAGAGAGAGAAGTGCGCAAATGGGCTTTTATATATTAGGATGCTTAATATATTAATATTTTTTAAATATTTGCTTGTATATTAAAATTTTTAAGCTTGTTTTCTAACGTTGTAATTTATATTTCAAACAAATTCACGGAACTAAGTAAAGAGATTTTTTAAATCTAATTACATTTTTACATCTTTAAAAAATGTGCTTAATAAAATTTTCATTTCATTTTCTATTTAAGTTGAACAAGATTTTTAAAAATAATGTTTTCTATTCAGACTCTACTACGCTTATTTACGTGTATTAATTAAACAGCTATCGCTTTTTTACTTTCTCGTATATACGTAGTGTAGAGAAAGTATTGTAATCGTGCAAAAAAAAAAAATCGAGATTTTTACAAATCTCGACGTTTTACACCTCACTGATACGGAAAAACATAATTTTGCAATCTTGTCCGTATGTCTGTGTGTGTGTGTGTGTCTGTGTGTGTGTCTGTCCGTGTGTAAACACGATAACTTGAGTACCGTTACAGCTAGGTTGATGAAATTTCATATATAAGTATTTTATCAAAATCGTAGATCCGTATCAACTTTTGAGCGATTTCCGATAACCGGAAGTGGTACTTTTCCTACTTTGAATTTTTTAAAAGCCTATAACTTGAGTACTATTTCAGATAGATAAATGAAATTTCACATGTAAGTAAAAGATCTAATCCTCTACCTTCTGTTAAATTTTGAGTAATTTCCGTTGACTGGAAGTAGTAATTTACGCTACTTCCGATTTCTCAAAAAACTAATGTAAATTTTAAAAGTAGTAATAATATTGCGCACTATTATGCGCTTTTTTATTGGGCGTTCACTTGGTGTGCAATTAATTTGTCTACGAGATTTTATTCTATTTTTAAAACTTTAAGTATTTAAAATGGATTAAAAATCATGTCTATAGCCCGAGTTCCCATCCCCTGTTATTTTATATAAGAATATTCGAGAAAGTTTAGGGGAGATCACTCCCGGTTTATTACATCTAGGTTTTCAGTAAATATGTTACATTTATTTTGTAATAATAGTAGTGAGGATACGACTTATATTAAAATAATTTCGTTAAAAAAATAATCATAAGGTTTAAAGTTAGAATTTAAATAAATCAAAGAGTCGAAAACACCTGATCTCACAATTTTGTAGCAATCGTTGGCTCGAGTAAATCTAGGTCTATTTTTTTATTTTTTTATTTAAACACTATGAGTCTTTTCTTATTTCTGATAGCTCCATTCATTTAGCCTTTTTACTTTCTCGTATACACAGTATAAAGGAAGTATTGTAATCGTGCACAAAAATCGCATGAAATTTTGACAGTTTTCATAGTTTTACACCTCAGTACTTCATCATATTGGGTACTTATTTTAATTGAGCAAAAATAATATATGCAGATTTATCAAAATTTTGGCGTTCTATGCGTAATCCAGTCGGAAAAACTGGGCTTTGCTGTTCTGTCCGTTTGTCTGTGTGTGTATGTGTGTCTGTGAACACAATAACTTAAATACCGGTACAGCTAGGTTGATGAAATTTCATATAAAAGTATTTTATCAAATTTGTAGATCTGTACCAATTTTTCAGCGATTTCCGACAACCGGAAGTGGAGCATTTTCTACTTTCAATTTTTCACAACCCTATAACTTGAGTACTATTTCAGATAGATAAATGAAATTTCCCGAGTTGCCATCCCCCGTAGTGATATATAAGAAAATTCGAGAAAGTATAGGAGTGATCACTCCCAGTTTATTTTTGAACAGCGCCATTCATTTAGCTTTTTATTTCAGACTGCATTAGTCATTTAGCCTTTTTTAACAGCACCATTCATTTAGCCTTTTATTTCTAATAGCACCATTCCTTTAGCCTTTTGTCTACTGAGCGTGTTTTTATTCCCCAGAACCAACCATGAATCAGCTGCTTCTCTGTTTCACCCTTCTCGTCATAGCTGCGGCCGTCTCCGCGGGCAAGTTTCCCCTGTACGGCTACAAACTGGGCGGATACGGTGGACTCGGTGGATACGGCGGATACGGTGGATACAAGCTCGGTGGATACGGTGGACTTGGCGGGTATAAGCTCGGTGGATACGGCTTAGGCGGGTATGGAGGCTGGGGAGGTTATGGAGGATATGGATCTGGCTGGGGAGGTTATGGATTAGGTGGATACGGATCTGGTTACGGTGGATACGGATCTGGTTACGGTGGATATGGAAACTACGGTGGATATGGAAACTACGGTGGATATGGAAACTACGGTGGATATAACCTCGGTAACTACAACAACTACAACCTCAACAACAACTACAACAACATCAACTCTTATGGCCTCAACTCCTTCGGTGGACTTGGTGGATACGGTGGATGTGAGTATATTTGTTGACCACATTTATAGTATACGGCTTCAACAACATACACATAATTGTAATACTTTTTGTAAAAAGTGGATTATAAGTCCACTACTAAAGTTTTACTTTAAATTAGTGGTTAAAAACTGATGAGTTAATATTTGTTTTACAAAACAACAACACACGATTTGTTAAGTACCAGTGGGCTAGTTTTTGCATGTATCTTTTAAATACTACCTAGGTCATTTAGTGCGATACTATCTAATATGTTCTATCGTGTATTATAATACTATCTTTCATCTTTCTACAGTATATGGTGGTTTTGATCTTGATGATATTTTTGATGACTGAAAAGTATCTGTCGCTGATAAGAATTGAATACAATAAATAAATATCTTGTTCAAATTTTAAGTCTTGTTTGATTCCTCCACTGCGATCTTGTTACATATATATATATATATATATATATATATATATATATATATATATATATATATATATATATTGTTACGTACCCCCTTCTCTAATCCTTTCGAACTAGTCAGGGGATCGTAAACAAGAAGAAGAAAATAAAAATAAATAAAAGCCAACTTCAGTAATCTCTATTTATTCGCCACAAAATACAACATCAAACATTAACCCGCCACCACATGGAACACAATAGGAAAAATACACAACTATCTACAACAACTAAAGCACTTAGTACGACTACCCTACTTGTCCCTAACCGTCTAGCCTAGCCTAAGTCTAAAACATGTCGTGGCTTTCCACTAGCTCACAGAGACGACCCATGGTCTGTCTCCTCTAAGCCTAGCTATCCGAGACGAGTACGTCCGTCTCCGTGTGTCTGTCCCGAGAGTCTGTCGAGAGTGTCCCCCTAGTCTCCGGTCTACCCTCCTAAAGTACTCAAGTCGTCCCTCGCTAGTGTGGGAACCTTGTTAATCGAGCCTGACCCTAAGGTCAGGTCAGGTCAGGACATGACCGTCCATCTCGGCCCTGTGCGAACTGGCAGGTTTTCCCAGCCGTAAAACACGGACTGCTGGCCACGTTAATAGCCGAGTCCCCCAAGACACCAGGTATGCCCGCCCACAGCGTGGTACCCAATCCGGTGTGGCCGTCACGGCCCAAAGGTTCTCACGGCCAGCACTGGTCAGCCTCTGTCCACCGCCAGGTTGATGGATGAGCGTGAGATCGCTACCCCAACATACGGGTCAGCCCAGGTTAAACACCAGGTGGTCGTAACACCCCCTCCCTTCGAGAACTTAATTCACCGCAAGGGGAATTAATTGAACATATCTTACTAGACCACCAGCCCAATCTCACAACTCCTCAAAAGTCCCAGAATAAACCCAAATGGGACTAAATCCATTTAACATAATCATTACTAAAAAGATAAGACACGTGGATGATTTAGTCACAATAACAAGTTTGACTAAATACCCCAAACACAATGTCATCAAACATAGACATCAAAGTAATTAAAACAGCAAATCTGCAACACATGTGTCACTGTCGCAAATAATGCTAAGATTGAAAACCAACAGTCTTCGTTTTACTGATAGTTACGTCATCAGTCAACAAAACTTGTCAATACAATTAAAAACTGTCACGAATTCAACAGCATGTAAAACATCAATAACAAATATTTTTTTTCAAACAAGACATGTAAAAGGTACATTCTTTAAGCCTGAAAACAGTTCATTTTGATTAGAACACTTGCATCCTGGGAAAACATGAAACAGTCTATCTTGGGAACAGTTCTAATACGTTTGAAACACAAATTAGTTTTCCGTCTTTCGGGTCATCATGAGTCCGTAAACCACAATTGTTACGCCCCGAGCTACCTAGACCTTTCGATCTAGGAGGGGAGGTAGACAAGAACACACGTCAAAACTAATGAACACCTTTAATACTTGCTCAAGTTTAATTCTTACATCAAAGATACAACATGTAAAAGTAACCGCCACCAAAATACAACACAAAAATCCTACCACCTAGCCTTGTCTAAACTATATACAACTACACGTCCTAACTGGTGTGCTGCTATGCCCTGACTGACTGGTCTCACCAATCGCCCTCCTAAAATTCTCCAGTCGTCCCTGACTAGTGTGGGAACCTAGTTAATCGAGCCTGACCCCCCCAGGTCAGGTCAAGTCAGGACATGACCGTCCCCACGATTTCGTCCGTCCAGAAAAGCTTTCCCAGCCATAAATCACGGGCCGTTAGTCGTTACCAGCCGAGTCCCCAAGACACCAGGTATGCGCCGCCCACAGCGTAACACCCAATCCGCGTGGGGGCCGAAACGACCCAAAGATTCCCACGGCCAGCACTGGTCAGCCTCTGACCACCGCCAGGTTGATGGATGAGCGTGGGGTCGCTACCCCAACATACGGGTCAGCCCAGGACAAACCCCAGGTAGCCGTAACAATTGTTACGCCCCGAGCTACCTAGACCTTTCGATCTAGGAGGGGAGGTAGACAAGAACACACGTCAAAACTAATGAACACCTTTAATACTTGCTCAAGTTTAATTCTTACATCAAAGATACAACATGTAAAAGTAACCGCCACCAAAATACAACACAAAAATCCTACCACCTAGCCTTGTCTAAACTATATACAACTACACGTCCTAACTGGTGTGCTGCTATGCCCTGACTGACTGGTCTCACCAATCGCCCTCCTAATATTCTCCAGTCGTCCCTGACTAGTGTGGGAACCTAGTTAATCGAGCCTGACCCCCCCAGGTCAGGTCAAGTCAGGACATGACCGTCCCCACGATTTCGTCCGTCCAGAAAAGCTTTCCCAGCCATAAATCACGGGCCGTTAGTCGTTACCAGCCGAGTCCCCAAGACACCAGGTATGCGCCGCCCACAGCGTAACACCCAATCCGCGTGGGGGCCGAAACGACCCAAAGATTCCCACGGCCAGCACTGGTCAGCCTCTGACCACCGCCAGGTTGATGGATGAGCGTGGGGTCGCTACCCCAACATACGGGTCAGCCCAGGACAAACCCCAGGTAGCCGTAACACCTCCTCCCTTCGAGAGATTAATTCACCGCATGGAGAATTAATTGAATATCACCTAGACCACCACCCCCCCGTCTCACAATACCTCAAAAGTAGGGTTACAAAATGTCAAGATCACACACCAGACTAAATTAATTAAAACATCACCATAATTAACAGGGGCGAAAAAAAGTGGTGATTTTAGTCACACCAACAGGTTTTGCGAAACAATGACATCAAACATCGACTCAGGTTTTACAACAAGAAACATGGCATCCAACACATTTAAAAATACATTTTAGAAAAAAACAAAAATAGAAGAAACTACTGTTATCCTTAACATAATCATACTGAAAAGTTATCCCCGAGATAACATATCCGCCACAATGTTATCTTTCCCTTTAATGTGTTTGATGTCCAAGTTAAAATTTTGTAGGTACAGACACCAGCGGAGCAGTCGCTGGTTCTTTAACCCCAGCTTGTTTACGAAAGTTAGTGGGTTATGGTCTGTATACACTACCAAAGGGGAGGAACTCACGTATACATCAAAATGTTGCAATGACAGCACTAACCCTAGGGCTTCTTTTTCAATAGTTGAATAATTTCTTTGATGAGCATTTAATTTTTTTGAAAAATACCCGACTGGGTGTTCTACGCCTTCATTATCTTCTTGCATGAGGACAGACCCAACGCCACAATCGCTAGCGTCAACTGCCAGTTTAAAGGGCTTGCCAAAGTTTGGCGCCATTAGGACAGGTGAATTTGACAATATGTATTTAATCTCCTGGAATGATTGTTCACACTCCACCTTCCACTCGAACTTTATGTTCTTTCTGAGTAGATTGGTGAGTGGCTCGGCAATGGTGGAGAGATTTTTACAAAATTTTCTGTAATACCCCGCCATTCCCAGAAACCTCCTCAACTGTTTTCTGTCGGTGGGCGGGGGCAACCCAACAATAGCCTCCACCTTTGTCCCGACCGGTCTAACCTTCCCGTTCCCCACCTCATGCCCTAGATATGTGAGGGTGGCATGACAAAATTCACTCTTCTGTAAATTTACAGTTAGGTTAGCCGAGGCTAACTTGGTAAACAATTGGTACAACTGGTTAATGTGTTCCTGAAAAGTTTGACTATAGATAACAACATCATCTATATACGCTTCACAATTATCTATCTCAGCAATTACTGAGTTGATCATGCGTTGGAAAGTGCTAGGGGCATTCTTCAAACCAAAGGGCATACGCTTGTACTGATAAAGGCCATCTGGGGTGACAAAGGCAGAAATTTCTTTCGCCCTTTGGGTCAGGGGTACCTGCCAGTATCCAGACAGAAGGTCCATTTTTGTTATGAACCTTGCCTGTCCAACTTTGTCAATTACATCATCTATACGGGGGAGGGGAAAGGAATCAGCCCTTGTTAAGGAATTAACCTTTCTAAAATCGGTACAAAACCGATAGGTCTTATCCCCTTTAGGGACGAGAAGACATGGGGCACTCCAGCTACTTTGACTGGGTTCAATTATGTCATTCTCCAGCATGTATTTGACCTCATTTCTAATGAGTGCCAACTTTTCAGGGTTAACCCGATAAGGGTGTTGTTTAACCGGAGTAGCATTACCAACATCAATATCATGGCTAATTAAATTAGTTTCTCCAGGGACATCAGGAAACACATGAGAGAAATCAAAAATAAGATTGCCCATGATGGTTCGCTGATCTTCGGTCAAGTGAGACAGTTTATCATTGAGATTCGATAAAATCTCTGAGTTATGCAACTTTATGTGTCCTGACTCGTCTTGATCGATTTCATCGACCCCACCATGGTCCTCTTTTACAACAACATTCACCACCTCTGTTGGGGCGGCTGGAGGAGTCCTACTATAAAATCTTTTAATAGAGTTAATATGGCACAACCTTTTTGTTTTCTTGCGACCAGGAGTGTTAATCATATAATTCACGTCACTAACTTTGGACTCTACTGTATATGGACCGAAAAACTTGGCCCTGAGTGGTTGGCCAGGGACAGGAAGAAACGCTAGGACCTGGTCGCCAGGTTGGAAGCTGCGAGCCTTAGTCTTTCGATCGAACTTATTCTTCATCGTTCTTTGAGCATGGGTTAAGTTAACCCTTGCCAACTCCCAGATAGCACTCAGTTTCTCTTTGAATTTTGAAACGTCCAAGTTCTGTGGCACCGCTTCACTGGAACTAGTCCACTTTTCTTTCAGTAACTTTAAAGGGCCGCGAACAGTGCGACCGAACACAAGTTCGTACGGTGAATATCCGAGGGAATCTTGGACTGCTTCTCGAGCTGCGAACAGGAGCAAGGGTACGCCCTCATCCCAATCAGCGTGGTCCACACAGTAGGTGCGCATCATAGTCTTTAGCGTTTGATGAAAACG